TTTTCTACAAGTATTTAAATAACATTGACAAAAATTTGCTTATTCTAAAAACATCGTTTGATTTGATATTAAACTATCTTTACCACTCACCGGCTTTAAGTTATTCTTGTTTGTTCCGATAAAATCCACCATAAATATCTAGTCCAACAAAATTGCGTGTTACTTTTGTTCATGGGACGATAAAATTGATGATAAAGACACAAATTAGAGTGATACTGAAAAGATTTTGGTAAAAGTTGAGCGTTGGTACAAGGTGACAAGTGGCATAGGCACACACGGCACAATACAACCGTCCTGTGTTGTGTCTATAAGAGTAGATAGAGCCATGTGAGAATTGAAACTGCACTTACCAAGAGACTGCTTGGAATGGTAAACGACAGTAAAAGCAAGTGATGACTCATTTTTACACATGATTCTATCTCACATTCACACACACCCAAGAAATCTGACATTGATTGACGTTTAGTACTACCATTTAAAATATGCAAACGCTTTTTCATTTTTCATTCAGTTGGTGATTTATCACAAGAAGACGGAAAAACTATGGGAAATTGTACTGAATAACATTAAAAAAACTGAAAATTAACAAAATAACCATATCTGACTTTTGGCTAGAATACAGACTGAATAATATGTAATATTGCCAAATTACCCTTAGAGAGATGAATCAGTTTTGTTCTTCATCGAGCACATCCTCTTCCTCTTAAATTCTCAATTTGACATTTAATTGATTTCCCTCCTCTGATATATATCTCACTCCCGTGCATAGCTATACTCATAAATTCACAATTGCTCTTGAAATCCACAATTTTTTTTCTTCTTTCTCTTGGCACCTTTTTCTCTCTCTCTTTCTCTCTCTCACAATCATCTTCTAGTTTTCTTTCTTCCTCCTCTTTGATTTAATCTCATGAAGTGGATTCATTTTTGCTCAATTCCTTATTTTAATTGTCGTACTAAGTGTTCTCTATTTTCTGGGTCGTATCTGATATCATGCGTCTTATCTATTTTCTGGGTTAATTTGGAAATTGAGTTCTAGGGTTTTAAGAAAATTAAAGAGGAAAAACATATCAGAATCAGAGACCATCCAGCGATCACTACAATTTAATCTATGTTTTATGGGGATCTCAAACTTCAGTTCACCAATGAAAGAATCAATCGAATTGAATTACTATCAATCAACAAGCAAAAGCTGTAACTGTTTAATCTGGCAGATCCAAAGAAAGTAAGATGAATGTTTACTTTCAGAATAGAGCAGATCTTGAATCGTGGGTATTTTCGTCTAAACAAACCTGAAATGGTTACTTATTTTATTATGTCATTCATATGGCTATATTCTTCATTATATGTCTCAATATGGTTATACACTAAAATAACCCAAAAGCTAACCAGTGCCCTAGCTATGATAAATTTTTCTTGTTTAATTTGAAAAACAAATGAAAAAGGTTTATTGTGATGATATATGGTAAAGAACAGTGAAGATTTACCAGAGTCGCAAATCTCATATTTTCCAACAGAGATAAAGAAAAACGTGGAACAATCGATCATTTTCATAATTCTTTTGTAGAAGATCAAAATTATTATAACAAAAGTTCCTTTCTAAATTGAGCAGACATGAAAAATAACTCGAAATGTCTTGATACTTCTCAGTTCAAACCGTTAAAAAGGATGCACATCGATGGTGATTTTATTTCAATGTATACTTTGATTAAAACTTTGTAAACGTGTTGTGTTCTTTCAAGGATGTGATAACCTCTTGACAATATTGCACGATTTCAAGTTTATAAGAAAAAAACCGATACGACAACAACCTTTAGGGTCATTTGCAAAGTCGATATGCAAATTTTAGTAAATGACTGAAAATATGGAACCAAATAGGGAATCATAAATTTATCCAAAAAAGAAGTATGCCAAAAATACTCAAGTTTTTCGTTCTGTTTTTTCATTTATTTAAATATCAAGTCTCGACTATAATATTAACGTAACTCAATGGGAAAACCTAAATTCAAGCCAGAATTCGCGTACATGTTTTCTTTTTTTGGTCCTTGAGTTCTGTTTTAGCATTTACGTTTCACATTTGCGACTAATTACGGACGTGTTAGTTTTTTTGAAGTATATTCAGGTTGCATTACGTAATAATTTTTTTTGTCGATGACCCTAAAGTATTTAATTACGGACGTGTTCAATTCCAAAACAACCGGAGTTATATAAAACCAAAAACAATCCTAAAAGCTAAAAAGCATGTTACAGAAAAATAAAATAGAGTTCTCTTTTACAACAAAACAAGATAGACGTGTTTGCAGCAGGTGGAAAGTTACAGTAGTTATTTTAAGAACCAATTTTTTCCCCATTTTATATAATTAAAGAATGAAAATGATAAAAAATTAAAAAAAAGGAGTACCAAACTTTTTTGGAGACTAACATACACGAGAAATATATTTTTACTTTTGATTATAATTAGTCCCTTAGAGTATTGGTAATATTTTAACTAGTGATCCCTTAATTTGTTTTCGGATATGTGCGATATGGATGCATCGTACAAAAGTAGTGAAAAATAAGTAAAAAGGCGCAGTACAACTTTGCAAAAAAAAATTTACCAAAAAAAGCTTTGGAAAAGAAAGAAGAACTAGATGCATAATTTATGAAGGGTGACAGGGTGTCACATAGTCATATGTGTTTGATCTAATTTAAATTCAACTTCGTGAACTTTTTTGTGGCAAAAATTCTTAACAACAAGATGTTTTACACATTTGCGTTTTAAGCCTACCCATTTCGAATATTCCCTTAACATTTTATTTATGTTGCATGCAAACTCCGTTCAAGACGCGTACTCAAAATATTCTTTTGGCATCCTTTCTAAAATTCAAATTTATTGTACATTTGGAAATATTTCTATTTCTAAAGACTTTAGTATTCCCGAAAGACTAATCTGAAAATGATTTTTTTCTTTCTAAAAATAGGAAATTTATGCTTGTTTTATTTTCAGTATTTTGGAACAACGTAACTACATATATAGTGACCAATTAAATTCAGCCAGCTAAAACAGATACTATAACATTTCCGTATAAATTTTCTTGTAAACAATATATATATTTTTTTTGTTAAAGTTCTTGTAAACAATATATGACTTTACGTTTTAATTTGTCACTAAATGTTCCATTATGTGTTGTGAAAGATGGATGCATAGATTACTATTAAAAAGTTATAATATAGGAAAAAAAAGGTTAGTGAGAAATTTTGCTTTAATACGATATCATTTGTGTAGATGTAAGATGTCGATAAATTTAGATAACTCGAAAAGTAAACGAGTGGAACATCGAGAAGTATGATGTTGAATCCTACCTATACCAACGCGACATTCACGTTAAGATAAAACGCATTACACCTCTATTCTCATTTTATTTTATTTATCTATTGTTTATTTTTATAGTAGAACCAAATAAATAAAAAGCAAAACAAAAATATATAATTTCTAACTTCCTTTGTGATACCATCTTTTAAGTATTTTTATTTTGTGATTAATTAACTATGAGATTTTTTCTGTTTGGTTGAAACAGTTTTAAAACTTACACACGCAATTAATAAGCAATATGATTCGTGATTACCATACGAAAAAAAGCTTAGGGATATTTGGTCAGAAGTTTAGTGAGAATAAGATATAGAGATAACCACAAATATCATGCTTATGAGTATAAGAGAGGATTGATAAATTAGTTACAGACCTAATTTTGGCCGCCAAATCATGGAGTAGAATGCTCATAAGCAACATAAAATATGGTACTCGTGGCGCAGACCCAATGGAAGATTTTCATGTTGTGATTTTTAATAGTAGTACCTGCTGTTTGACCGCCCAATGGCAACTTCGATGTGACTTTTCAGTTTTAGATATGTTCGGATACCATATACTTCATTGTTGTTACAACATAAAAGGATCATTTTCGTTATTCAGCAATTTGATTCGGCTTATAATTATTTGAGTGACTTAGGTAAAAGACAATAGAAACATAAATTATATGAATAAATAGCTTGTCATTGCTTTCTTGCTCATTGTTTAGATAGGTAACAAAACCAAAAAAAAAAAAAAAAAAAAAATATATATATATATATATATATATATATATATATATATATATCAGCATGGTTCACTTTAGCTTAACACTAAATATCTTAACACTATTGTGTAACAACTTGGTCTTAGTAGTTCGCTGCCATAATTTATTACTGTCTAACTTAACCATGGACTTGCGGGTTACTAAAATCGTTTTTTAACTTGATCGTATTAGTTCTCATTTTTGAAACTGTTACTACATAATTTGATTGGCTAGATTAAGAGGTATTTAGGAATCATATGGCTCGATCGACTCTCCGGCTCATGTTAAGTATCAGAGAATCATATACTTTGAAAGGTGATTTAAAATAAATGAAAAGGCTTAATGTCCTATATTATGTTAATGGTTATAAAGAAAGCTAACAGCCGGTCAGGGGCCTAATGGTTACACCCAAAATAATAATAACTTTTAGTGACTTTAAAATAAACCTCTATCGACCGTTCTGTTTTTTTGTTGGTTAAACTCATTCGATTGAGTACGATACTAAAATATAAATCTAGGTTCGGCAGAAAAGTTTGATATTAAAAAAAATAGACGGCAAGAGTACATACCAAATGAAAAATAGCATACATTTTTCATTTAAAAGATAACATTGGAAATATCAGAGACCAATAATGTGACAATGTCCTTCTCTGGAAACGATGTCGTCTTGAGCGTACTAAGATTGCACCCTTTCACATGCGAACTCTATATATATACATCATTGGCACTGTAAATTCATCGCTAAAACTCACAAAGTAGAGCTTGGCTTTCAAGAGTTAGAAGCGGCTTCAAAATCTGTCTAGAGCTCTCTTCTCTCTTTATTGCTTGGTCTTCGAAATTTCTTTTCCCGTTCTTAATTTGTTTTCGATAGTCTGACCAAAAGGGAGAGATATAATCAAGAAAAAACAAGAAATGGCTCTACCTCACAATGTACTTGCATTTGTGTTTGGAATCATGGGTAAGTATACATAAGCAGTCACAAAAAGATTCATCGAACCTATTAATAGCAAGTTCTAGACGTTTCATAACTCATAATGTTAAATTTTCAGGCAACATCATATCATTCGTCGTGTTCTTGGCCCCAGTGTAAGCATCAACATGTTCTAACAAAGTCTCTCTTTATTGTTGTCGTTTTTATCAAATTAAGCAAACGTCTTTTTTTCGATATTATGTAGGCCGACTTTTGTAAGGATATGCAAGAAGAAATCTACGGAAGGATTTCAGTCTCTTCCTTATGTTTCAGCGCTCTTTAGCGCGATGCTTTGGATTTACTACGCTATGCAAAAAGATGGCTCAGGCTTCCTTCTCATCACCATAAACTCTGTTGGATGCTTTATTGAAACCATCTACATCATCCTCTTCGTAACCTATGCTAACAAGAAAACTAGAGTATGTTGAACCGATTTTTTTTCTCTACTTATATTTTAGCTTTAGGTTGATCTAAACATGCACATGCATGTAGAATGCTTTTGTATCAAGTTTTTTGATAAATGGTTGAAATGATGTTGCAGATATCTACTTTGAAGGTTCTTGGGCTGTTGAACTTTTTGGGTTTTGCCACCATTGTTCTTGTCTGCGAGCTCTTAACCAAAGGATCGACACGTGAGAAAGTTCTTGGAGGGATTTGCGTTGGATTTTCCGTCATTGTTTTCGCAGCTCCTTTAAGTATCATGGTACGTATTATACATAACGTAAATTTATACCTATGAAGAACATATAACAAATGTTCATATTTTGTCTTTCCTTTCCTGGTTATGTGGAATATATATATATTACATAGTTTTGTACTGTGAATATTAAAATAACTATAAGAAAACAATTCTAATTTGGTGCAGAGACTTGTGGTACGAACAAGAAGTGTGGAGTTTATGCCATTCTCTTTATCGTTGTTTCTTACACTTAGCGCCGTCACGTGGCTCTTCTATGGTCTTGCTATTAAAGACTTCTACGTTGCGGTGAGTTTTTGAAAATACTCAGTTTTAATAATTTCTAAGCATATGATTAATGACAGCACAACATTATATGATTAGATTATTATGGGTGGTTCTTTAAAAAAAGGTAAAAAGAGTTGTTACATTTGTCTTTTTGCCTCAACTCCAATGTACATATACAAAAGGCTTCTAGTCTATTTATGAATGTCGTGGCAACGAATCTATAATTTTTAACCGTACACATACTTCGCTTTAGGATTACTATTATTTAAATTAATTGGACCCACTAAATGTACAATAGAATACTAAAAATACAAAATTTGATTTGTTCTGTTGCGATGTCGGTAATAAATGGAATATTAATGTACTTTTTCACATATTTTGAACTATTGAAGCTCCCAAATGTGTTGGGCGCGTTCTTAGGAGCAGTTCAAATGATTCTCTACATAATCTTCAAGTACTACAAAACTCCGGTGGCTGAGAAGACGGGGAAACCGAAAACGGTGTTCGATCATTCCATCGACATAACCAGGCTGACCAACGTTATGCCCGGTCCAATTTCGGACTCAGCGGTTTATCCACCGCATGCTAGTAACAATGTTCCCGAGACTCAGATTCAAGTGACCGAGCTTAAGAGCAAGAACTTGACCGCTCAAAAAGATCAGAACAACAAGGGTGTCCAGAACCAAAACCAAGTTTGAGTAGTGAATCTTATTTAGAGACTCATTAATAATGCATTGTTTGAGTTGTGCACTCTAGCTAACTTTTTTTCAATCCTTTTTTTTTTTTGGTATTTTGTGGTTTTCTTTTCTTTAATTAGGTCTCTTGTACCTCTTTTCTCTCATCATTTTCTTTCCAGGTACCTGGAAATTGTGTTATGATCAATAATAAAATACCTCTTAAAAATTTATTTGAATTCTCTCTAGATTGATCATTAAAAAACGGTTTACTAGTAACTAACAAACAAGTAATTAACCATCCCACACGAAAGCTTTTTTTTTTGTTCTTTGAAACAAGTTTTGCTTCCGAAGTTCTACTTTATTAGGCGAAATTTTTTTAGAAATGTTTTTTACTTAACTTTGGTCATAATCCAATTTAGTTTGGTATCTTACAAATTACTCTTGGAAAGACAAAAACAATGACAACAAGTAGGCAACTTTACTTGCGTATCAAGGACTCGTGCATCTTTCTCACTTCCTATCGACTTTTTACTTAAATACTCAATTAATTAGAAAAATCGTCTTTTCCCGTCTAAAACTTGTTATGAATTTGACACATTATATTTTTTTCTTCTCATATAGAAGTATAGATTTTTAATGGTCTTCATTTACGAAAAGACATGTGGTAAGATGATATGGGAGTGAGACTCCAAAACTGAGATCACATGCGAAACCCAAAGGAAAAGAAGCAAATGGTCTACCACGCACAAAAGTCTTTTGTACACATTTCTACTTTCAGAACGGTCTTCTTGTCGAGATTCCACGTCCACTATATTTACTTATAACTGTTCTGACTTACACATTATTCAGTTATTATACGAGAGTCTTGATATTTTTGTTAACTCACTTACTAAGTAGTATCAATGGTTTAACTGAAATATTAATTAATTACGAGATATTACTTAATGTGGTAATTCAACCGGTTAAATTAGAGTAAAATAATTTAAAATTTCAAGGACTCTTATATAATAAAAAACTTCAGCTTCAAAATAGAAATGAAAATAGGATCATTCCATATTTGAGAAAAACATGGCATTTCTCCATTTTGAAAATGGGGTTGGATTGGAATAAAATTTACTGCAAAATGGTAATGAAAGGGGAAAATGGAGCTAGGTTGAGATGCTCTAAAACTTGAAAAATAACTATTTTTGCCATACTAAATATAAATTAATCATCAAGTACTGTATTATATTTGGGGGAAAATGATTTATTGAAACTAATGAGAATTCATGAGAATTCACTACATGTATTATTAGTGGTTGATCTCAAATATTATAAAAAATATATTAATCAAAAGTCTTAAAATTCCTTGGTTATCTTGTAAAAAACTACAATATGAATCAACATGGTTTACTTTTCACTCCAAAAGAAAAGAAAATTATACTATGTCGGTGTATATACATTTTAATGGATCTTAGGAAATGGGTTCCACATAAAAGTTTTTTTGTTTTTATCTAATTGGAATCTTGTACTCCCTCCGTTTTTTTGCAGAAATGTATATGGATGTGATCTAAAATTCTAAATACATTTGAGATACATTTCTGCAAACGACAACTAATTTGAAACATAGAGAATATAAATAAGTCATTTAGAACAATGACAGTGCTTTGATTTTGGTCTTCATGCTTGAACCTCTAATTAGATCGATGTCTACAATCTTCAAAGCTAAGTCTACAATCTCCAGAGCTAAGCAAATAGAATTGGCTAGTGCATAACATACACATTAGTGAAGGAAGAATAACTCGTGCAAAACTAGCAAAATAAAAAACGAAAAGAATTATTTGAAATTGCACAATTATTTATAAATATTTATGTTTAGTGATCTTTCTTTAATAACATACATATAACATTTTTATATGGAGTTGATAATAACGAAATAAGAAATAAAGTTGGTTTTTATTTGAATTATTTTTTATTATTATTAATTGAGTGATATAAAATTGATATATTTGATTTATGCTATATATATATAGACACTTCCAACACATACTCCTAATTTTTTTAAAATATCGTTTCCACGTTTACAAACGCTTCACATACCCGCTTCTGATTCATAGGACGTGAGACAATTGATAGTGACTGGTTCGAGATGAAAGGTAACATCGGACATGAGAAAACGAACAACAAAACCTAACCACCGGTCCCCCACATGTTAACATCGCTCAGGTACACACGGGCCAAATACATGCACCCCCAAATTAAGCCCTTTAGCTAATCACAAAGCCCAATTGATATGTCTTAATATAGTGTACAACATTATACGACAGATACGTATTGCCACATTACTCTTTAAGATATCACCTATACGTCTAGACATACTTTTAACGAAAGAACTCATGTATACTATAATATCACCTATACGTCTATACAGAGCCGTCCTTAGGAACCAGCCAAGCAAGCAGCGGCTTGCGACCGCCTTAAATATATATTTTATTAGCCAAAATTAACAAAATTTTTTTAGTAATTTAGTGGTAGCTTCCTATGTAACTGACTTTATTACTCCAAGTTCGATTCCGTTTAGGTGCTTTTCGCATGTTTAAATATTTTTTTTTAAATTCGGCCCAAAAGTTTTTTGAGCTTGCGGCCTATCAAATCTCAGGAAAGGCTCTGCGTCTATATATTTGCCGACTTTATCCAAAAAAAAGATACTAAGAATATTCCGTATAGTTAACATACATTTTAGGGGGGGTTAAAAGCAAATACCATACTTTTGAAAATTGATTATTACCTATGTTTTGTTGTGTCAGAACATAAGTCAAAAGGGCCAATGTCGAAAAAGCGTGGATGCTTCTTTTTCGTACATAAGTAAAATTATATCGAACTCCAAGCCACTTAGATTAAAAGAAATCGATGTTAAAAAAACAAAAAATATACTAAGAAATCAGTCCTTAATTAATTTGTTTTTTTAGGCTCATATAATCCTTGTGTTGTCTGAACACTTTCATGATAATCCATATTTATTATCCTTTAACAAAACAAAAAAATGATAATCCATATTTATATGATGAAAGTTAACCTTCTTAGAAAAAAAATGATAATCCTGTATTAACTCCGAAAACTGATTAGATAAGTAAGGAACGGAAACATGATTGATATAAATTGATTGATATAAATTTACAATCATGTCCCGAACAGCCGAACACCTAACAAAAAATCAAATTATATTGGTCTTTACAAAACCAATCCCTATTTGAACTACGAAACCACCAAGTAAATTCATTAAAACAGAAAAAAGTGTATCCATGGAAAAAGAGAGTCAAATACATTCCTTAAATTGTTCATCGTGCGTAGATGTCAATGATGATATCGAATATTAAAGGAGTTCAGAGAAAAAAAGAGGTTTTTTTAGAAAAAATATCTTATGTGAGGGCGGTGATATTACTCTCACGAGCAAAAAGGGAATAAGAGAATCTTTGTGTGGACGTAAAACAGAACATTCTCTTACGACGGGAAAATATTCCAGATCGGTTCTAAGCCACTGGATCTGTTCTCAATTGGTCTTAGAGAGTAAAGATTCTCAGTATCTTTCACTAACCTCTATCTACAAATCACAAAGCTAACTCTATGTGGTAATCGCTAAAACCATGTCACCTTTTAACATTATGATGCCCATAGTATTAGGGGTTAACAGTTTGGTTCCCATTGGCTAATTAACCGGTTATGATCGATCAATATGGCATTTCCGAGTTAAATGAAGTTACCCTTTATTAGTGGTCTAACACTTGTTACTTAAGTCAGTAATTCAACCTTTGTAATCTTATTTAGTGTATACATTTTGTTTCTTTTTTTAAATATTTAGTGCATTATGTTATGTTGTTGCATATAATTTCAAAGCGATGTACTAAAAGAACATGCAAACGTTATATCATCTATTAATGTATATATATAAATATTTAACAGTGCCGGTCCAACAAATTTAAATGCCCTACTCGAATTTAAAAAGCATGTCTTTCCAAAAAAAAAATCCAAAAATCACAAAAACAGTAAAAATATAAAAACAACCCTTATAACTTTATAAAATAAACAAGTTCTAAATAAAAAATTCCCAGTTAGTAAATAGTTTGCGAAAAACAAAAAAAAAACTGATTTCTTATGGCTTAAATATAGCTCTCATTGGATTATGGCCTGCAAAATTATTCATTAAACTTACATAATGATACACATACTAAAGGTATTTGTTAACAAATGCCCTATAAATATTAATATCACTGAAAAGGTTTTAAAACTTTGTAATGATATATAAACCACTTTAAAAAAAAATTAACAAAAATATGTTCTTGTTAAAACTTTGTACATAATACCTTAAGAATTTAAGTAACTAAAATATGCCCCTGTTAAAACTTTGTAAATGATATTAATACACCTTTTAAAAAAATGTAACAAAAATATGCCTCTAATAATTGAATGCCCTACTCGGCCGCTTACTCTGCATGTCCTCAGGGCCGGCCCTGATATTTAAGATAATATCATCAAGACATGTTCCAGCATGCATAACTTTAAGCAAAAAAAATAATTAAAATATGCATCAAAATAGACTTATACAACCAACTTCTGAGCACTATTGTCCATTGACAAAACGTGATTTGTTTTTTTGTGCGGTGTAATTAGTAGTTGCGGTACTATCACAAAATAGTGGAGTAGATCCTCACGGGTATTTTAAAATAGTGGAATCAATGCTGGATAATTTTCCTTCAATATTTATGTTGTTAGGCGAGAGATGAATTTGTTCGAATTAATGTATATCTTTTTGTTATTAGGTCAAAATGTACATCGTTTGGTTTATATATGTAGGGAACAAGAATTACTCTTGAGTCTTGACTTATATAGTCTCTTTCTCGCTCTCTTTCTCTCTTGCTCGAGCATCGAACAAGTCACGCGTTGCACGTTAGTGCTTTGGCAGACCAGTGAAGCTACAAGAGCTATATAAATTTATCCCAAATATACAGAAAACATATTTTACATCACAAAAAAATGATAAACCAATTAATTCTACACATTTTGATCCTCCTATTACATAAGTGTATTGACTTTCCTTATTTTATATGTTGTTTAATCGAAATTAGATACTTTTGGTTTATATGTTGGGGGCCAGCTTTCCTTATTTTTTCTTTTTGTTAATATGTTGGGGGAAAGATTTCAAAAGGGCATTTCCCTAAAATGAGGAGTTTCAATTTGAAAAACGAACTACAAGCATGACAATTCAGTTTAGGTAAAAGACCAACTTGCTCTCATTGCACTTGTAAAACCCTAATTTAGAGATAGTTGTGAACAGTTAACCTCAACACCTACTTGGTTGGTGGCACGTCAGAAAGGTTCAAAAACTGGGTCCAATAGAATGTACCAGAATGGTACTTGCAAGATTTAAGGTTTTAGTGCTCATAAGTTGCTGAGCTGGATAGATACCCACCCATTTTAGGTTTTAGGGTTTGATTATTCCCCACAAGATTTATGAGATAAGACTTAGGTCAATTTCGCATGCCGACATCAATGTGCGCACGGCATCATTCATTTGCTTTTTTTTTTCTTTCTTCATTAGATGAATAAATAGTACAATGGTGAAATTACCCTACTCATCACAGCATTACATATAGAGTGAAAATTATGTGGAAGAAAATTTGAAATGGATTATATATTTCATGTTAAATTTACAAGTGACATACTGCTTTGTATTGCCACCCTCAGAAGTGATCAGACCCATACACAATTACTGTTAATGTATTAATCATAGTAATGCATGAATCGTAGTTTAACAGAAAATTATATTAATCATATTAATTATATGTTGAGTAACCAATAATATTCTATTTGAGGAAATATTCGAGTAAACTTAGTATCTAAAAGGTCATCGATAGATTAACCGTTTACAAAAATGCAGAAACTATACAAATTAAGGCGTATTTGTAAGCAGATGAACCATAAAATCAGTAAATTAAGATTAGGCTTAGGTGAAAACAAAAGAAGAAGAAGAGTGTAAATCTTCATTGGCATGAAGTTAACAACTGTAAAGTAGAGATAATGCTCTTTGATTCTTTTTGCCCACTATCAACATCCCATTGAGTTTAAACTCTTTGGTTCTTTCTCTCTCACACACAGACGCATTTTGCAAGTTGATACACTTTTCGGCTCTCTATATAATCACTACCCTTCTCAATCAACAATTGCATCATACATTTAACAGCTTCTCATTATGATCCTGTAGTGTTTACTTACTCGTTCACTTGCATTCTCTTTCATAGAGAGAAGAGAGAAAGAGAGCAAGAGAGAGAGAGGGAGAGAGAGTTTCTAGTAAGATATTTTTCTTTTTTTCTAAAGTAGCATTTCACTACGTTAAGAGAGAGAGAAAGAAAATGGCGATTTCACCACACGTCTTGGCTAATGTTTTTGGCATACTTGGTATATCTTCTCACGTTTATTTACGTACACGTTCAAAATGCATGCTTTTTTTTTACACGAACTTTTTTGAGTTCTAACATTATGATGATTATTATTTTGTAGCCGATATCATCTCCTTTTTCGTCTGTCTTGCCCCTATGTAAGTGCTATATGAATCTTTGTACATTCATCTTATACGTAGAACGTAACGCCTTAAACTCAAGCATTGAACGTATGTGTTGTTTATATTTTAGACCGACGTTCGTTCGTATATACAAGAGGAAATCTTCGGAAGGGTATCAGTCGATCCCTTACGTGATTGGGCTGTTCAGTGCGATGCTATGGATATACTACGCGCTGATAAAGAAAAATGCAATGATTCTCATCACTATCAACGCCATTTCTTTCGTCATGCAGATCTTCTACATCTCATTCTACCTCTTCTACGCTCCCAAGAAAGAAAAGGTCCTTATTCTATATGAACATAACCTACTTTTCTTAAAATATACACAAGAATTATCACTTCTTTAACTGGACGGTGTGTTTCGATATTGCAGAGACTAACGGTGAAGTTTTTCCTACTTGTGGATGTGTTTGCGTTCGGCCTAATCTACGTCCTCACGTACTTTCTGTTTCATGGCAACAAACGTCTTCAAGTCCTTGGATACATTTGCATGGTCTTTGCTCTATCTGTTTTCGTTGCACCCCTTGGCATCATTGTAAGTCTCTCTTTGTTATTTACTTACCTATATAATTAGCCATTGAAAAATTTCTTCTAATCGGTTAAGGCTATCTTGAAAACACAGAGGAAAGTGATTAAAACGAAGAGTGCAGAGTTTATGCCGTTCGGTCTCTCCTTCTTCCTCACCTTATCGGCTGTCATGTGGTTCTTCTACGGTCTTCTCACGAAAGACCTCAACGTAGCCGTAAGTCTACTAATAGTCTTCATAGTTTTCATTTCGTGTTATGTTCGAGCTAACGCATAAAGCTAATGTTTTAACATGTTTTTCCAGCTGCCAAATGTTTTGGGTTTCATCTTTGGAGTGCTTCAAATGATACTTTACTTGATCTACAAGAAACCTGGGACGAAAGTTTTGGAGCCTCCAGGGATAAAGCTCCAGGACATAACTGAGCATGTTGTCGATGTCGTGAGGCTTAGTACGATGGTTTGCTCCTCACAGATGAGAACTTTGGTGCCACAGGACAGTGCCGACATGGAAGCGACCATTGCCCTTGATGAGAAGATCAAGGGAGACATTGAGAAAATTAAGGAGGAGAAAGAAGTCTTTCTTATTAATAAGAATTAATTAGATCTTTGCTATCAAATGTCTGTGTGTGTGTTTCTATCTTAGTTTGCTTGCATGCTAAATTAGGGTTTATGTTTAATATGGGTTTGATTTGTCATCGTGCATCTCTCCGTCTGTCCTATGTGATATCTCTGGCTCTCTCTCTCTCTCTGATCTCGAATGTAAGATATGTCTTTTCAAATTAAATAAATGAATATCACGTTTGTCTTTTATGAATGTAGTAAAAAAAACTGAATATCACGTTTGTCTATAATGAATGTATCGTGTAAAATTTTACTTTGTATGTGTACACAAAGGTTGACATGAATTTGTTTACTGGGTCATAACATCAATTTAGATATTAAATATCATATAATGTATACAAATTTGGATATTAGACTATTGAAAAATTAGCAGTTTATTTAATATAGTCGTAACTTTACCTTTTATTCCACATGAGATGTTGGCCAGATCTTTTACGATTTACTCTTATAGTCTTATTGTTGAAGTTGGTTCTACAAAAAGGCTCAAATAAATGGATTTTAAGGAGATCACTCTACTAATTAGGAGGAGTAATTACTAGCCAGGTTTTCAACGTGCTCATTTTAAGAGGAAACTTTTTCGAATTCAGTTCCTTCAGCTATTTATACATTTCACTATTTATCGCCAAACTTGACACAACTGTTCCTATTAAATAAAAATTTATCTCTAACCAAGAAATCACGAATCCAGCCTCGTTTGGTGATATTTATAATGACTGCAAAAACCGCTTCTTTGGTACTTCGGTTTGTATACAAACATCATGACTATAAATCCAAATTATTTTTTTGTCATCAAGAAAAATATGCATCGTTCTGCTTCAGCTGCTTGTTTCAATTCAAGTCTTAACTTCCCACTTCCTTTTACTGTTTTCTCTTTTGCAAGTAACATGATCTATATATGCTCATCTAAGTCAGTTTGCAAAAGTCTAATTTGGTGATATATATATATACGAAATCCAAAAGTTTCAAAACAGAGCTAGTTAGATTTAACGAGGATTGGCATGCGTAACCAAATCCAAAAGTTTCAAAACATTAAAACAAAACCCATTAACCTCACTCAATCACTCTACAGCAAATATCATCCTACTTCTTTCTACTAACTCTGGTGTTATAGCCAAAGCAAAAGCCTATGTCAACACAACTCTCAATATTAGCTTCCGAACTCTAACGCCTTTATCTACCTCGAGCTTTTCCATCTGACAACGCTTCGATCGTTCTCGACGCCTCCTGCAACCACAAAGTTTAAAAACTCGTTTCCATTTTCATGAATGTTTCAGAGCAAAAAAAGGTGGTTTTGACTTTTGAAACTGATGAGAAGAGAGAACCTCTAGCTTTTTACTGAGATCTTCTTCTTCCTTGTCACGTCTGTCTCTATCCTCTGAGAATATGGCGATTAAACTATCTTGCTCTTTCTTCATTTCTTCTAACTCATCTTTCGTTGTTTGAATCTTTCATCAAGAACAGAAAGATGAACCATTCGTTAGTCTTGTGTTTCACAAGCAGAGGAGACAGTAAACAAAATATCACAAAGCTTAAGAAATTACCTCAGCTTCAAGTTTCTTGCGTAGCTCTTTCTCACGTCGCAGCTCGTCTTTCAATAACATGAAAACCTCTTCCTTTTTACTTAGTCTGAGAGCAAAAAAAAAAAAAGACAGCTTTCAGGGTTTACACAAAGCAACTGTAATCGACAATTTAACATGGTACGGAAGGTAAAACAAACCTGTCTCTCAACTCTTCGTTCTCTTGTTCCAATTGACTCACGGTACGTGTACCAGACTGCGTCTTGGGGCTCTGTGAACGAACCTTCTCAGGAAGTTCAGTGACGTTTCTTTCAAGACAAGGATCATAATCAGAGTCATCATCACTGTTGATAACATCTACAGCACGAGGTCCTTGAGGCTTTGCTCGTTTGTTAGATTTGGAAACGGTCCTTTTAGTGTCTTTAGCAGATCCCTTTCCTCCAAGACTCTCATTTGATATTGTGTCGAACTTTTCTGAAGCTGCAGCTGGACTTCTTTTCCTAGTCGAGGACCATCTTTTAGGATCATATTCTTCTGGTGATGATTCTACAATGTGGGGAAACATTTCCAAGAGATTTGTTCAGCTCAAAAGTTTTGAAACAGAGTAAAAGAGATAATTGGTACCTCCGTCTTGAGAATCCTTTACGGACTTTTTAACTTGGGGCGACGCATATCCAATCTTGTGACTGTTAGTTCTCCTGAGTAAAAGCAGAAGGAAAAACATAATAAGCACAACAGAGTCTTAACAAAGCATCAAAGTTTAAGAAGCTTGTCACGAGAAGAGCATCAGACCAATAATTCTTCTGCATTTGAACTAGCCGTGCCTCCAGTCTAGACAAGACTGTTGTACGCTCAAAACCTTGCTTATCATGAGCAGGCTCAACGAAATTAGCTTCCAAGACACCTTAGTAACAGAATAAACTAGTATTAGACTTCACATTCAAACAAGGCTAAACCAAATATTTAGAGGTTATTAACATTACCTATGACGCCACGACCACCACTTCCTGCTGCATTCCATATCCTCCAAAATGGCTGACAGAAGAAGTGGAAAGTTAGTAAAGAATAGAGTTGATCTTTTTCGTGAGACTTGAAGGCATAGTAGTAGCAATATAAGCCAAAAGAAACAGAAACCTTGATAAGGCGATTTTTGTGGTAAACATTGAAGCCTTGAACATCAACATGATGTTTTGCATCCTTGACAAATCCAATGGTCACGACAGCACTCATCTGTACAAACAACCAAGTTTTAGTTTAACATCTACAACCTGCTTAGATTCTTTAAATAAAATTACAGGGAGAAATCTGAGTATAACCAAGTTACGAAAAACATACATTTGAGGGGTTAGCGGATCCATCAGCAGCTTCTTTTGGCCGATAAGTAATTTTATCTGCCTGCATCATGTCATTCACAAGGTTGTGATGCTCAACGTCTCTTCCTCGGAGAATGATACGGAATTCAGGTGGCACTCTTAGGTACAGAATCGATACATAACTCTGAGAACAAAAACAAACGCAGCCAACTTTTCAATGTGGTCGGAGACTGAACCAAACTAACTTATAAAAAATGAACATCCCTGGGTGAAGAATATTCATACCCTGAGTGAGTGCCTGTATGTCAAGAAGTGTCTAGAGTTGGGGAATTGAGAAGCCATTTTGATGTTTTTCTCGTCTCGATTGACCCCTCTAAGTTGAATATCCTGCAACAAAAAATATGTCAATACTATGGATACAAAAGCTTTTGTGTCGTTTTCCAGATCATCATAATTTGTGTATTATATTCAGCAATGAAAACACATACATGTGGATCAGTATCAAAATCAAGTTCTAGCATTCCTTCGTCATCTTCCCAGAGGTTATATATGATTATCCTTGTCCCATGATTCTTCATCAGATTAAACTACAACAGCCAGAGAAACAAATTAGTGGAAAAAATCTCAAAATATTAGTAACAGTAGCATTAAGGTTTCTTGAGAGCATCGCTTCGGTAGATAAAGTTCTGCTGGAGCTAAGGAGATCGTTTTACCTGGCTAAGAAGATCTTCTTCAGTAGAAAATGGCGACCACTGAACTACTGTTTCCACGTTCTTATCCCAATCAGCAACCGACGACCGTAGCATTGGACTCCATTCAGACCCTATTCTTTCGTAGTCAAGCTTTCATTTAAACCATCATCATAAGAAGATTAGAAGAGACAAACTGGATATCAAAGCCTGCTCTACTCAAAGAAACATATGTTCTGGATATGTAGCCAGAGATACATAAACGAACAGTTGACTCTAGAGAAGATATAGGTTCTAGGAATGTGATGCCTAAACTAAATTAAGAATCCTGAAATCAAATTCCAAACGAAGCTAGGAAAATGTTAGCTTTCGCTACACAATGCATTGCTCATCTGAAAAGAAGAGAGTAGACTAGAAAAATTTCTGCTCCTTTCAACACTAGTTCATACAGAAGATGGTCTTAAACAGTGTCTAAGCAACTTAACTATGCTTAAAATCGAAACACGTACTAACAGAAGATGGTTATTTCGTAGCAGCATAGTCTAAACACATAAACCAACACTAAAACAACTGAATTTCCCTAACAATGGCATACAGATAAACTAAGGTAGAAAGATTACCATGGGTACAACAATGTCCTCTTTCCCGGTACTCGTCAGAAATGTATATGACAGCAGCCCAATACTCTGCGTAGAGCTAAAACCAAACAAATAAACAAAGAAGTACGATGTTATTGATCTTTCTCAACAGATAAGATATCATAATCCAACAAAATCATTACGGGTCCATTTTTTCGTCTACCTCATTCCATCTTTTCCTCGGCAACGTGAGAATACAATGACATCAGCTCCGAGTCTCATTGTACTAGTCTTGAATCCATTGCCATCTACAAGAAGTATAAGGAAGTAAGATAATCTTAACGCAAGCGTTTGGCACATAATATTGAAGGAAGAAGATTCTTACACTGTCCAATGGTGTTTGCAAGTTTGCTCTTTGCAGAGTATCCCAGAGACATACAATGTCTCATCTTTTCAGGACTCATTCCACCCCCATTATCTGCATTTTCCAGAATACTCCATTGATGATGATCAAGCTTTAAGTAAAACGACACTTTAACACAAACAGAAGAACAAGAAATCAACTCTATTACCTTCAATCAAGACCATCCTGTTTTCATCTTTCTTATTGTTGAGCGTGTCAATATTAACATATGTAGCTCCACTATGAACCTAATAATCAGAAGATGACAGCAAAAAAACCAATTGATATACAAAAATGCACTTTAAACCTTTTGAAACATTTCCAAAAAGTACAAGAAAAAATCACACCTCATCCAAAGCATTGTCCAATAGCTCAGCAAAAGCTACAAGAGATAACAAACATATGAACAAACATCGTTCCCATTGCATAAAACATTGTTATATATAGCAAAAAATTCATTTCTTGAAAGTATACCTCCAAGAGCCCATTTGTGACTTGTTGCATTAGAATGCAAGAACTTGGGATGGACTCTTACATGATCAAATCCACCTGAAGAAACAAACAATTTATTCTCATTTTGACATTCCAAATCATATTCCTAAGTCTATGAAACAATCCGATTTTGAAATTAACCTGCAGAAACTTCCCAAGCACCACATGATGGTTCATCGTAATCTCCAGCTTTCCAGAACTGTTTGCAATTTACCAGAGAAGAAATAGGCTTCATCGCCGGAAGAGCCACAATCGCTGTTCCCGGTGGTGGAACCGAACGGCAAAACCCTTGGTCTTCCTCCTCCTCCGGAACCACGACCGCTAGCCTCTTCGCCGGAGAAGCGTTGAAATCACTTCGCGCTCTCTTCTCACCGGAGGAAAAGGTTTGAGGGAAACCACCGCTTCGGTCGGCGCTTTCTACTTCCGCGATTTCGTCAGGGTTTACGCAAAACTCGGATGCTTCGTCTTCGTCGCTACTGCTGAGATTTATAACGTCTTGGTATTCTCCAGGCGGAGTGATTCTGTTACCGGCGGGTTTCCACGCCGGAAGAGTCGATGTTGGTTGACTGAGATTCTCCTGTTTCACCCGAATATCCATTTCAAAGAAACGGAAAAAGAAGTAGAAGAAAGGAAACGAGATTGCAGACGAGGAAGTAAACAAAGAGAAACAGAGAAATTTAAAAGGAAGAAAGTTGCAGAAAAAGTGAGGAACGAAACGAAACGAAGAAGAGGAACCGAATTTGGCAATTTTTGTTTTTTTTTTTTTCAATTTGGCCATACTTCCGACCAAAAAAAAAAAGAAAGGCCATACTTACCGATATGGAACGCTGCCGTTCTGGTCTGTTTCTCTGCACTTCTTTAAAAGTTATACCAAAAATATACCTCATGAAATGAAACTGTTAATTGGTAAATAGCTATAAATATTAAATACATAGATTAAGATAATTGTAAAATAGTAATTATTTTTACGTGTTACAAAGAAAAGAAGAAAAGAAATTGTGTTAACACTATTAAAGGGTGAGGGTTCAAAGATGTTTTTTCAGTTACAAAATTTTAAACCTATACAGCTACACATAATTCACTGCCTCAGGTACTAATTGGCAAAATGGCTTTAGAGGCTTTGGAGACTTAAAAATTTTGAAAGTCTTTAAAGTCATATTTTACCCAATCAGGCTTTTGTAATTCTAAAGCCTTAAAAGCCATCAACTGCTCACTAAAAGTTCTTAAAGCCTTTATTCTTTTTTTATCCTTCACAAAACGTTAGTTTTTTAAAAAGCCAAAAAACATGGATTTTTTTTTTCTAAAGCCAGCAGTTTTCATTCTTAAAGTCACAGTTTTTACAGTCATTTTTAAAATTAAAATAACAGCAAAATCCTAAACAATCAGAGCCTTGATCGTAGATTATAATCACACATTCAAATTTGATGTTATGAGATCTTTAATTTGTAAACTGGGCCTTTTAACAATTTTTTTTTGTAAATTACTAGTCAAGATTTACTGATTAAAGTGTCGTTTAATTCTGAATGAACGTAGACAAATAAAATTACTAATAAAATATAACATTTGAAAACAAAAAGGAAATATAACATGTAGTTATTAAGATAATCCTTTAACTAATTACATTTTAATCAGTAAAATATAAATGTTATATTTTTTTATTAAGATAATATTTTGTCTACTGTCTCATGTTATCTTGCCTAGAAGGAAGATCATCAAATCTTATATATAACTAGGAGAAAGCCCGCGCGTAGTGTTGAATGCAATTTGTAAAATTACTTTTTTTTCATACTCAACTTTCCATCAGACTTACATGGCGTTGTAGTCTTCTTTCTTGTCAACGATCAAAAGACAACATGAGTGAATGGGATAGTTTGGTAGAAATATTAATATGCATACCTTTTATGGTTGTTTGAGGAGACTATCAGCTTATTTTGGTTCAATTTGTAGACAATATAAAATTATATCCATAGATTTGCATGGACAATTTATCTAATTTTGTGAAATCGTCTAATACTCTGCTCACCAATATCAATCTGCTTTCCGATCCAGTCAGTTGTCACTCTTTTAATAAATTATTTGTTTTAGTTTTTTCCTAGAAATGGATATAACTTCTACCATCTAACTATCTAAGGAGCCTTACGTACTATTTTTGTCGAGGGACACTCGAGAAAAAGAAAAGAAAAAGAGGACCAACTAACCAAAATATCTGGGTTAAGTCGACATTGATTTGAAGTTGCAGAAGTTTATATCAGCACAGGGAATCTCAACTTGTCTCCAAAGACACCATCCCCTATTTTAGCTTGTCACTGTGGCTTTTGGATAACCAAAACAGGATGAAATTATTCAAAGTAACGTATGAAACCACTCTTTCTAACTTCACTATTTGCAAGGATTTCTTTAAAACCTTCATCATAATGTAACTAAACAATTTGTTTAGCCATTTGCATTTTGCACCAATTTAAATACATATTTGATCATGATAATTTGGAAGCACAAAAGTAGTGGAAAATACTTTTCTCTTCCCCTCCTAATCGTCCAATCTCTCTACAAATCGACCTTCTCAAACTTTATACTTTCATATGTTCTTGAGCTTGAATCACAACATTGAAGAGTCTCCCTTCTCACTGAGACATCAAATCCGACAACTGACCAACCCGAATTGACCCGAAAACAGAGAAATTAAACTGAGACCAAGTATCCACCAATGGCACTTAACCAAGAAACCTCATACAAAATGTCAGTTCTATGTCCAAATGTACATGCATGAAATCTACCTAAAAGCAGCACAAAACCAATGGAAATTTGCAATAAGCAAGCCACAGATCAATCTTAAGTCCCATAGTGTCACATTCTTGAAGCAAATTTACGAATATTGTTCTTCTCTCCGGTAGAGAAAAACACAATTCTGGAACAAACATGATCAAACTGGACATGAAAAGATGATAGAATCTTTCTGATAGTCGAGCACAGAGATTAAACTGATACATGACCATAATCAGATAACTAAAACAGAGAGATTAAACTGAGACCATAACTACTTGTTAGGTAACATTTTCATCCATTAATTGCACTTAATCAAGAAACTTCATACAAAATATCAGTTCTATATCCAATTGTATATGCATAAAATCTACCTAAACCAGCACAATACCGTGTCCGTTTGAATCATCAATAAAATCAATGTACTTTTTCGTAGCGCGGGCTTGTATCAATATCTATCTACAAATGATGTCCGGCAAGTAAACGCAGCCGAAGAAAAGTAATTAGTGAACAAGTACATATAATTATATCTCCCATTTACATTAGATTACTTATGCAAGTATATGTTAATTAGCTATCTTAGGTTCTTGAAGACGAAAAAAATGATAATCATTAACCAGATAATTACATCCTAACGCTACTCACTGTGAATATTTTGACTCTGCTTGTAAACGGAATCAGCAAAGGAGCTTGCAACAGTATGTAGTTGGCCCTCGTACCTTTCGTTATGGCCTGGATAAAGGAAACAATATCAGCAATGCTAGGGACAATTTAAGACCAAATCATTGAAAATGATACATGACGAACTTTTTTAGTGTTGGCATGTCACAAACAATAAACAAAATTGCAGTGTGGAAGTCACCTGAGAGATGAAATATTCATTGACTGTGTCCGCTTGGAAGTCGCTCGAGGAAGTAAATTGTTGCCGGTTGTTCCAATCTTGCAGCAGCGGAAATATTTCATCAACAAAGCAATGACCTTTGTCAAGTTATACTGACTTAGAGTAAAAATACCACAATTGGTCAAGGATTGTTAGCTTCTTTGCAGCACATACCTGTGAAAGTAACTCAGAGACTACAACCCCAACCCTGTTCTGAATCAAGTCAACAGGTTTCTTCTTGGAGAGGTCTTTGGAGACGGATTTCCCAGTGTTATGTTGCGTAAGCGGATTCACCCATAGTAACTGCCATAAAGCCTGAAAAAAAGGACGATCATACACAAAAATAATTGGAAAATAAATAGCATGGCACATTATATGTGAAACAATCAATATCCCAAAAAAATAAGGAGACACTACACAACAAATAAGCAGGATTAAAATGTGAGAGATCAAAACTGTACTTTTGATAGCATCTCTGGGGGTCTTGAAACCAAGGCCAATGTTCTTCCAGAAGCGATTACCTCCTTTCCCAGGCTTCTTTCCTTTGCCAGATTTCTTCGACCTGTTCAAACAATTTAAAAGTGGGGCAAATAAGGGTCAGAGCAATTAAAAAGTCTATATCTATATCGAAACAGAGGCAAGCAATGTTTGTTTTCAAGAGATTAACACAGAGTTGAAGCTTTTACAGAGTAAAATAAGAAGACAGTGTAGAAGCAGCATCTTATATAACACAATTACATGAAAATGTGTCAAATTTAGGATATAATCTCAACTCAGAACAACCAAAACCCCAAATTTCAACAATAAACAGAGCAAGAAACTTCAGAAAACTTCAAAATTAGTGAGCAGCAAAACCTATTTGCATCAATCAGTTCCAGCTTAAAAATTCTAGCTTTTCATGCTTTAAGCCTTACACAGACCATATCATACCAAATCCAAAATCTCACTCTTAATTTTCCACAAACCCTAAGAAACAAAAACAAATTTTGCAACAAAGCCACCCAAAAACGAGTACCCACTTTCCCCTTTTTGAGATTAGCTTTCTCATTTCGTCAAGCGAGATCGATTAATAGTTCATATGATGGTACCTATTTCGTGGGAGCAACACCAAAAGAGAAGCGATGATAAACCAGAATAACGCGACGGAATCGATGAAGATGATAATTGCGAGCTCAGAAGCGATGAAAAACGCCCGGAAAAAGGTAAAATGAGACGAACGGCCGGAAGACCGGCGATTAGAGACGAAAGCGAAAACGAAAACGGAAATGTCAGGCGGAACCGTCTTTTAACAACTTCAAAGCTCGAGACTGCCAAGCAACAGAAATGTCAAGGAAGAACTGAAAACCATGATTTATAAAAATTAGAGATCTTGAATCGCTGGGATAGAGACTTACGTTTGAAGTCACAAACTCTGGTGCTCTTGGCTCCACTGTTACCATTCTGTGAGGAGTATACAAATACGAATCACGGAGCATCTGCATCACGAAGTAATCCGTCTGGCGGGACTTAACAGAGCTTCACCGTCGTCGTGGGTTTCGATGCGATTCCATGCCGTTTCATGGCGAAATCGCCTGCGACGAAGGAGAGGGGCTAACAAAGGGATTGGGAGAGGTTTATTAAAAGTGAAAGGAAGGCTATGCGACAATGGTGAGAAAGAAGAAACGTTTGACGGGAATAAAAGAAGGAAACAAAAAAATCAGAGAAATTCAGAGAGAGTGACACGTGGCCAACTCTCTCATTATATACTGGAGAGAGTTGGCCTCTTATTATATACTCTATATCAGCAAAAAAAAATCATTAAATTGTTTTTAAGATATTTAATACATGACTATTCATATTTCTTTACATATATTTATATTTTAAATATAAATAAAACTAAGAAAAATACACAACTAAATTACTTAATTAATATAAACTATGTGATAATTTGATGTTAAAAGTTATGAAAAAGTTTAAATATAAGTAAAAATATATTTAACTTGAAATGGTATATATTTACCTTTTTATTAAAAGGATTTATCCTATTTCTAAATGTTATAATGTGTTTACAAATTAAAAAGTTGATATAAATTAATTAAAATAATAAAAAACCAATGACAAATTAGAGTTAGAGTTTGCTTTTTTAAACAAATAGAAGTCGAGTTTTTATATGTAAATTTAATTGCAGTGAAAAACATAATTTTAAGGATTGTGATATGTTTGTTTTAAAATATATTCACTTACAAAACTAACATAATAGAAAATAATCAATGGTCATGAGACTCATATGCTACCACAACAAAGTAGATATGTAAAAAAGTATATATATATTTTTTTTCATCTTATTTCGGTGCAAATGCGATTTTACATTATACTTACAAATTTTAACATTGAGTCAAATACATATGCATGTTTATAGTCTAACAGAAGTAAACAAACATAATATTTATAATATGCTAAAATGTTTAAAATAGAAAACTCGAGATAAAGTGGGGTGTTAACATCCTAATAAAATAAAATAAAAGGACGTGCGATGTGAGATAAAGTATAAATAAAACTAAACAGAAAACTATCGCAAACAACCCGCGCTTGCGCGGGGCTTCAAACCTAGTTGATGTTAATCCAACTAGGAAATATAACATAATTCAATTAAAACCAGTTAATTCCTACTTAGTTTGAGTATGATTTAGTATATTTATAGCTTAAATACATTAGGCCGTTAACACATCTCTCACTCAGATTAAACTTCCAAGTTAGTATACTTATATAATAGCTACATAGCTCTAGTTTCCCTTTAACATAAATTTTATGTACTCTGCAATAAAAAACCATGAATAAATTAATATTACAAGTTTGTTTATAAAAAGATAAAGCAATTTTAATGTGGAGATTTTTTTGTTTAACACTATTATTCATTCTATATCTATCTTAATAAAAAAAATAACATTTGAAAATAAAAAGGAAATTACTAGATTATATTATTGAAGTTTATAGAATGATATGCAAAACACATGTTGCCATGTAGCCTTGTAGGATTGCCACATTGCCATAAGAGCTTGCCTCAAGACAAAACAGTAATACATAGAAAGCGGAGAGAACAAAGAAGAAACCACAGTGAAGCAGAGTCCTCAATCTCCATGCATGGATTTAACCAACAAGATCATCAACCTCATCTTTTCTCCTTTAGCTTTGTACGGCCTTTTCGTCTTCTACCCAATCTACCAGAGGCTAAAGTCAGCTGTCTCCATCTACCGGAATCTTTTCTCCGAAAATGTGGCCGGAAAAGTGGTTATCATCACAGGGGCAGCTTCTGGCATCGGCGAGGTAAGCTTTACAAACAAAAACAAAATGGTTGATGATTAGGGTTAAGTATAAATGTGGGTTTGATATTGTGTATAGGCTTTAGCATATGAGTATGGGAAGAAAGGAGCGTATTTAGCACTTGTTGATATAAGAGACGAACCTCTTTTCCATGTGGCGGCTCTCGCTGAGCTCTATGGCTCCCCTGAAGTCATGCCCATAGTTGCCGATGTTTCCAAACACCAAGATTGCGAGCGTTTTATCCGAGACACGGTTCTTCATTTTGGCCGATGTAAGTAAATAGTTTAATTAGATTCTAGATGGTTTTGTTTACGTTTACATTTTATGATTCATATAATCTTGTCCTCTTTATTTTTTAACAAATGAAACTATAAGCTCTGGTCTTTTTAATTTCTTTCGAAACATCAAATTGAATTACAGTAAAACCTCTATAAAATAATAATGTTGGGACTTTGAAAATTTATTATCTTATAGAGGTATTACTTTATGAATAAATTCAATATTTAGAATTTTTTAAAATTTATAATCTTCGAAAATTATTCTCGATATGATAATCTATTAAAAATTTTAAAATAATTAATATGACTTACATAACTTGAAATTACGATCAAATCTTTTGGATATCGTAATAAAACATATATTATTAACTTCTATAAATATTTATTTATACATAATGAATTTTAAAAGTTTAGAAAAAACTTATAGCTATTAATGAAGTTGAAAATAATGTGTTTAGAATATCTTTAACAGTTTTACATGCACAGAAAAATTTCATTATGAGTTTTTATATAATAAAAAGTTAGAGATAAACTTAATTCATAGTTTAAAATTTTAGGTATATAATGTATATTTTTTATATATTTATTACTTTAACTTATAATTGGGACCATATTTTTACATAGAAGTTTCAAAAATATTATTATCTTATCATCTTATCGCATTTTGCTTATTTTTACACTGGTCCGAGTTGGGACCGGAAAATTTATTATCTTAGAGTGATTATTATTTTACCGAGTATTACTTTATAGAGGTTCTACTGTATATCATTAACGCCAAACGCAAGAATACTTTATTTGCTTTTGGAGACTGCGTTTAAAATGTAAAACTTTTTTTTTCATATTTTAAGACAAACCTAGAAATTTTATAGAAATTTTATACTCCTTCCGTTTTTTTAATTTTCTAGTTTTTTCACACCTATTAATAAAAAGTTACTTTTCAATCATAAGTTTATTGATTTTTGCAATTACACTATTTCCTATAACTTTAACCAATAAAAATCTAAGAAATATAATTATTTTTTCTTGAAATCTGAAAAAGTGAGTCAAAAAACTAAAAGATTTATCTTTGTGAAACAACAGATAATTCCTAGAAAATTCATCATATAAAAAAGGGAGAGAGTATTATATTTGCATGGGAATGCGAGTTTACTAAAATATTTTGTTACTATTTGTGGATTTTTATTTTCTTTATGTTTTGATTTGTGACAGTGGATCATCTAGTGACAAATGCAGGAGTTGCTCCACTCTATTTGTTTGAAGACCTCGATGATCTATCAAAAGCTTCACCAGCTATGGTCAATTTACTCCGACCAAAGATCTCTCTCTACGACAATATGTTCTCTACTTAATCGACTACTGTAATAAGTTATTGTTCTTTTCACAGGACATAAACTTTTGGGGATCAGTGTATTGCACTTTCTTTGCTTCACCGTACCTAAAGAAGTCTAGAGGAAGGATTGTGGTGATTGCTTCTGGATGTGGTTACATTGCTTCACCAAGATTGAGTTTTTATTGTGTAACATTTTTGTTTTCATTTCGTCTCTTCTTAATTATACAAACCGTTTGATCTCAAACATTCATTTGATACCCTTGATACTATATGTTGATGGATTCAGGCGAGCAAAGCCGCTGTGATCGCCTTTTACGAAACATTAAGAACCGAGTTTGGATCGGAGATCGGGGTAACGATAGTAGCACCTGGAGTAGTTGACTCAGAATTGACCCGAGGCAAGTTCATGACAAAGAATGGCGAACTTAAAGTCGACAAAGCTCTCAGAGATGTAAGCATATCTATCTGAATCTATTATGTTCCTTAATGGTTGCAATAGCTCATTAGTACTTGGAGTAATAACATAAGTGAAAATGAATGAAAAATTATAATTAGAGGAACGAAGGTGAATTCAATATTTTTTTTTTAAAATAAAAATTTATATCAAGTCGAGTTTTGAAAAATTAATTTCTGTTTTTGTTTTTGTTTCCTAATCATAGATCGATGTAAGCTTTCTTTAATGGTTACAAAATATGGGGTTTAGGCGTTAGCTCAGTAGTACTTGGATCAATAAGATAAATGAAAATTTATGATTAGAGTAAAGTTGAATTCAATACCTTTGTTGATACAACATTATACATATGAAATATTTAGTCAAGAATTTTGTTCATCTAATATTTTCCACACAAAAAAAAAGCTTTGTTTTGTTTTCTAATTATATGGAGAATAACCTAGAAAATAAAAAAAAACGTATTGATGAAATTTACTTTTTGAATGTAAATGGTAACACTTTTATATCAAATGAATCAGGTGCAAATGAACGTATTGCCAGTGGAATCAGCAGAGAGGTGTGCGAAAGCGGTAATAAGGAGTGTGTGTAGAGGAGATAGGTACTTGTTGGAACCGGCATGGATCGGTTCTGTAATACTTTGGAAAGTGTTCTGTTCTGAGGTAACAGATTCGTTGGGCCGGTGGCTAGTGATGGCTGGACCAACATTACCAATGAAGAGGATTCTTGATCTAGTCAATGCCCTAACAGTCTTCTTCTCTATATCTCATTATCAGTAATGTCGATATTTCAATCATTTTATGTATTTGTTTTTTAGCACTTACAGTATAAACTCTATAAATTAATAAAGTTGGGACTGGTCAGCTATAAATTCATACTACATCTTTGTATCTGGTCAGCTAGCGGAAACTTATACAAACAAGTTAGTATTTCGAATACATTATGAGCCACACATGTTACATGATTAACCATAAGTTGGAAATAATTAATTAAGATAACCAGTGATACAATTTCACTCTTTTAATTTAAATACACACTTGGTGTAACCCACTCCTCATTTACATCGTTTTCAACTCTTCATAGGAGCCACAATTCTTTTTCTGCCGCCTCTTTGACTGGAAAAAAAAGTAATAATTTCAATTAATACAAACCAAACACCACTAATTTTGAATAAATCAAGTATACTAACTATGAGAAGGTTGATAAAACGTAGCGTGCCTCTTAGAATTAAGGAAACTAAAACTACTCCCCCTTTTTATATGCGTCTTTTCAAAAAGAGTCGCATATATTAAAATGGTTGTTATGTAAATAACACACCTTTGATAAAAAAAATAGTATAGTTTATGTAAGAGTCACTTACTTTTTCTCTTTAAATAATATGATTATTTTTGCAGATAGATTTCCAACTATATATCAATTATTTTACAAACCATACATTCTTATATATAACAAAAACTAAACTAATACCAAACTTATTATTATTATGAAAATGTGTTGTTGTTGTTGTGAATGTAGAAAGTCTTAACTCAAAAGTTTTAAGTTCGAATCTAGTGTAGGAAAAGACATCTTCGTTACCAAACAAAAAGGTCTTAACTCAGCTATAAACTCTTCTGTATACTAATTAAGATGCAAATCAAATATGGTATAAGCCGACATTTAAATCGTAGAAAGAAAAAATGGAAAGTAATTCAAGCAAATTGTTTCATTTCGGTCATGTGAAGTTTTTTTGTTTTTTCACATTTCCACTCAAGCTAAAAGCGTATATGGTAATGCTATGAACAACTTAGTATGTATAATATAGAAAACGAAAAAAAAGAAAAGAAATCAAAATTAAAATCTATTCAACTTGAACAAAGACGGAGATCGAAGAATCTTGTATGAGCCATTACGTCTCATGGCCATAGAGTCCATACCACCACGACTGCATGATCGATACGGACTACCTAGCCCGCAAATCGGAGGACTAACCAAACCATCATCTTCATCATTATAATCATCATGATCATGACAATCATTTGACTTCATATCGGCCAAAACCTTGAAGAAAAAGTCAACCTCGCAAGGAAGAACAATGGGTCCATCACGTCTATACCCATACTCGGTCTCTGCGTCTTCTAACAAGTTCTTGAACAAAGGATGGTTCACCAATTTCGTCTTCACTACAATTCTCTGTCTCGTGGGACCGACGTATACGGTGAAACACCCATGTGGTGGCGGCGAATCTTTCTTGATCTTTACTTTTGGTTCGTTGCTCTTAGCATCATCGATAAGAACAGCCCCGTTCCAAGACTTGCTCTTCTTGATCGAGGCCGTGGTCGAAGAGGTTGTATACCCAAAAGACTTCATTTTTCTCCACGTCTTCATTATTGGATTCTCCACTAATGCTTTCTTCCTGAGTGGAGATGGTGTATCCATTGGTTTAATGATTTTTTTTTTCTCAATATCAGAATCAAGAAGTGCTTGTGGGTCAGGATCTTCTTTTTTTGGTTTTAATAGTATTTTTTTTTTTTTTTTTTTTGCTAAAAGGTTTTATAGTTTACTTGTTTCTTTAATCTCTCATATATATAGAAGATCTTGATTGGGAATGAAGAGATGAGTTTACTTTGATGACATTGACAAAGTAGAAGAGGGCGGGCTTAACTTTTGCATACGTCCATACTTCACCATATAAGAACTCAAACTCTAATAATTGAATTTGTTTATATATATGTAATTTAATAAACAAATATATCTTTCAAACTTATTATTGGTGATCTGGTTTCTGGTATGTTTGTTTTATTCAGTTTGGTCAACGGAAATGGTTTTAGTCGGCTTTGCAAGGCGAATACCACCTGAATTTCCTTTTGGACATACTTATTTATCTAGTTTTTATTACAGAACACACACCATATTATCTTCTTGAATTCTGTTGTTTATCCTTTAAAAAAAAAAAATTAGCATGTCAACGGAATCTAAATGGTTTTGAATGAATCTAAAAGAATCCCGAGAGAGTTATGTGAAATTTCTTATGGATTTGTGTATATAATTTATATTCTTGAAAAGTTGTGTAAATGTATGGTTGAAGGATTATATTGCAGTTGGTTTTGTACCATTAGTATTTGACCTTGCTTGTAGTCCGATTTAAAATAAAGAGGACATGTTTTCCACATTTTCCATGAAGTGCATCGCTAAATAACGAAGAAGTCAACATTTTTGCTTACTCTATCCATTACATGTAAAATTACTGCTATGATAAGCCTTCCTCATATTACAGCTACCCTAGAAAACACTACCAGAGGCGGAAATATCAGAAACAATAATTTACTCATTTATAGTGACTTCAATACGTTGGAAACTATACAGAACAAGTTTTGTTTTGTTTTTTGTTTTTTGTTATTAAATGTTTGGTGTTAAACATGTGAACTTTTTGGTTTTATCTTTATCGAAGACAAAGGTTGAATTACTTTATTTACAAAAGTATTAATTTCATTTGGGTTTAATAACTTTTTGCGGTTGAACTTCCAGGTACTAGTGGTGGAGGATGAAGTGATTTTATCTTAGCTAGGTAGGAGAGGGTGAAGTTAGAGATAAGATAGAACTTAGTTTAGAGAGATAATGATGTCATGTATAATGAGCCAAAAATCACTTGTTTACTAAACTTTATACTTAGTCTGATTTGGTGCCACCTGCCCTCCTAAGTGGTTGATGCTTGACCATTAGATCATATAGAATTTTCCATCTCAGCCACAAAAATTACTTTTCTTTCCTAACTTTCTTAATCAAGTTTAATTTGGTCTAAAAGTGGATCACACACAATTTTACGAGAAATCTCTAAAAAGAAAAGTTAATACTTACATAGTTACATCACATAAATACCAGATTACTTGGATTTGTATACCTTTTGTTTTTTTTCTCACTTGGATAGTGACATGTCCCTTTGTTAACTTACTGTTCAAACGATCCATGTACACTAAAGCATCAAATTCATAACTAAAAGTACCAAACCTTATTCTTCTTTCAATCACGCTTAATACAAGTCGAGCAGAGTATTATAGTATACGCAACAGTCACACAAAGTATTACATAATTCTATAGAGCAAATAAAAGATCATACAATAGACTCGCAGTATACTTAGTCATACAATAACAAGAGCATCACTAATAATCTTCATCACCCTTCTTAATTATTTCCATCAACTACTGGTGGGTTAAGCTCCTCCCATGCCTCAATCCAAGCAACCATTGCATCTGCCAACTTCTCAAAGTAAGGATCTACTTCAGTGAGCTTCTCCTTTGTCATCTTAGCGAGCTCCATGTAGCACTTAGCAGCTGTGTCAGATTCTTTGGAGAGACGAAGGTTTTGAAAGAAAGGAACCATATCTTCTTGCCAATGGAGTCCCTTGTGCTCTTTCTTCAGGTTCACGAAAGGGTTACTAGCTTTGCTGTGCCACAGATACGGCAGACCGGTCTTGGCTCCAAAGCCCAAGTGGTCACACACCACTTTGGCTGCCCAACCAGCCCACATGTCATCGTACCGAGAAATGGGCTGGCCTTCACCCATGAGCCCAAAGTACATAGCCGGTCCAATAAGCTCTCTATTGAAAGCAAGATTCATCCCACACATTGGGTACAACACTCCTTTTGGTATTGTCATCACTGCATCAACATATCTGCAAGAGCTAAAGTTTATATCAAAGTTATAAATACATAATAGAAACATAGAACACAAAATCCTAACCAACTCAAATTTTATTTTAACACTTAACTGTAATAATCTTTTTGTATAAACACCATAGATATATAACAAACCCGACTCAAACCAAGAACTAAAATCCAAATCAAACCAATAAAATAATTCGGTTATACGATATTTTTCGAAACCAAAAGACCCGAAATACCCAAAAAAAATCAAACCGAACCGAAAAACCTAATTCATATTACCACTACATGCAAAGCAAGTACTAGAACGCAAGGATCTTGAGATCTATATTATGACCTGGTGTTGCGTTCCCTAGGCTTCACGAGTTGGGTGGGAGCATCGTAATCAGGGATGTTGAGCCAGAGACCATGAGAGATGGCGGTTTGAACACCTTCCCTTAAACTAAAAGGATATCCTCTCACAAAGTCAGTGCCATCTCTAAAAGGGTCATAGAGAGTGTTAAAGTAGTGTGGTGTTGAAGGTGTCTCAAGGTTCTTTATGTGTTGAGCTATCACATTAATCTCTTTCCCACTTGGATCCTTTGCCACCTTTTTAATATTTTTTTTCAAGAAAAAGGGAAGAAGCATGGCGTTACGTAAATATAAATGTAAACGGTATTAAGGAGAAGAAAGAAAAAACAGACTTACAAAGCAATCATCATCAATAGTGTATATATACTTCTTTTTGGAGACCATGAAGCCAAAGCAACGACATCCACCATCTTTGTAGGAAATACAATTAGCTCTAGGACCAAGGATCCTATTGATATCATTACGGTTGTAGAGCTCGTAGTCATAACCCTCAGGAACTTGGATCTTGATTGAAGGATCTCCATCTTGGACAATGATCAAGTGGTAATGCTTGAGAAACGGCCTCCACTGTTCTAGAAAGTCGAGGCTTCTGATGGTTGGGATCACAATATCCATATCATCCTTTAATGGTGCGGCTTCGATAGCTTCGAGGTTGTAGCCGGCCATTTTTTTTTGTACTTAGATCGTTAGGTATAGCTGTTTGTGAGATGATTGTTTTTTTAGGGAGGAAACTTAGGGTTTATATAACGGTTTTAGAAGTAAGATATTTCATTAATCTCTCAAATTACTTTTTGTCTTCTAGGAATAACAGAAAATAAGGGCATCCACAAAAACAGCGTCTACCAAAAGAAATGAAACTATCAAACAGTTTTTCACCTTTTCTGCATATTTTGTGAATTGTAGTTGTTCGTATATTGCGATCACTGAGAAAATTATAGGTTAGAGCTCGTTGTCCTATTGCTTAAAAGAATAATTTTGTCTGAATAGAACATTTAGTATTTTTGGGTATACAAATTAACCATTAACCAGAAAAAAGACATTCGTCCTACGTACACTGCCTATCCTGTTTAATAAGTAACTTACACGAAATTTATTTCTTTTGTTAAACCAAGAAAATAATATTTGCCATAAAAGTAACTACAAAGATATTTCACAAAATAAAATTTATTTGTAATTTGTTCAAATAAAACAACTACTAGCTAGAAAACTGAGAATATTGGACTAGACTGACCATTAAGGGGCTTATTGAATTGATGATTTGAGAGGATTTGTTTTTTTTTTTTCAAATCCCCTCTTATTGGATCTAGTATTTACAAAAATCATTCCAAATTCTGGTTATTGGATTGATCATTTATACAAATCCCTTAAAATCCCACCTTATTGGAAAATTGGGATTTCATCATGAAAATCTATAGAAAACTGTTTTGAGTGATTTGTAAAATATTTTTAGTTAAAAATAAACAGATTCAAATACCACCTAATGAGATGAGATTTGATTATTAAACAATTGAACTACCATTTCCTTTTTCTTATCACACGACTAACACCAGAATTTTTATGATCTTGATAATGATAAAAATATTTTCTTGATTTCACAAGAACTGTTTGAGATTATCTTCTTCTTGTTAGTTAATTGAATATAAATAGATAATGTACCAGTCTCCAAACGCCACACTTTACCAGAAAAATTAGCATTAGGGTTTTTGAGAAAAAAAGGTAAAAGTTCTTGTCTCTATCATTTGTGTGTATTTTTTTACATAGTAATGAATGTTTTGTGATCAAACTTGTTTTTGATATTGAACTATACGATTGTGTGTTGTTGTTCTTGGATTTTTCTCAACGTTCTATATAATTTTCCTGATAATAGTGAATTGATTGGGTAGCTATCTCTCACAATCAATGGAAGATACACAAGAAAGCAAAAGTAAAAATCCGTATCTTCCTTGGTCTACTCACGAAACCAAAACATTGTTGCGTTTGTTGGTCGATGGTGTCAATCAGAACTGGGCTGATCAGAATGGTTCATTCAGTAAACTTACCGTGGAGCAAAGAATACTACCAGAGCTAAACAGAATTTGCGGATCTAAGAAAACTCTGCTCCATTACAAAAACCGAACGAAGATTCTGAGGGGTAAGTACAAGAGTTATGCCGATCTTCTACGTTTTAGTTCTGGATTTGGTTGGGATTCGGAGACAAAGAAGTTCACTGCTCCAGATGAAGTATGGGAAGAATATTTCAAGGTAAAATAATTTGTTAAAAGCATAGTACATGATTTGATTATGCACATCTTTTTGTCTTACATGATAATATTTTTGTTTTTCATAATAGGAACATCGGAAAGATAAACACTTACGTGACAACTCATTTGAAGATTATGAGGATCTACACACGATCTATGGGAAGAATGTAGCAATTGGAAAGAATGCAATGGGTTTAGGTGATGCCACAGATGCTCGTACTTATGGAGCAGAAAATAGTGAATGGGACTACCAAGGTGGATATACTCCTCAAATGATGGGTGATGATGATGAGGATGATGATAATAATGATGGAATAGAACAAGTTATTTCATCTTCGTCACAAAGGAATGCAAACGGAAAGCTCCCGATAAGGAAGAAAGCTAGGACTGAGAGATTCAACGTGGAGAAAATTTCTGATGAGATAAGTGCAGTTACTGGAATGAATAACCAGATGTTTAGTATGATACAACAAAGATGGCAGAAAGAAGCTGAAGAGAAACAAGCTGAGGAAAAAAATGATAATGTATGGGATGCTATTAAGGAAGTTCCTGACTTAGAGGAAAATGAACGTTTTGATGCTATGAACTTAGTTCACCAGTTAGGTATGAAGGCTGGGTTTGTGAAGATGACTATAGATGAACGTCGTGAATGGATTAAACGTAGCGTGCACAAGCCTTGAAGTTGGTGGTGGAAGAATTATCATGTTCTTAGATTAGTTTAGTTATATTGGTTTTTTTTTTTAAATGATCTTTATGCTTTGTCATGGTGTTTTTAATTTCTGATTTGGTATCTCTTTTTGTGTAGTTGCTTCTAAATAATAAAGAACTTACATACAATAGCTTTTTATCAAGCTGTTGTATTTTGTCTAAACAATTTTTTCTTCATCATGTTAATTTTTACAGTCTTTTTTTTTTGTGTGGCTCTAGTTATAAGAGATGAGTCACTGATCTTACACATATGTCACTTGAGCAGGTAAAGAAGATTGTGGTCACTTTCCACGTCTACGAAGTTAGACATCTTCGAGAAGAACTGGTATGATTTTTCTTTCTCTACTATTTTTAATTGAAAATATCTTGCCTTAGTTTTAACGAACAATTAGGAAAGAACATTAGATCAATAATAATAGTCTTGACATGGTTTGCAATGAACGAATTTATACAGGAACTCATTCCTTACTCAGCTCGCGAATTTTAACAATATGAAGACAATGTTCCTTTAACGATTTGAATACTCTTGTACAAAATCTAATTTACTAAAAGTAAAACACTTTAGTGTTGTAGATACGGTTCGGACTAGCTAGCTAAAGCTTTCATAAGTTTTACCTAATCTTGTGTTTCCATCATACTTTTTTTTGCATCAGATTCTCTAGTTATGGATCAAGCAATCCAACAGAGAGAAGAACTACAATTAAGGAAAAATAGAAAGAGATCAAGGAGTTTTCAATCAGACGTGGATATAATTTTGTTGCTGTCAACTATCAATGCGAGGATCTGCTTCCTAACACAATATTTACTGTCACAAGTTCATCGTCCAATTAAAAGCCAACTACAAGTCTGGGACATCGATATATACAAAAGGTTCTAGATGAGGATTCAGAACATTTTCGGAGTTTGTATCGTATGAATTCAGAGGCTTTCTTGAAGTTGTGCACCATTATCCGACAAAAGACATCTTTAAGAGATACTAGATGGGTTTCAGTTGAGGAAATGCTTGCCACATTTTTGCTCATTGTTGGCCAGAGCTCGAGATATATTCTTCCGCAAGATGTGTTCAAGAGATCAAGTTTCACAATAAGCCGGAGTTTTAATAAAATATTAAAGGTGTTAAACACCACTGGCCCAAGTTGGATGATCAAACCAGGAAATGTTGTACCTTCAAAATAAGAGAAAGTACAAGATATTATCCCTACTTTAAGGTACGTAAGATTTTTTTTCCAATTGCTTGTTTTGTTCAATTTTATTAGCAAATAATTTTGATCTTTTTTAGGATTGTATTGGAGCTATTGATGGAACACATATTCCTGCTATGATAGTAGGAAATGAAACTGGTAGATATCAAAACAGAAAATGAATTTTGTCCCAGAATGTGCTAGCTGCATGCAACTTTGATTTGCAATTCATATATGTCCTTACCGGTTGGGAGGGTTCAGCTCATGATGCTAAAGTGTTAAATGATGCTTTAACAAGACGTAACAATAGATTTGAAGTCCCAAAAGGTACACATTACTCTTTACCAACAAATATTTTATGTATGAAGATAAAATTTCTTTATAATTTGATGACTTCAATTTATATTAAAGTTCAACATTTTTTAGGAAAATTTTATCTAGCTGATTGTGGGTATGCCAACCGAAGTAATTTTCTTACTCCATTTCGAAGCACTCGTTATCATCTTAAAGAATATACTGGAGGAGACAGTGATCCCAAAAATAAAGAAGAATTGTTCAACCACCGTCATGCTTGTTTGAGAAATGTCATTGAAAGGATTTTTGTTATTTTCAAATCCAGATTTTTGATATTCAAATCTCCACCTAGCTTTCCATATGAGACACAAGCAGAATTAGTGCTTGCATGTGCTGCATTGCATAATTATCTTCGTCAAGAGTGTCGTTCAGATGAGTTTCCTCCGGAAGAAACTAGTGATAGACAAAATGTTACCCAACCAAGCTGTGCTGGTCATCAATACCTTGGGACACAAGACCAACAACGAGAACATGCTAATGAATGGAGAGAAACAATTGCTACACATATGTGGAACGATGCTATAGCTAGTGGATCGCAACGGTGATATATGCCAGAAGTAAGTTATCTTTCTCTATATATTTATATTTCTCCACAGTATTTAAAGTTGACAACAATAGTGTTAAACCATGATGTGTTTATTGGCTGATATTTGTGAGTTTTTTTTATGACATTTGCAGGATCTCATAGCTAGACAAAACACTACAGCCAAAATAAAACCAAGTTTATTGCCAAGTGAAGTGGTATGTAGTTTTTTTTAAGCTTTGAGAATGATCACTTACGGCATAATATGTTGGAATTCTTTTCTCATGTCTTTAGGAAACTTTGGTATTGTTATTTTGTATTGATTTTAATAAACTCTTATGAAAGAGTCCATTAAAATAGTTTCATTCTTGTTTCGTGAAAGTAAAAGATTACTGACGTTGTGTTTCCACACGATTAAAAAGCACTATGTACTTGAAATAAAGAATGGTTTCACTTTCATGGCTCGGAGAAAAAAAACAAGATGCTGTAATTAAAACAAATGATGTGTAATTATTTAAATAAAAAACACTTTTTTTTTGTAAATCTCTTGAAATTCTATCTAATCACCTTAGGATTTATACTAGTGGATTTACAAAATCTAGTAAAATCTCATAAATTCTTTGAAATTCCTATAAATCATTTCAAATCCAAATTCCCTCAAATCATCAATTCAATAAGCCCCAAAACGAGTGTTAAACCACCGGTTTATTATTTCAGTGACAATAGATTAGCTTCCTTTTTCTTGCTAGTGTCATTGAGATGAGGACCAATTATAAAGATGTGCCCAAAGTACAAATGCACATGAGGCATGCATCTTAACGCGCAAGGCCTGATTGAAACATGATACAGTCACAAATCTTATATATAATGAGAGGATAACTTCTCTCCAGCGTCTGCCACGTGGCACCCTTCTTAAAAATAATATATATATATATATATATTTCACATACAATCCTTAGACATTAGTTTCTTTACAGAATAACCCAAACACTCAAAAATTGTCTCTCTCTCACTCAGATCCGGCCGCAAGACTTCTTCTCTAATGAATCGACACGATTTTAATCCCGATCTTCGGCGCGCCTTCGCACCGCCACTATTATTGCAAACCCATCTACAAGAGTAATGATGATCTTCGTGGAGAAGAAGAGGACGCGTGAGTTGACTCGGGAGCCAATTGGAGATGGAGATGGATCGGAGAGGAAGGCCTTGATACTGATTGGTGTACGAATTGAGTTGCTTCTGATGAAATTGTGTAAGATCTGATGATGAAGATGTCGATCATGATGATCGGAGAGAAGAAGGTAAGAAAATGAAGCGCGACAGAGGAGGAGCCGAGATCCCCTCGACATTGCTTCTTGTCTGAACGAATCACATATAGTTTTCTCCGAATTCATCTTTTTTTGTCTCTCTATATTTTTGCTCGATCTCCTTGCTGAATCCAGTTTCGTACCAGATCAGACTAGCTCAAGACATGAAGAAGAAGAAGATATCAACTCGGAGATAACCAGTCCCAGTCTCATTTAGATTGTGAAATTAGGATTGTTTCATCTGGAAACCAATCTCGGAAATAACCGGCAGTCGTTTGAGGCTAGAGAGTATTAGAGAAGAGAGAATCGGATACTTACGGTGGAGCACACTGCAGGGAATCTATTAACTAAACTGGTTTTAAATAAAAAAATATGAATACGTAACGAATACACGAGACGTCAAAGGGACAAATTTTTGTTAGTAGACAATTCAAAATAATATTGATTGCTCGATTTCGACCTTCTAAATGACTGAGTGTGAGAAATTTATTAAGGCGTCATCATCTATGAATAATCACATTAGAAGACACTTCCCATTTCGTCCTTTTCTAATAATGACGCTCCATTATACTAAGATTAAATGACAACACTTTCACCTTTAATTCTATTAGATTAGTCAAGAAACAAAGAACTATAACCGATGAAGACAAATGGACCCATAATCACTTGCAATACTTAACTTTAAAAATATTGGTAACCAACAATAACCTTTCTAAAGACTACTCTATCGTTCACGTTCGTAGAGATCCTTTGGTGAACACCTACGTACAAGCGAATTCGTTTTACATTTGAGAAGGATTAAGCCGTATCCTTAAAAGACTCGAGATCGAACTTGCAGCATCAACACTTTTTAAGGTACGTCTCCGGAATAGTTATGTGATCCCTCCTATCACCACGACTGTATAATGTTACTGCCTTCATCTTATAGAACTATTGATGTAAGACTAATTCATCTAATCTGATACCATAACTTTCTCGATATAGATACTTTTGGAGATTTCAAAATAAGTGAAACCGTTTACGGCAACCGAGACAGTGAGGTGCGAAGATCGTCTTCTGAAACTCATCATGGAGACACGGAAACGAAAAATGATGGATGACGACAGAGAAAGATCAATAATCAACCGAGCAAAAAGAAAAGCAAGCATGAGATCACGGAAATCAGGTTTGCTGTTACAGAATATCAAGTTCGAATACTTTTGCATGCATATAAATATAATCTAATTTCTAGGGATTTATAGCATAACTTATTGCATGAAACAAATATTGTGTTCATTAGCATGTAACGTAGACGTGTCTGAGAAATATATATTCTTTTCATGCAACGAACAGCAAACATAACTATAGCTTTGCGTATTCACAGGTGAGCCGTTCGAAGACCGAACCGCAGCACATGAATACACTTGCATCGACGAAAGCAAAAGGACGTATCTTAACTGAGACACCTCAAACCCGGATAAAAACACTGAATAGCTTGACTTGCACTCTAATACCTGAAAAGGGGTAAAAGGGGTATGAGTAACCAATGTTACTCAGTGGGAGTAGGCACGAATGCCCACGAGATTCACAATACCATAATTAAATCATTAATAACTGCAACACATTTAACCTTTTAAATGCATCTGTAACATAAATATAACATTCAACCTATAACCATGCATCTAGACCTCAAACATACTTGACTCGACTCTTCACATTCGCACAGGCCTCGACCCATGTTACTCAATCTCTTTAACATTCCGGGCTCGTCAGCCCCTTCTTTCAGGGCCCGTCAGCCCCTCTGAGCCCACAACCTCATCTTGTGGCCCATCATAGAAATGCTGCTTCATGGCTCGCAACCATGACCCCAGCGACAATCAATACCGCTCCATGGTTCGCAGCATGGCCCCGGTAACAACAATAGCCCTAATGGCTATATATGAAATCATAACTGTTCCTACATTCATCATTTCTTTCCTTCTCATACTTTCATACTTCATACTTTCTTGCATGACACTCTTAGACTTAACATTTCTACTTCACAGATCCTTAATACATTTATCATACTACAACATTAAATGATGCACATGGGAACTAACAATGCAACAATCAATTCATATCACATCATCATTTATCTAGTTAGACATCCTACATTCATTAACAAGTTAATCAAAGTATTAATAATGCTCGATCCAAATCCCCACCTGGTATGTTCTGAAGCTGCGGGTCTAAACTCTGTCCTCGCCTTGTGCATGGTTCTAGAACTCTTCTTGAATGTCATTGTAGCTCTCTCGGATCGGGAAGATCTTGACGGCTATGGAAAGATGTGTTCGCGGGCTTTCCGATGATATGTAGATCGGCTCCTGGTTCGCTCCGAGTCGACGGGAAACACCATTGAAAGTTCACTGCCGTCAGATCGAGATCCACAGAAATAAGTCTCGGGAAAAGGCATAACTCTAGATCTACTGCTCCGATTGCGGATCCGCTTTTTGCTACAGCTAGCTAAGAGAGTTGAGATCATGGTTACCGAGTTTCAGACCGATCGGAGTAGATTTGCCTGGTCGGATATCTGCTGTACCGAAACACCTCAGATCTGTCTCCTTCCGCCCTCTAGGTTCCTTCAGTGAGTTCTCCTTCAAGGTGGCTCTGCATGGCACGATTTTGGCAGGGCTTCGCCATCGATATGCTCTCTGTCTTCATCTAGGTCGTGGCTCCTCTTTAAATAGAGTGGAGGCTGAAGGTTCTAGGGTTAGGGTTTCACAAGAACGGGCTTTTCTGTCCTTATTGATCAAGATAGGCTTTTGAGCTTGAAGAATAGAAAATAATTTTCAATTCTAGATTCCTATATTTGAAAGTCCTATCTTTCTTGAGCAGGGATGTCACATTAACAAACAAGGTACAAATTCAAATACATAAAATATAACGCTAAAAATCAAGAACAAATATTACATAGTCATTTGTATACAGTGCTGACTTACTATTATTCTTCACATTTGAAAACAGAAGCAGCACGGTTAGCTAGGAAAACCAGATTCGAAGTATTAAAGAGGAAAAGAAAGGAAAGACAAAGACAAAGTAAAGTGTATTTTGTTCATCAACAAACGCCGTATTAGTAAACATAAATGGATCATTTTAATCATACAGAACTGAACAATCGGAGCGGAGAAACAATTACAACTCGCGGATTAAGGGCGAGAGGAAAGCCGAGAAAAAGTAAGTACATCATTATATTACATTCAAAGTCAACTTTTATTTTCTATTCCCGACTATGTACTGCATATCGAAATAAACAATATCATCTTTCAATAAAAATTGGAAAACTTAAGATACAATAGATGTCTAACACACGTAAATTTTTGGAAGTGGGACAAACATAGCCGCACTTTATTCGGCAAAATATGAAATTATGTTTCCTACTTATTGCATTTGAATTTATTATAGAAATACACAACATCGTTTGGCTCCATACATACTTACATAGCATTAGATTATATAAATGGAATCTATCTGTTGCTAAAAATATTTTATAATGTGATTTTTGTTTATGAAGTTATTAGACTTATGTTTACTCTATAAAAAATATGTATTTCAATATTATTTTAGTGCTTATATTTTTTTTTCCCATGAGTTTAGTTACTCTTTAATTTGTTTGTCATTTTTACATTAATATGTTTTTAATTACATATGTGACTTGATATGGATTAAGAATTTAAATTGAATCGATGTTTTTCTTATACCTGAGATGTAACCTTTTTTTCTTGGATTTTTAGGTTTTATCATTTTTCATTTATTACAATTTTCTTTTAATTTTTTCATTACTTTTTAATTCATAATTTGTTCATATCAAACAAAACAATATAGTAATTAGGGGTAAAACAATAACTTTGATTAATTTTCTAATGCGTAAAACATTTCAGAATGATAATTAAAAAGAAATAGAGAAAGTGTGATTCTTGAGGTATAATCTACAGATTTTATGTTCACATAGAAATACAATTTTTCAATATTTTATATTAAATAAGATAAGGAACAATATATAGAAAAAAATACATAAAAATCTTTGAAAATTTATATAGAAAATTCAGATATAATATAAGTGACAAAACTTTGTAATAGCTACAACCCGCGCATCGCGCGGGCTTAGCCTTAGTGATTCCTAATGACTATTTAGTTTTTAAGTGTATAATCCTAACTTCGATTCTCTCTTTCGTTGGTTGAGTTATGCTAGTTTCTCAATTGGCCATTTTGGACTGTTAGTTTTTTAATTTTGAGGCAAAGGAGCGTTTTATTTGGACAACGTTACGCCAAGCAAAGAGGTACTATACACAATATTTAACCCTTTAATAGTTTATGTTCTCAGTAAAAAAATAGTTTATGCATTCCCTCTTGTTGATCGGCGTAGGAGGAATCCAGTTTATCGCCGCAGAAATATTCGAAATGTCGGCTATGTATGTAGATTTGTAGATTTTAATAGAGTTCTTGGATAAACAAATTAAAGGTTTTGTAATCATCTTAACGGGAAATTAAGGCTTTTTCTGACATCGAAAGAATATAATTTGTCATGGACTTCAACGTGCCTTCCTATAAAATTCCACGTCTTTGTACTAATATTGTTTTTCCCAAAGACACCTGCATGTGAATTTCTATCTATTTTTTTCTGCCATTTGCAATACATTGTGTTTATTACTCAAAAAATGAGGCTGTGCCTGTGCCAAATAGTATATGGAATTAAGTTTAGAGGAGACTATTTTCTTTGGCAGAAATAAAATTATTAGCTAATCGATATTACGCATATCGGCATATATAAAGTGTAAAACAATAAATTGTTTGTAAGCGAATAATTCGTTCCCACGTAAATAATATACTTTGACTAGATCCCAACAAGTCAAGTGTTTGTTCTCCTCTCACGAGATTTTCGTGCTCAATTATAAGACCGTTCGAAAATGACACAACGACTACAATTACGAACTTTTTCATCATCACCACATTTTATCTGTGTTTCAAATTTTCAGATTCCCTATAAATAACGTATTTTACAAAAAAAAAATATGTATTTTACAAAACATTTAGTCTAAAATATTTCAAAGATTTGTTGTTCAAAATTTCCTATAGCCAACGTATATTTTTTTTACATTTAGTCCAAAAGATTTCAAAGATATATACCCACCATTGTATATAAAGCTCACCTTCATCAATTAGATTGAAGCAATGCTTGAGATAATTGTCTAATTAGATATTTCTCCTTTGTTTACAAAACGAATTGTGTAAATATGTCAAATTAACACACTTTATCAAATAGAAAGAGTATTAGATTCAAGTGACATTAGGATTACATTGTATCCAAGATTGGCCACAAAGTAACACTCTTTATTAAAGTATTACATTCTAGTGACATTAGGATTACACTGTATCCAAGATTGGCCCTAAAAATACAAGTGACACAATGACAACACCAAATCGAAAACTATTTGAATTTTTTTACAAAAAGTACAAGTGAATCAATGACAACAAAAACTAAATCTATGAATAATTCGATAGGAAGATACATTTTTCGAAAATGAACGTAAGAAAATGATAGTAATTAAATGCGTTCTGTACTTGTGGGGTAAAAGAAAGAAAGAAAATAAATGGGATGTGTGTACTGTATATAAACACCAAATCTGACCGTCCAATAGAAAGAAAAAAACCTTTAATACCTGTGCCACTTTTAAAAAACCCTCTCAAGTCTCAACACTGACACTAAAATCAATGGGAGAGGTTTTGATTTTCAAACTTTTTTCAAAATCAACAAAGCCAAACACTGTTCCTCACATTTAGCCTTTTAATTTATTTCTCCTCTTTTTGACTATTTTCAGGAAGATAAGAAGAAACCAGAGGAGAAAATGGAGGAGAAGAAAGCAGAAGAGCCACAAGTAAAATCAGAGGATAAAAAACCTGAAGAAGAGAAGGAGAAGAAGAAAGAGCCTCAAGAGATTGTGCTTAAGATCTTTATGCATTGTGAAGGTTGTGCTAAAAAAATCCATAGATGTCTTAAAGGCTTTGAAGGTACTTACACCACTATCCACTCTCCTTTAATTTGAAATACTTGTGTAATGTCTTAGTTTAATTTGAGATTGTGGAAAATGTGATATAGGAGTGGAGGATGTAACAACTGATTGTAAGAGTAGTAAAGTTGTGGTGAAAGGAGAGAAGGCACATCCATTAAAAGTGTTGCAAAGATTGCAAAGGAAGAGTCACCGTCAAGTGGAGCTTCTTTCACCCATTCCGGAGCCTAAACCGGTTTCAGATGAACCGGAGAAAAAGGAGAAAGAGAAGGAGAAACCTAAACCCCTAGAGAAAAAAGAAGAGGTATATTGTAACATGAGTAATATTTTAGGGGTTGGATTTGTAATTATAGAAAGTAAGCTTTTTTTGTGTAATAATTCACAATAAAAAATTTGCGGGCACTGTGAGAAAAAACAGGTAGTGACAGTGGTGCTGAGTGTTCACATGCATTGTGAAGCATGTGCCATGGAGATCCAAAAGAGAATCATGAGAATGAAAGGTTTGTTTTCTTTTCTCTTTTTATCTTATTATTTATTCAAATTTTTTTTATTAAATATTCTCAATTGGGTTCGATTCGTATTGAATCTGAGTTTTAGTTCTAAATTTGTGGGACTGCACTTAATTGGGACATTATGTTTTGGACTCTTCTGTATGTCATAGATTGATTCCATCTTTAAATTTTATGTACCATGTAGGCCCTTTTTTGAAAAAAAAGAAAGCAATTCAAAAGAACATGTGTATAGTGAATTCTTTCACCTAAAAGAACACTCACCAACTAATTCTTACTAGGTTTGAAGCCCCGCGCAAGCGCGGGGTTGTTTGCAATTTTCTATTTAGTTTTGTTTATATTTTATCTCACATCGCGCGTCCTTTTATTTTATTTTATTAGGATGTTAACACCCCACTTTATCTCGAATTTTCTATTTCTAACATTTTAGCATATTATAAATATTATGTTTGTTTACTTTTGTTAGACTATAAACATGCATATGTATAATTTGACTAGCGTTAAAATTTGTAAGTATATTGTAAAATCGCATTTGCACCGAAATAGGATGAAAAAATAATATATATACTTTTATACATATCTACTTTGTTGTGGTAGCATATGAGCCTCATGACCATTGATTATTTTCTATTATGTTAGTTTTGTAATTGAATATATTTGGAAACAAACATATCACAATCCTTAAAATTTTCATGTTTTTCACTGCAATTAAATTTACATATAAAAACTTGACTTCTATTTGTTTAAAAAAGCAAACTCTAACTCTAATTTCTCATTGGTTTTTTATTATCTTAATTAATTTATATTCAACTTTTTAACTTGTGAACACATTATAACATTTTGAAGTAGGATAAATCCTTTTAATAAAAAGGTAAATATATACCATTTCAAGATAAATATATTTTTACTTATATCCAAACTTTTTGATAACTTTTAACATCAAGTTATCACATACTTTATATTAATTAAGTAATTTAGTTGTGTATTTTTCTTAGTTTTATTTATATTTAAAAATATAAATATAGGTAAAGAAATATGAATAGTCATGTATTAAATATTCTTAAAAACAATTTAATGAATTTTTTTGCTGATGTGGATAGCCTAGATGGAGAGAGCAAACTCTCCTATTATATACTCCCTCCGTTTCAAATTAGTTGTCGTTTTGGGAAAATGTATCTGCAATTATTTGGATGTATCTGCATGCAAAACACGTCCAGATACGTCCAAATATTTGCAGATACATTTTGCCAAAACGACAACTAATTTGAAACGGAGGGAGTATAAGATTATAATCATAGGAGCTAACAACTCTTTCTTCTTCTCGTATATTTTGTATGAGTATTTCAAGATAACATGAAAGGAATTGAGTTGAATCGAGTCAACTTAATACTTTGTTTTTACATCACCTATTTCCCAAGAACCCCAAATTTCTAAGTCATTACGTTGTAGCTTTTTTTTTTTTTTTTTTTTGGAAAGGTTTTTTTTTTTTTTTATATATGTTTGGTAGAAATATGAGTGTTACCAATGAATCGGAGGACTTACATTGGTGACTAGAGAATTGAAATTAGTTTTGAACATAGAGCTCATATATATGATGTATAGTTATTTTACATTTTCTACTAGAAATTAAAGTAAAAATATGTTATATGTATAGGAGTGGAGTCTGTGGAACCAGATTACAAAGCCTCACAAGTGAGCGTGAAAGGGGTTTTCACACCGGAAAAGCTAGTTGAATACGTTTACAAGAAAGTTGGGAAGCACGCCGTAGTTGTCAAGCAAGATCCGCCCCCAAAACCGCCGGAGAAAGAGAAAGAAACGAAAGACAAAGACGGGAAGAAAAAGGAAGAGAAACAGCCCAAAGAAGGAAAAGAGGCCAAGGAAGACGATGGCGGAGTGGCCAAACCCGTGGCCGGAGATGGTGCTGCGGCGGCGGAGGAAGGGAACAAAGTGGTGGACTTAAAGAAGAATGAATATCAATACCAGCCACCGAGGTATCCCGTGGAGATGTTTGCTTATCCACCGCAGATATTCAGTGACGAAAACCCCAACGCTTGTACCATGATGTAATAATCTTTGGTTTAAGGGTAGTAGGATTTTCTCTTATAATATATTTATATGCCGTATTTCAACTCAAAAGCACTATATATTTTGGGATTTTTGGTTACATTCTAACTAATTAAATGATCGTATTTTCAAAAAAATTGTAACATAAAATATTAATCCCATGTACAGTAGTATCCCATTCCCATATAGTGATCAGCAAAAACACAAAATCGATAGTTTAATTTCACCACAGAGGTTTGTAAATGAATCGAAGACAAGAACAAACAAGTTTTACGAGTTTTATATGATCATTGTAATTTTAGGTGTGAGGTTTTAGAACCAAAATCGACCTCAACCTTTCGCTCGTATGTATGTATTAAGCCCACTAGTCCAAATCAATTTCTCTTCTCTCATGTTTATCTTTACGTCTATCGTACTACTTTTACATGTACTTCAAGAAGAGGAATGAGCAAACTAATGCCTTCATTTAAAGACTCAAAAGTGGCGAAGTAGCACAAGAGAAGAAGCATAGTGATGTTAAAATGGGCCTAATATATGTTTGGGTATATGTTAATGTCATGTTACAGTATAGCTTTATTTTATAAGATAATAACATAACCGGCACATTTACTCCCATGGACTATGCAACGCAAATACCTAACAATTTGATCGTTTATGTCTCCGAGTGTGTGTTCGAGGCGAGCCGTAAAGGAACGTGTACAAAGATGAAAATCAGTTAATTCTGATATTAGCTTTTGGACCTGGTGTTACATTTGCATCATTGCTCGAAACTTTGATGTTTGAACAAAAAGTGAAGAGTAACGATGTTTTATTTTTTTTCCTTGAAGCTTTCATTTAACTGTGATGAAATCTGTACTTAAAAAATAAATCAGCAGATTTTTTTATTTAAATAAAAAGTATTATATTATTTATCTTAGGCCGCAAATGGTTGATTTGATAGAGAAATAAATTATAGAGCTGTCAAAGTGGGCGTGTCAAAGTGGGCGTCTATGTCCATAATGACATTTCTAATTAGGCAAATGTTCATGATAACCCATGTTCATTATAGTCTATCTAAAATGGGCTGACCATAGGCTGTCAATGGACAACAAAGACAAATTTTCAAAAATATAACAAGAAAATGTTGTAAATTAATTATTTAAATACAAATTGTTCAACATCATAAGAAAATCACAAGTAAAAGTATTATGGAAATACAAAAATCACAACTGAAATCTTGTTCTTCATCAAAAGAAAATCACAACTCCAAATCTTGTTCTTCATCACAAGAAAATCACAACTCATATATTGTCTAGCATCACAAGAAAATCAAATCAAGATTCATGTTGACTAACAGGAAATGTAAAACAAGATATAGAGAAATGTGTTTAATAGTTCTACTAATGAACAACACACTAATGAACTTCAACCTAATCATCTACGAATGGACGAAACAAACAAACCCAAAACAACGAAACAGTGGAGAAGTAAAAGAAAAAGCAACAAAACTTACCAAATCCAACTAATGACTTAAACTTCTTCTCCTTCGTTTTTGTCTTCCTCAAACTTAGAGAACTCAAACTGATCATCTAAAACACAACAAAATAACAAGATTTAGAGACCATGGAAACAAGCAGAACCAAATAACTAATTCAAAACAAAAAGAGAACTCAATTCAGGACATAAACCTTACAAATCTCTTCCAAACCACGAAGCCAATTCCTTGCACAGATCAAGGCCTGCACATTTGAAGGAAGAAGAGAACTCCTATACTTGTTATAGAATCTTCTTCTTATGCTAAATGAAGACTTTGAAGCCACAATGGTAATAGGGATGCTCAATACATCACATGCCATCTTAGCCAACTCCTTAAAGCAGTTTGCATTGTCCTTTCAATAGCTTATAACAAGGTCGGAAATGCAACCATATTCAACACTGGCTCCTCTAAATAAAGCAGACATTCCATTACCACTTGTTGCTTGTGAAAAAAGTATAAAAGTCTTGAAAAGTAGAAACAAAATCACATTCAATTAAGCAAGCATAAACATATAAGAGAAATTTAGAAAACATAAAAGAATCTTACACTATATCCTAGAAGAACATTTGTGTTTCTTTCAAAAGTTTCCTCTTCAGTTCTATTGGTGTTTTGGGAATACACATCAAACAAATTTCTTCATCTCATTTCTCACATTATCCAATCAGGATACTAGTGGCTGGATCTAGCAAAGAAAAGCAATACTCTAAAGGCAATACTCTAAGCACTTAAACTTCAACCGAGGATCTAATACAGCAGCAATTGCAAGTATATCACTGTATTCCTCCCAATATTTGTCGAATCTCTCCTTCATACTTCCCACCATCTCTTGGATCACCTCATCAGAAGATAACTCATTTGTTTTCAGCCAACTTTCAATGATATAGACTTGCATGAAGTACAAGTTTGCAGAAGGATAAGTTGATCCTAAGATCAACTTAGTCATCTCTGCGAATGGACACAATAGCTCACAAATACTCTCGGCTCTTCTCCACTCTTCCTAAGATGGATTGCTCACATACATCGGCTCTACTTCACCAAGATGTCGAAAAACTTCCTTAAACTTGATAGCCCTCTCCAACATTGTATAAGTAGAATTCCACCTAGTTGCCACATCTGAAACCAGTCCTGCCTTAGTTGTATCTTCACCAATCCCCACAACTTCCACACAATCCCGAAACGACTTCTCTCTAGACTCAGAGACCTACACAAACTTTGCACTATCTCTGATTTTCTCCAAAGCTTCATCAATCACATTCAACCCACTTTTCACAATCAAATTCAGAATATGAGCAACACATATAATGTGAAAAAACTCTCCATGCAGACCAAGTTTTTTTGCATCTGTCTCTTGAGTACTCTTTGCATGTTATCATTTGATGAGGCATTGTACACAGTGATGGTAAACACTCTCTTCTCTAGACCCCATTCTTTCAAAATCTCCATCATCTTTGAGGCTATAGCAGCACCAGTATGTGGAGGAGGAAACGCACATAATGACAAGATCTTTGTCTTCAAATTGTAGCCTCTGTCGATGTTATGCGCAGTCAAACACATGTAACCCTCTACCGTGATTGCTCTCCACAGATCAGTTGTCAAGCAAAACCGACCAGGAATATCACTTAAACTCTCCCTGAGTTTCTTTTTTTCTTTCTCAAATATCCTAAGACAATCTGCTGCAACTATATTTCTACACCAAAATTCTATAGAAGAATTCGCATATACAAAAGCTTCCTTGATCCTTCTGTATTCAACGAAAGAGTAAGGCAGATTATGCTCAATGATTGCTACTGCAATCATTTCCGGGAATACCATCATATCCAACTTCCTATTTCCTCATGTAGGAGTGTTTCCAGGAGTCATTGAGCATGTTCTCATATGACGCAACATAGTATTGGTTCCATTCCTACGCAGATATAAGCAATATATATGCTTACAATGGTCACACTGAACATCATGTTTACCATCAGGATACATTTGTACTAAGACCTTAAAACTCTTCCAACACTTACATCTCTTGAGTTTATGGTTACCTCTCATTCGATTCTCAGCTGTACCCATTAGGGAATCAGCTTCTTCTACTGGGTTCTCTTCATGTGGATCCATATCCTCATCACCAATGATACAATCTTCACCAAGGTTTAAAGCCTCATCGTCTTGTCCCTGATTTTAAAGAGGACGTAGAAGTTAATAAGTATGAAATTACAAAAAAGAGCAGCAAACAAACAAGAGACAAACAAGATATAGAGCAGAAACTTCAACGCATTATGTTTGACATTTAACATTTAACAAGGAGAATAGAATATCACACTTACACTTAACATTTAACGTAATCATTTAACAACACTTGACTCATTTCAGAGATGAATTCATGTAAGGTATACACGGAAAATAAAATATAAGCTTTGAAATATACATCAACAAGACATGTTAGAAACAAAAGCTTTCAACTAAGATAATCAACTATCTTAACTAGGATAGACAAGTATCTTAAGATAGTCAACTAGATATTCTACTATTATAAGATATCCAACTATCCTAATATCCAAACCCAAATGGTTTGTTATTCAGCGAGTTAGAAAACAAATATTTAAGAACATGAAAGATTCAGCAAGTCACAGGACAACGTCTAAGAAGAAGCTAAAGCAGTCAAGAGAATTACTAAGACAAACATCCACACAACAGAGAAATGCTACAAACATCACAAAACCAGTTATAGCAAATTCGTTTGCCATTTCTCTTTGTTATTGGGAAAACGATACTTAAGAAGAGCAAAGAGAAAATGATAATTAAGAAAATTTGTTTTAATAATCAGAGAAAACGAAATGTTAACAAGCTACAGTCAAAATAGAACAATAAAAACCAGAGCTTTGATGGAACAAAGTGAAGCAAATAAGGTCACAGAACAACCAATTCAACAGACCCCTTTACACAATTCAACGAAATCAACAAACTACTATTTATACAAGACAATGAAATCAACTCCTTATATCAACAGAGACTAAAACCAAATCTTAGTGAAGTGTAAGTAAACAGTTCTTTTTATCAATGAAATAGAGCAAATGATTCAAACTACAAACGTGCAAAACAAAATCCATAAGAAGAAATCGTCTATACTATATTTATTTAGTTCTATATTCTTTACTCATTGTTCTTTATAATGAATTACAATATCTGTCTGGTTTTTTAAGCAAGTAATTATTGACTCGATCACATACGTAACTAAAGGTAAAGATTAAACTTAACTTTGGCAACCCAAAATTGCTATTTTATATTTAACATAGGTATTAGGTCAACGGTGCCACCTATTAATAGGTCACGTTTACAAAATATTTTTAGGGGAAAAATTCCTGATTTTTCGTTACAACACAATAAGGGTACTATAGAGTAATTAACATGTGTGTGCAAGGAGATAATAGGCTAACAAAGTTTTCTCTTTGTTACTGATTTTATTTTTAAATAACCATAGCTATATTCTTTATTTTGATGCCTAATATTGTTATAGAGAAAATTAACCCATGAGAGAATTAGCTCAATAACAATATTGGGGGAACAAATTAAGAATATAGCTATACTGAATTTGATATTAAGAAAGTAACAATGAGAAAATATTTTGGACAATATTATCCTTGTAATTAAGTTAGATGTTACTCTTTAAGGAAAAAATAGTATAGCACCACCATATATTGCTCCAGTAAATCTATATTGTTCTCATGATCGATCCAATGAGATTTTCCAGATTTAAGATCAGTTTGAAACAAAACAGATGAATCCGAAGTCACACAGTTGAGTTTAAACTATGGACATACAACCCAATGTGACAACCACTTGAATCGTTGAATTGAAGATCCAATGTTGTTGAATTCGATTGCAACGAAATGATTCTTCATGATATGAGACGAATTAACAAACCCAATAACATTTAAAACTTCTTGTCCCACTCTTATTTTCTGTCTCTGTTATCCTATCTATTATCGGATTTGGTGAATCTCCATCATCACCGTGAAATCTCATCCAAGTACAAAATCACTGCACTTCGTCCGAGTAAGTTAGTCTATTTAATGATTATAGATCTCATTTCACCGAAAGCGGTTGTCAGTCTATGTTGAGAATCAAGATAAACAACAAGATATCACTGAGCATAAGTTGCAGGACAAAGAAACGATAAAGAAAAAGGGAGAAAGAGAAAGAAGGGCAATTTTGCCATTAATACAGATTATACAGAAAATATTATAGCCATGATCTAATATGGCTATTTCCTTTATTTCATATTGTTCTATGGTTATCTAGTATAATTTCCCTTTATTTTTCTTCGTAAGAAAAAAGAAACTAGTGGAATAACATTTTTCCTCAAACTACAAGCATTCGACTACTTCACATTCCGCTAATTATTATTTTCAAAATTTAACATATTCCACCTGTCAGCCACCATTTGCACCCTTCACTTACAAAACAAACTAGGATTTAACCCGCACAAATGTGGTTTAGGGTTTAGGGTTTAGCGTGGAAAACAGTTGTTTTCTGCTAATTTAAGACATTTATGACATTGTTATTGTAATTCTGAAAGTTATAATTCCCTATTCAAACCATCAAAAGAGGGTGGTTTCAAGTTCTATAGCTTCATAAATAAATAGAAAAGCATTCGATCACAAAGTTGAACTAATGTGTGTGGACATTGAACAGAATAATAGAGTTTAAAAAGATGGAAACATTAGAATCCGGTACGAATAGCAAAGTGTTGATGAGGCAACATGATCCCTTGGTCTTGTGTTGTAGTGAAGATTTTGCTCCTCATACAATGCGATTGCGATTATGAGCGATGAAGTGTGCTTCGGCAGTGTTAACTGTGTGTGATGGTGATTTCATATGCTGAGAAGTTATCATAAACCTGTTACATCAAATGAGTTGTAAAAGTATTAGTAATGAGTTGGGCTATCTCCAATTAATGTATAAAGGTTATTGTTTTCTTAGCACTTACTTGTCCTTCAGTTATTGCGCAATGGGAAAACGTGGATCAAATTCGGATCTTGAAATACCACCTCCATCAACAACATGATTCCATCCTATTCATTAAGTAGGACACCATTATAACTAAAAAAAGTATGGTTACATCAATTAAACAGTGCAATACGATATATACTCTTTACCTTTGCTGGAGATAGCTCTCCAGTCTGTTAACGCACATACAATCACATTATTTGGGATTCTATGGTACATCTCATAGAAATCGGTAGCGATTTTCCCACTTGCAGACCATAGTATTTCTCGATTCCTAAGGAAAGTATATGAACATTAATGTGCTGTATGATATCCTAAATAAGATACAATCCATCACATATTTTGGTTGTTAGAGTACTTACTCGAGATCACGGATGCGAAAATTGACTTTGGATTTCATTTTGGTTTGTGCACCAAGAATCTCATCTCTCACCGTGTGAAGAACTCCAACATAGGAGACTACACCTATCAAATCTGTAGTTCAATGTTAAAATGTGTACACGAAAAGTAGATGTATTAAAACAATGAAATTATAAAAAGAGGGCTTACTAATAGGTAATGCATAATCAGCACATAAAGTCATCACAAATGTGAAAGGACGGTGTTCAGTAACATAACTCGATACTCTTGGTGGTATTTTTTGTATCTTAGTGTTAGAATCCATCATAATCCACCATCCGTGAGTAAATGTTCAGTTTCGAAGAGGAGAATTGACGACGGAAAACTTGGATAGGCTGTACCATAATCCTTCATCGAGTTGGTCATCAAACATGCCAACGTATCCAGTGCTTGTTACGGAGGCCTGGATCCTTGTACCCTTAGATGAGAAACATATATATAAGAAATATTAATTAGTTTCTTCATTTTTTAAAAATATCCTGTAGTACAGTACTATACTTAAAAAACTTACTGCTTCGTCGACAACCATTGCATCAAAACCCTCAACACCTCTGGGACCAGCATCAACCCAATTTTTTAAGACCTTCACAACCAACGTCGTGTTTGTGACTATTGAGTGCAAATCGGCTACCATCTTGTAAGACGCCATGATGTAGGGATGTGTTTGTTTGATCGAAAGTGAAGATTAAAAATGGGAGAGATATGTGAAAAGACGCCGTACAATGAAACACAACTGCAAGTGTTCGAGATATTTATAGAGTTATGCACCATTTAAGGTTCATATCGTCGCAAGTAATCGTATCCCTTGATACCCGACTTTTCTGTATAACATTTTCCTTTAATTGATACATTATAAATAAATGTAAATATTAGAATATATCTTCCGCATATTTGTGTATCTTACGAATTTGGAGAGTAATGTTTAAAAGCACGGGAAAATGCATGCATCTTTTAATTGTTGTTTCCATTCCACGGATTGATCTCTTTTTTAATAAGTGGTCCACATATATGGTAAGAACTTATACGAATACGATCTTACATCATTTTTAACGTTTATTACTATACTTATTACTCACTATGGACGGTTAGGATATATCGGGTACGATAAAACAATTTTATCATTCTTAACGTGAGTCATATGTTATTCTTAACTGAATTTTGATGTACCAAAAGATAGGATAACAAATTTTGTTTAATGGATATTGTTAACTGAATGTCATAGGAGAAATTTTTTTGTTTTAGAACTGTAGAGGAAACAAAATATCCATTACTGGAAAATCAAGTTTGCAAAAACCCCAAAAAAAAACAAAAACAACAATCTGTTCATAAATTTTGGAAAATTTCTTTGAATACAACATTGGGTTTTTGCTTCTGTGGTTTCCCTTATTTGTCGACGATTAGTATCTTAAGACACTTCTTCGATGTTACTCTAGAAAGCGCCACATACAGTTGGCCATGAGAGAATACCGGTCGTGGAAGGTAAAGACCAACTTGCTTGAGGGACTGACCTTGGCTCTTGTTAATGGTCATCGCAAAAGCAACTGCCAGCTGAAACTGTCTCCGTCTCATTCTAAAAGGAAATTTCAGGTCAGATGGAGATATAACAATTATAGAGATCAAAACTTTGTGCCCAGCAAGATCTCCAGTAATAACCCTTGCTTCCAAAACATGATCAGCCATCTGAGTATCTTGCAGTCTTGTACCATTGCATAAACCACCCTTTGAGTCTATGTTTTGTAGCAACATAACTGGAGTTCCCTATTTTAAGACAAATAAATGTCTTGGTAGACCTGGTACCTTGATAGAGTTCAAAAAATCGGGTGTGAAAATTGGATTGTTCCTTGCAGCTATATCCATTGGATCTATGCTATCAGCACTCAAATACGTTCTTTCTTCACCTGATGTTAAAAAATGAATATACATAAGATGAATGGCGAATAGTTTTACAACCTGTCTTCATTCAGAGTTATTAAACTTAAAAGTAAAGACATTAGAGCTTACCGGGTATTTTACGTAGCATGAACTGATTTATCATGTCGACGTCGTCGTTAGTTGGACATAATATGGCCCGATCTTGAAAATAACGTGGATCCTTATCGACTTCAAACATATCAGGATCAGAATATATCTCATTGGATATAACTTCCATTGGATCGTTTGTCGCGGTGATAAGTAATCCTTCCGGAATATCTATTTCCGCCTCACCATCGTTAGGCTCAGCAATTTTACCATCTCCAACATCAAGCAACCAATCTGAGAAATCACTGATCTCTTTGGCCTCTTCAGCATTTAAACTGTGTTAAACAGTCTCATATTCTTCGTTAACTTCAAAACTTTGCAATGTTCCCAAAGATAAGAAGGATTCAATGAAGCAAGTACAATCTCCGCACGACCAGCACCGACAATCACAGGAAGAACTTGTCTAAAATCACCACCAAATACTATAACCTTCCCAGCAAAAGGCTTGTTGTCTACATTACCAATGTCAGATAAAGACCTATCCAGAGCCTCGAAACAATACTTGCTCATCATAGGTGCTTCATCCCAAATAATAAGCGATGCTTGCTTAGCAAGATTCCCAAGATCGGAGCATGGTGCGAATTTACACATTGTGAAATCATCAGGATTTATTGGAATGGCAAACCTTGAATGAGCAGTACGTCCACCTTCTAACAACAAAGAAGCGATCCCGCTTGAAGCAACATTTAGAACAATCTCTCCTCTAGATCGTATAGCAGCTGATAGTGTTTTCCACATGAAATGTTTTGCCCGTTCCTCCGAAACCATAAACGAAAAATATTCCTCCCTTTTTATTCAAGACAGCTCCAGTGATCTCATCATAAACACCTTTCTGCTCGGTAGTCATCATCTTTATCCATTCATCATGTTTCTCCTTCAGCAAAAGTCTTGTCGTAGTTTAGCTCGTCAGTTAACAATCGGTTTGAATACGCAAAGTCATCTTTCTGTGGTTGAGGCATTGATGTATAATTAGACAACGATGTTCCATTCCTTAACATCACCATTTGAATCTCCTGAAGACGAAATTCCTCTTCTGTTTCTCGTCCAGAATAAGAGCTACAAAGAAATCAATAAAATATTTTAAGGCATGCATGATTATAAATACGGGTACATCCGACTTTGATATTAATAGGTATTTTTTTATATAATACCTGGATTTTCATTTTCAATCCTCTTCTTCTCCTCTATGTCTTCCGCTAGGATGTGCCATGTTCTTTCCCAAACTTCCTCCGGTGTTGTAAAGCAATCACTGGCAAGCATAACCGCAAACAGATTTCGAAGATGATCACCGAAACACCATTCACTTGCACTTTTGATACTGTCAACCCACACCTCATCATCATCTAGCAGACCACTTGCATAGCATGCTTCCTTAAACTTTTTATAAACGACACTCGGTAGGTTCTGATCTCTTCAAACGATCTGGGACCTGTAAAAATATTAAGAACTACTCGCAGATAATAACCCTCTTCAATCTTGCGCGGCACATAATTGATCCTTCCGATACTAAAACCCGCCTGAGAGATCTCAGCAGATTTGCGATTCAAAATGGTTTTGATATCATCATCTGATTTAAAATAGAGGAGTTGTTTGTCTTCGAGATGGAAAGATAGCTTCTCAACGGGTGTTGATCTCCAGTGCATTGAAAACTTCAGAATCCGCCAAACCGCCTCGGAGGCTGAGACATATCTATTGTAAAAAAAATAAGTAGTGTAAGTAAATTTTCCAAATCTTGTAAAAACTGAAACCATTAAAACGTGTAAAATATTTTTAAAACACTTGAATATACCTGCAGTCGAAAAAATCTTTTATCTCATTCTTCGGCTTCTCAGGATCATCGTTCTCTTTGTTCGTAGATGCTCTGTGCCGACTATTTTCTGGAGGTTCAACTGCAACAGTAAGATGATCCAGACCTTTGTTGATATACTTGAATAAATACTTTATGGACCCAGATTGGTTGCACCATTCCACATTTATGTGAGATTTATAACGAACATATAGTTCCTTGTTATGTGGAACCACATATCTATTGTCACACTTGAAACCATTCTTCTCAACAAAAGCTCCTATATCTCTTCTCCTGTATACTGGATAACCATCTTTGTCAACCGTAGTGTTTTCAACGTAACTCTTGTGAAAGAATTTAGAGCATTTTCCGTTGACCATGCATGGTGATTTGGTGTTTACAGCCTCACACGATCCATGGATCATACAATCCTTAATTACATCGTATAGCTCGGCCTCCAAAACCTGATCCGGTATCTCGGCGCTTGTCGATGCTCTCAGCAGTTGGAAATTTACAGCTTGGATGCATGAAAAGCAGAATGTGGGCATGTGGCAATCCTCTCTTCTGAAATTCAACTGTGTACATAGCTGTCCAAGCATGAAAGATAAAGTCAACTCATTATTCAGATGTCTAAAGTAACAACTTTTTACAATATGAAATAAATTCAATAGATAATCTTTAATATGTTATAAGATAAAAGGGTCGTTTTCATAATACCTGAGGACGTTTTCCCAAAATGATTTCCTTCGGTTAAATCTCTCATTAGAGAATCCAACTTCATTTTGAAAACTTGGCAAACAATATCTGGTCTATCGTTGCAAAAAGGAGCAAAAGAGCCCTAAATCAAGATCCATGCAAGTTTCCAAGTCAAGAAGATCATTTTATCTCCAAGTGTTAGTTCTCGCTTGCGCGCAGAACGAAGCTTCGGAAGTTTGGCCGCGCGCGGAGGAGTTCCCGACGTCCAAAAGTTACGATCTTGATATGGAAAGATAGATACTTGAGTCATGCATCACGTCGAAGTGGAATGAAGCCATTTGGATCAACTATGAGGCCTAGACTTATTTTCTACCGAGACATGTCCGGTAAGCGAGCAAACGAAGCCCATGGAGGATTTGGAGTGTCTAATGGCCCGAGCAGCAGCGCCAAAGGCCTTGATCGAATAGAGAAGAGGCCTGGCTAATGTTTGGAGCTTTCCTTGGTACAATGTCGGCCCATACACGACGTGGAGAAGAAGGCTTTGCTCGCGGGAAACTTTCCTTTTCCGGCATGAAGAAAACCCTACGCGACTTCGCCCATATATACATGTTTTTAGCCGCTGAAGAAGAGAGTCGAGAGAGTCCGAAAATTATCAAAGAGTGTACGTGTGAGAAGAGAGTTCAGAGGAGAGAAGCCCTAGGAGATCGTCCAAGAAGAAGGAGGCGCCGCTCAACTCTTGTTCTTTCTTTTTCATTGTTTCCATTTCTATAAACTTGATTTAAGAGTTTTCAAGGGAGAATCCGACTTTGTTCATCAATAGAGAAGCTTTCTTCATCCCTTTATCTCTTTTAATACTTGCATAATGTTTACAATCATGCTTTGCTTGCTTGTTTGCATCATGGCCGAGTAGATCTCTTAGTTAGGCCGAGGAGATCTATGGTGGCCGTGATGATTTGATTGTGTTGCAACTTATTGGGATTTATCTTATGGATCTTCACCTTTACTTGAGCTTAATGCATGATTACTCTACCGTACATCTAGTAATCTGATCTTAGAGAAATAGAACCACGACAGTGCTGAATCTAGATCTCAAAACTAGTATTTGGTGAGCAATAGATCATAGCCAACGAAAGCTGAGTTATGGTTTATTGTGAACAATTGAATCTTGAACCTTTAATGCATGTTTGCAATTCTAATAGCCAACGAAAGCTGAGTATATTAGGTTGTTTTAAACATAGTGGTTGGAGCCACGACAGTGGAAAGACCATACACTAGTGATTCATGTTCAAGACGGCTCTACACACATCCCATGCAACTATCTTTTCATCATTGCTCCATATGATTGTCCTTTGCCTAACTCTTGTTTTAAATTGTTTACAACTCACTCACATTTCTTTTTTGTTTTCTCATTTAGGTCCAAAACCATCCATATTGCGAGCTAGCTACAAACCAATCTCACAAGGTGTTAAGTGAGAACACTTCCTCCTCGTGTTCGACCCCGACTACAACACGGCTGTGCACTTGCAGCTCATTAGTTGGGTTTATAAATTGTGAAAATTTGAGGCAATCTAAACCCGCCATCACACACTCACCAAGTTTCTTTTCTTCTATTGTGACGTTAATTTCGTTGCCCTTTTCTTTTGCTTTTTGGCTCTTGAGGTGTTTTCTCAAAATCTTCTGAACATCAAAATGCGGAAATTCTTTCAAACGTGCGGCTTCTTCTGATTTATCTTGCTCATCTTCACTTCACTCTGAGGCTCTATCATCATTTTCAGAGCAATCGTATTCCTGGAAGAATAAATCTTCATCACCTGTTGAAGAATCTCCAACCATCAATAAATGTGGGCATAAAATTACGTGTTATAGTAAGTACTAATAGATGGTATTAATGGCACTCTGACCTTCTTCAAATAATAAGCTTTGCAATGTATTTGGCTCGTCAAGCCCGAGTCTTGCATTGAGTTTCGCCATTCCATCTACCGTTGGTACATAGAAAACGAATGCAGTCATTTTATACACGCGAGATTTAGGTTCGTCAAAGCTAGAAATTAATAGTGATGGAAAACGTAATGTGTACTAACCATTCTTCTGGGCTTTCTGGCTTGTCGTATATTGGGTCTTGGTAGTGGGTTTTCTTCCCGGACCTACATCAATTTAAGATTTTGTAGGTCAAAATAACCTGATCATGATCAGATTTTGGTTTGATTATATTCTTACCTCTCGAACGTTTTTCCGGATGAAGTGGTTGGCGGTTTATTGAAGGTTGAGTATTTTGTACAGTAGATACTGGTGATGCCTTAACCGTAGATTGTGGAACACATGATATTTTTGAACGTTTCCCTATATTTAGTTGAATGAGACAATACTTAAGCATCACGGCACTATAATTTCAAACCGAAGAGACTTTAGATTGATTTACCTTGTGTAGCCAGACGTTTGATAGAGTTGAGTTTTGTTTTATCATTCTCTTTATCCCCTCCAACAATGTTATGTAGATCAGGTCGTTTCCCTGAGTATGCATATAAAATCAGCTAGTTGTGATTGTTATGGTTACTAATATAGTTAATGTCACTAATATGTGGAAACATAAAGCTTCCAAACGATTTGTATGGAAAAATGCTTACTCGATAATGTATTGTGCGTGGGAACGGACGATGTTGGTTGCGTTTGGCTTTGTGTGATGGTAGAAACGGATGATGATCCCTGTGTATTTATCAAATCTCCGAGAACTCGTCTGAAAGCTGACTCTATTGGAAATGTATGCATCGTGTAATTTGATTGACTCGGTGTGACAATAACTGATGAGATCGGAATTTCGGGTGATTGCTTTATCTTCTTAGAAGGTTCTCCGGTATCTTGTCTTCTCAATGGTGGTGATTCATCGACAGTTCTCTTTCTCATATTCGAAAGCATAACTGGCTGCTCTTTCCGCAGATTATTTTGATTCTTACTGGTTCTGTGATTAACCTTAGTATATATAATTTAAAGAGCAGTACATATGGTGTTAACCAATGGCAGTTTTTAATTACTACATCCCTATAATTCAGCGTTTGAAATGTATTATTTACCTAATTTGAGGGGGAAGTTCACATATTAAATATTCTGGTGGTTAAATGCGTACACGCGGATTTTTAGATAATTTTAATCATTAAGGTAATCATATTTATGGGTTTCATCCTAGTATATTATTATTCTATCGTATCCGTATTATATATAGTATATTCTTTCTAGTTCCGTGATTATTGTTGTTTCAACTATAACATTGAGTTTGATGAGTAACATATTCTCTCCAAAATCATCCAAGTTTGTTGATATTGTTCTAGGCTTAGACAACATTCCATCATATTAAACCGGAAAGAATGTTATAGCATAGTAGTAGTTAAATGAAATACCACAGTAATAATAAGTTCTTCAAAAAAATAAACATAACAAAAGCATGAACATTATTTCAATGTGACAGAATTGTCACTTAAGCTTATTTCATTGGAAGATCTCGTTGCTACGTGAACTACCGTCTTCTTCGCTCATCATCTTGAATCCTCCACCTAATAAATGAAATTATATTTTGCATATAAAGTTAATCCCATTTGATCTTAAACTTAGAGCAAAGACATTCAAAAAAAGAAGATATTCGTCATAATCTTACGTCTCTTCACAGAATCTGTGGACATCACGATTCACGGTACACGGTGGATTGAACTTGAACGTAAATATTCCCCGCACACTTTCAACATGTATTGTAGCTGATAGATAAGAAATTTTCCAGACGTGGAATAAGTACTGGTTGATGCATTCCAATATCCTTCTTATTATATAAAACACTATACTACTATATACAACTTTATTAAATGGAGAAGTGTGTTTATTTTTACTTACGATGTCGACGAATGATTCTCCAGTTGTGTAAAGCACAAACAAAATCCATATCTCCGTCGTTGAGCCATCTATCGTACAAGATATCGGCGAGTTCTCCTTTGACAAGACACATGATCTGGTAATTCCTATGTTTTGCATGAAAAAAATGTAACAAACATTAAGTCAAAATGGAGCTGATATCTTCACGATCTAAACGGATCACTAATAAGACTAAAACTTATAACCATGGAACTTACTGGTTGTCATAAAGCCTAAAATTAACATAAGATATTAGTTTCCGCGATGTGTTTCCATCAGCACGTCTTAGTGAATTATCGATCATAACATGAAGGTCCTTCACATAATTAATTCTTTCCTATAAAATCTGAAAAATTTGTGCCAATGAAGTTGTTTAACAAACCAAAATAAAAAACACATATAAGTACAATAACGAATGTAACTATGTACTAACCAACATGATAAGTTTCACCCATTTGGCTAGTACCATGGACCACGTCTTCAAACGTGACCAAATCCATCGGTTGATAAACATGTGGATCTAGAGCTCGGGTTACTTCCGTTCTGCCTATGAGGATAATCTTGGCTCTGATCCTCGTCAAGCGTATCTCGGATTGGTCTATAACAACAATGAAGTTGCGAATACATTTCCAATCATTGAGACTTAGAGATCTCTGGAGAGTATCTCTAAAATGAGTATTTCCGCTAGTTCCAACAATCTTCTTCCCCTATAGGTTTAAACATATAGAATATGAAGGATTTATCCCACACATCTTAATATTCATTTATAGATGATCAAAAAAACTAACATGTGCATACCTCTGCGTCTATTAGAAGGAAGTTGAAGTACTCCAAGCCGTCGTCCTCAAACGCTTGCCAAGTCTTAACAACCTTAACAACAATGCACCAGTTAGTCCTTTCAGATGAAAGACTGTCAATTCTGTCAAAAGAAACGGACATTGATGGAAGTTTGTTTTTTCAGTTTATGGAAGTAGTATGTCGCTCTGTTTTTTGTGTGGGTGACGAAGAAGATGTAAAATATATGATATTCTGGTTTCTTATAAACCTGTTGTAACGGTCAGTTTAAGTGAATACATAATCAAATTACAATTAGGCAGTTAGATGAAGTTGTGAATATGCATCGTTTGGAACGAAAACCGTTCATTGGCAGTCACTCATCATGGCAGTTTTTTCAGGCAAGTTGTGACTTCCCACATGACTTTAATGTTTCCATTTGAATCCTTGGTTGTGATGAGTAAATAGTAGACCGTATTGGTTCTTTCAAATCAAAACTTTTGCATATTAACATTTATGTTTGATTCCTTATATGTTACACGCTTTATGTTACATGATTTGTTTCGTCCATTTTTTCATAATATTGACTATATAATAGCTTCCGAGGGTAATCTTGTGATGTAACGAAATTTCCTTACCATTCGTAATATGATGAAATGTCACATATTTCCCGAGACATATGCATGATTCGTCTTTGACAAAATCTTAAATTACTAAGTCTTTTGATAAAAAGAAACATAATTCAGAGGACAAACTTAATAAGAGAAGAGTGATTGAAACAAATATTATTGTGTGCTCTCATAGATTTCGCATTGTCATCAACTATAATAATTAGTCGATTATTATAACTTCTGTCGCATTTCCTAACCCATTCCATGCCGTTCCAGAAGGTCCAGCACCAGAGCCGCTTGAATTAGAAATGTTTTCTGAAGACTTCCAAATAGAGGAGCTGCTCTGATCATTTGAGAAGTTGTCCTTCTCCTCGAAACTGATACACTAGAAACTCTATAAATTAATAATGTTGGGACTTTGATATTTTATTAATTTATAGAGTTATTAATATATAGATTTTGACTAAAAATATTTTCAAAAAAAAATCAATATTAAATCAGAAGTTTCCTTTCTATGTATATTTTCTAAACTTTTTATGATGTTTCTATATTTATTTTATTGTTCATATTATTTAAAATTCCTTTTTTGCTTTTAATTTCCATATATGTTTGGTATGTGAGAGATTCATATTTTAGTAGTTAGATATTTTAGGTGTATATATATATAATAAAAATAATTATTAATTTATGATATTATTGGGACCATATTTTACATAGGAGTTCAAAAAAAGTTATTATCTTATTATCTTATCGAATTGTGTCATATTTTACACCGGCCCAACTCGGGACCAGAGAAATTTATTAATTTATCGTGTTTATTAATTTATCGAGTATTAATTTATAGAGTTTCTACTGTACATGATTTTGTCATAGGTTTAATACAGTTTCAATTCATAAAAGATGTAAACTACTCTGCTTTTGAAGACTATGTGATTGAAAGGACTTTACTACTTCCACCTGAAAGCATCAACATCATACAATTCTGCGTTGAATTTAAACCGAGAAATCCCAGCGACAGACTTGATCATATACTCCCCAGTTCCTTTATTGTTCATTAAAGTACGAAGTATTTTATCAAAGATTCCAGGTTGCAAGTGTTTTTCAATATGTCAAAAATAACATGCCTGGAATTAGACTTACTTGGAATATAAGCAAGTTTCCAGTCGCTTAAGGTCATAATAACTTCGTTGTCTCCGTTCTTAAAACCCCTATCATCAATTAGTAACGCCAACTCACCGTAGGCCAGAAAATTAATAGACGTTCCACTGGTATACAACATCAAAACAGAGTATGATAAGTCTTATCAATGTGATTAGACAATAATGTAAGTATGTATGCAAATTTCATATAATGAAAACATCTTACCAAGTGTCTTTGAGGGTAAATTTGATCTGCGCGGTTATTTTCTCGTCCGTCAAAGTGAATGTCCGGTCATGCACCCAAGTTGGTTTCTTAACCGAATCAAGATAACCTATGAAATCTACATTTCCGGCATCGCAGCACATATAAGTAGATGTTTCAAAGTTGTCTTACATAACCCCGTTTAACAATCGGCTATCAATCTCTATTCCAAGATTTAAGTAATTCATGAATTCGGAGTCTGGATACATTACCTAATGGACTAGGTGTCAAGCGCTGACCAGCCTTAACTTGTTTGAAATCTTTAAACACCATGTAGTGAGGAAGGTCGGGTCCCTGAGCTGTATCCGATTCCGTATGTTCGTTGATAATTAACTCAAAGGGATTATCCGCAAACCGTCCTACCGACTCAGGTGCGTTTACCACATTGAATCTTTTCAGAATTTTCCATTGACCCTCGTACATGCGCTGATGCCAATATTGAAACAACTCTTGATCGATTTTGACATAGGCATAAATTTTGGTCCTCTGGAAGCAAAAGATATAAAAAAACATTTATGGTATTTTAGCTATAATTTGGACATGTTTAGGTCTTCTTCTTTGATATGATATAAACAGAAAGCAAATAAAACATTGTCCACTAATCAGACATCTAATAATGCATGAGGGATGATTTTGTCAGCAAAATACTAAATATTATTCGAATTTAACAGGGTAATCTTGTTTCCCTATAAACTTCAATGATAGATAATCGCTTACTTGTTGATCCACAAGCAGGAAGTGGAGGACATATGGTCGATACTGTCTAATCTCTACCCACTTCTTCAAGATTTTGACCATGATTTCCCAGTGACCATGATTTCCCAGTTCGAACGTCGAGGATTCAACTGGTTCAATCTGGATATGTAGCTTTTGTGGAAGTTATTTCAACTCAGTCTCTCTCCAGGCAAAATGTTTTAGGGCTTCAATGTAGCTTTTGTGGTTTCGTTATATGAAGTTTCAATTCCATTTTATTTAATTTTTACCAAATAAACACATTTTACAATAAATGAAATTGCAAAGTAAAAAAAGTTTTAATTAAAATTTTGAAACTAAGCCTTGAAAGGGCACATCAATACTTTTGGCAGGTGTAGACTGTGGTGCCTAAGTCATTGTGTTTCACAAAACATATAAACTTTGAATTTTTTTTTGATGGGTTCTTGACGTGTTAGAAACGCCAAAGTTATTGACCTCCCATTTTTTTTATGTTTCCGGTTTAATTATATTAAACAACCATTTGACCTTGAGGTAAAATCTCCCGTATTGTTATAGGTCCAAAAAATCTGAGTATTGCATTAGTGCACAAAGCTCTAAATTTGCAAACTTCAGTTTAAACAATTTTAAGAAATTAGCATAACTTAAAATTAAACTTAAAATTCAAATGTAAAATGACAACTTAAATAAATAACTGAATCCAAATAGTAAAATGAAAACAAACATCGAACTAAAACAGGAAGATAGTTGGTGTTTGTTTTGTAAAAACAGAAACACAAATGCTAAAAACTTTGACACCACCATTCATTCTACGCCATTCCCTTCATCTTCTCAATCTTCTCAATCTTCACTTCTTTCAGACGTGCTTTCTTGTTTGAACTTTCCAAATCCGTCAAACTCCCATCTGCCCCGCTCTCGCCACGTTTTTTGGAAATCGGCGTACCTTCGTTCAACGTCCCTTCTTCAAGAACGACTTCATTGCTGTCTTCCAACATCAAAACACTATAGACAAAACAATTAAAATCGCAACGAATGTCAAGCACAAAACATGGAAGTTCATTTTTCGCAAAAGGCTCTTAAATATTATAGATGACATGTATCACCGGTTCACCGGAAATGAGTTCAGATGGAGTAACATCCCTAGCTGATTCGGTGAGCGCTTCAGTTTCATCAATCATACCAAGTGTAGAAAGGACCTTGATGAATTTGTAAGTGTTATGCCCTCCTCCAAGATTATCTTTGTCGACGGCTATTACAAACTGAAATGTCATTGCACACAAAGCCTGTAACCCTTCAGGCAAGTCCTCAGGATCTTTGAGCTGTGTCAAAGTAATATCAATTGGTACATCCTTACGTCATAAAACCCGTTGTAAAGGACAATAAGGAAAACACAAATTACTTGCACTAAACGTTTTTACCGAAAAGATTAAAAAGCGCTTCCGAAAATGTACCTCGTCGATTACACCGCCAAGTAACTCTAATGCGTCATTCTGAACAATCACTTTTGCCAGGGAATCAAATAATATGAGATTGGTATCCCGAGTGCTATCCATCACCTTGACATGCAACTTGTATCTGCGACGTAAAGTTTATACCAAAAATGGTGAGGTTTTAATTTTCTCAGCAATGCCAAAATATTGTTAACTTAGTAATAAACAAATAAAGTGATCACCTCGCTACAACATTGGTAATGTTTGCATTACACTTAAGACAAACCACTTCTGCTTGGAACCGGGGACTACCTTCTGATTAGGACCAGGAAGGACTTTCTTCACCTTGTTGTGCTGGTATTTAGGACACGCAATGTAGTACCACCCCATATATGTGTCGATAGCGTACACAGTACATATGATTTTGGCAGTGGCAACCTGTTAAGATGATTTACAATAACACGTTAGACAAAATGAACATAATATTAACAATATATTTCTATGTTGCCTTATTCGGATAATGAAATCTTACGGTATCTAAAGCAAGAACCTCGCAAAGGGTCGATGTTGGAAACAAATCCCAGTATTCCTCTTGCTCCTTTTTAATAACCAACTGCGTATCAGGTTTGCTGAAAGCAATTGTCAACAATTGGCCATCGTTTGGGATGCTACAGAAAAACAATGGTGTTTTTTTATTAGGAGTAAACGCAAGAGATACATATACTAAAAACTCAGTAATTACGGTAATGTAGTAACCTTTTCGCGAAAGTAATTGTTTATGGATACGGTGGATTGATCAGCATCACGGAGGAACTGTAGGCATTGGACACATTCTTGACCTCTGCATCATGCATCAAAATTGAGACAGTTCGAATTAGTTTATTTTTTACTCCTTTGCATTTTACCAAAAGATATTCGTACAAATCCATAAACCATCTATCATACCTTGGAATTCCCTCACTTTTGCCCATCGAAGTAGAGAAATCAATTTGGCCTTCTGCGGCGATGAGCATATCCGCAGCCATTGGCCCCCACAAAGTACATCCAATTCGATCATCACTAATTACATAAATAAAAATACTTAATCAGCTCACTATTGTTAGAGACTACGCTAATAGAATTTGAATCATTGAATGCAACGAAATAAATACCTTCCATCCCGAAGTTCTATCTCCATTTTTTTATGTTTTTTGTTCTGCGTATCGACTTCTTCCATCGGTCCAACACTGATGACTTGACCTATTATGTCTACACAGATCCAGTACATATAAAATCATTACACAACCCTAGATATTACTCACACCTTCTTATAAACCCTAGATTTAATATACATTTATTAGCAATAATTAGATTAGTACCATGTAAGATGCTCTCATTCACATTTCCTTCGTGGATATGCCTGTAACTGGCCAGCATCAAGTAGTTACCGTCGCTAAGATTCGTTGACGGAAGCACAAACGTCTCCTTGATGAAAGCTAATTTGTAAGGGTTCGGGGTTGTGCGGTAGTGGCCGGTTGCATGCGCCACCGTGAAATTCTGTATGAGCTTCCAGGCACCGACTTCGAGATACCTCTCGTAACGCTTTACATCCTGCTTCCGTACACTTCCGTGGATCTTGCTTCCCTATAAACATGATGATTTAAGTTTCACAGCTATATTAGATCTATGGAAAAAATGTTGTTAACTTCAATGATATAAACCGGAATGATGACATTACCTCAACATCGCAAAGAATCATTTCTATGGTCTCTCCGGAAGTGGTGGTGTACTGCTTCCGTAGATGCAAGATCTTCACTTGAATCCTCCATCCAGTCTTGAACGGCTTCACCTGAGTACACAAAGAAACCGGAAGCGCGATCTCCATTGTCATTTTCTTTTTGGAAATATTATGAGGAACTGCTTTTTGTTCGTCGTGGATGATTTACAGTTTCACCTCAATGGCTCATTATATAATGGTGGACTCCCACGATACTCTAGGGTTTCGGATTTTGAATTCATTTTATCTTTTCTCCAAAAATAAATAATTATAAAACATTCTAGGATATCTTACATTCTAATTCCGTAACTGAAGTGAATATACGATTTCCATATATTGGGCGCGATTTAATATGTAATTCAAATTAGTTGAATGTGTTATAACTACCCCTATAATCTCGCGCGTATCTCCACTAATGAAAACGTGTTTAATTAGAGTAAGATGAATCAAATGCTATTAAGAATATCACGTCGAATATTTGCATCGGAGGTTATGTGAGTCGGGTTGTGGAAAACCTAGATTTTCGAATTGATTTTCAGAAGCCAGTTTATTTCTATTTTCTTTTAACCCGCATGTTTTTTCGGGAATATAGGGTCGGGTTTTTTCCTTATTACTGAGCGAACTCGCTTGACTCAGTTTTTTTCACCCGGAATTGCCCCTGCTAATCTTGTTTCCAAACACTTTTTGGTCGTGATCTCAGTGGCATTTTTCGTAATTAAAAGATCTTTTCGGGTTTTTCTAAAAACTGACGTCTAAAATAAGCTAATAAATCATTTTTTTCATACTCTAATAGATCCTTTTAACTTTACCATTATTGTATAACTAGCTAATAGATCCTTTTAACTTTAACATTTTACTAACTAAAAGCATCTCAAAAATTTATTAAAAATCAAATTTGTTAATGATAGAAAGTCCCACATCGAAAGTTGGAAAAATAATTAACTAATATATAAAGGGTTAGGGCCTCTCCACCTATTGCAAATTGGTTTTAGGTTGGATACCAAGTTTAACTAGAATTTGAGAAAATTAACACTTAAAAATAATGAATCATGGTTATTTATGTTAAACTAATTTAAAAAATAAACATCTGTTTTTTTTGTTGACATTATTATTGTATAACTTACCTCTTTAAGGAATGAGGTGTCGAAAGAGAGCAATTTCTGATTTAGAGAAAAAAAACCCTTTAAGTCTTTCATTGATTAAAATTTTCTCATATTTAAAAAACTGATTATATATAAATAAACTCAAAAAAAATGCAAAAGGTGTAATTCCACAATAACATTAAAAAAATAGTATTTAGCTGATTTTTCCAAAATTATAATACGTACCAAAAAATAAAATAAAAAACTTACTAAATTTTTTGAGCTTAATAATTTATTTATTAAAAAATAGATTCGCATCCATAACAATATCCAATTGAATTAAATTTCCCAGTATTTAATGATAAATAAATAATAGGAAAGCATGGAAAATCACAATAAAAGGGAATCCCACCGACATTTGGCCTCTACTGGCCGGTGCCGTGCCATGTCGGACACGCTCAAGTCTAGAATCCGATACTCCTCTCTGTCCCTTCTATCCACGTGTTCGTTATACGCATCCAAAACTCAACCAACTCAAACCGAACCAGAATCACTAAACCGGACTAACCAACTCTAGTTTGAAATAGCAGTCATTTTCTCCGGTTTGGTATCTAAAAATAGCATAGTCATTCTCATTTGCCCCGGTTCGATGAACCAAATTGTGTGAAACCGTTTTTGTCTTAAGACAGTTAATATAAGAAGATCTTTGTTCCTCTCCTATCATCTCTGGTCGTGTGTGTTGTTTCGAAACTTCTCTTCTTCTTGTTTTTGCTTTGATTGGTTTGGCTTTGTTGTGTTCTTCTTAAAAATGACTAAACTATGGACTCTTCTATCTGCTGTTCATTCCATCGCTGGGTATTATTTATTCTTCTCACTACGAGAGGATCTCTTCTCCTCTTCTATTTGATTTTTTTTTATATTATTCTCTTTATTTCATTAATGTTTTGATAAATATTGATTTCAATAATCTGATCTCGTCTTAATTGTTTTCTGCAGGCCTGTTGTGATGCTCCTATATCCCTTGTACGTAAAATTTATCTGGTGTCTTTACGTTTCGTTAGCTTTGTTATAAAGATTTAACCCCCCAAAAAGATTTCATCATTTGGTTAATTTGTATTAAATTTTGAATGATTTTGGTGAAGATATGCGTCGGTGATAGCAATAGAGAGCCCATCAAAAGTAGACGATGAGCAATGGCTTGCTTATTGGATTCTTTACTCTTTCCTTACTCTCACGGAACTCATCCTTCAGTCTCTCATAGAGTGGTAATTAACAACAATATTGTCATATGTGATTTAAAAAAAAAACATTGCTAAATTTTTGTTATGATAATAATGAAAAAATTGTGAAAATATTTGATTAATAGGATACCGATATGGTACACGGCGAAGCTAGTTTTGGTGGCATGGTTGGTTCTGCCGCAATTTAGAGGGGCTGCTTTCATATACAACAGAGTCGTGAGGGAACAGTTTAGGAAGTATGGCATTCTCAAACCTAAGGTACAAATGTTTCCCCTCTTCATTTATCTTCTCATATAACCTAATATTATGTCTTAAATGCACACACGTATCTACTTGATTGTAAAAGTGTTATGGTGTGGAATGAGAGTCCTTGTGCGTGCTCAACCTTGTTCTGGACGGGTTAGCCTGCATGATGACTCGTGTTTAGTTGAAAACCTTCGAAAAATTAACAATGTCAAGAACTTGTTTTGATCTCTTATGATTTTCAGAATAAGTATGGGCAGGCCATGTCTAGTTTGTAAACAGAAATATTATAACCGGTTGTTATTGTTACTAGTGTAAAAACGGATTAAGTTCAAATGGTGTGTATACCAAGAATACTAATTTAATATTTTTCCCAGTCACAGAAACTAACTCCATAAGTTTGCAAAATGAAATTGACAACAGAATAGTTGTTATACTAATAAAAATAGTTAAGATCAACTTGAACTTGCTTACATGGTTTTTGCTTACATAGCTTCACGGTCATTTTATTTTTAAATTTGGTGTATGGAGTTACAGGCACAACATCAGGCTGAGTGAAGTCAAAAAGAGAAGGGGACAAAAGAGGCTTCACTGTTGGTGGTGCCTTCATTTTCTTATCGTTGATGCTTTTCCTTTTGTATTTCTTCTTTTAAGTTCGCGGAATAATGGGAATCGAAGTTAAACAGTATGATTGTGAAACTATATATGTGAAAACAACTTTTATATGTGTTAAAAAATTATATAAATAGATTGTCAATCTAAATGGTACCAATTCGTTTCTTCTTAAGTTCGTTATACTTTTACACTAGTATGCATTTCAATCTCATCACAAAAAATGCAACTTATCTATTCTCATGGGTGTCATCACATAAACATAAAACAAAGTGGTCCCCAAAAGACTTACCAAAAAAAGTGGTCCCCAAAAGACCAAAACAATGTGTTGAGTGTGAAATTTAGCGGTTCGATTTGAGAACTGTTTTTTGTAACAACAATTTAATAAATATATAATTTAAATTTACATAGAAAATATAGAAATTATAAAATTACATACATAACTAAATATAGGAGACGATACAACAAATGAAATAAATCTAGACAATATTTTCCTCCCATAAGTCTTTCTCACATTTGTCTTCAAACGATTGTCATCTTTAATCACCCATATAAAACTGCAAAATATATGTTGCAAAACTTGCAACATAGGCAATACCGTACATAGTTTCTTCTGTTGTATAACATTGACTAATTCTCAATTAGAATCCAAAAATGTTCTCGATTTTCAATGCAATGTAATGTATTGATTCTCTTCAAATAAATAAAAATTGGGATTGACAATCTTCTCTTCCATTTGAGAACTTATTAATATTGTAAACATGATTTCATATATAAATTAATATCAAGACTATTTGAGCCGTTTTAGGAGCATAGGCTGTGGACAAAAAAAAATACTCCCTCCGTATCAAATTAATTGTCGTTTTGGAAAAATGTATCTGCAAATATTTGGACGTATCTGCAATGCAAAACACGTCCAGATACGTCCAAATATTTGTAGATACATTTTGCCAAAATGACAACTAATTTGAAACGGAGGAAGTATATATATAAAAATAAAAATATCAAGACAATTTTTTTGCATTTTAACTACCAATTAAAAACATATATAAAAATGCTATTTAAAAATTTGACAGTGATTTTTTATAAAGAAAATAGGAATCCCATAGTTTTAGATTTTTTAAAAGAAAGGAATTGGTGATGACTGATGAGGTCGAATTACACGGAGGATGCTTATTCTAGTCATAATTGGTATTTTACTAATTCACTAGGAGAGCATTCGCGCAATGCGCGGGATTTTGTTTTACAATTTAGTGTTTTATGAAAGTTTAAAAAAAAAAATTATCCTAGGTTTTAATCCTCTCTCTCAATAATGGTAACATTTTTTGCTTTTTTGCTTATTTTTGCTCACTGTTTTTGTATTTTTTGCCTAAGGTTTTGGTTTAATTCCTCGTTGATTTACTTTAACTAATCAATATTTATATTCCAAAATGGTTGTTGACCAAATTAAAATATACATTCATCAGACATAAAGTAAAGAACTTGTGCTTTTAGCAATCAACTAAAGGGTATTTGTTTTACCTTTGATTGTATTAAAGTTTTAAACTAATAAGATATGGAGTAGTAAAAGAAGTTAAAAATTTCTTCTACCAATCCAACGAAATAAATCAGTAGATATATAGCGTTTGTAATTTGAAGGACATAAGCCAACTTTATTTGGAACAAAGACGTGTTTTAGGACCGGGTAAATACATACGTTATATACCAAAAAACAGAAGGTACAAACTGTGAATCCAAATAAACTTAGTAATAACAAAATCTTCAATCTCTATGAGATGTACAATTCAAGAAGCAAAAGAGTATTTCCTATACAAAAGGATGCAATACTTTTTGTTCTTCAAATATCTTGTCCCTGCAAAACCAACAAATGCAGAGACGACTATGAGCAAACAATAAAAGAAGAACTACAAACGAACCGCATGCAAATCAGACAACCTTACATAACCCTACAAGAAAAACTCTGCATACACTTTAACATCATACGCAGAATTCAAAATCAGGACATGAAAAGGAGATAAATTTGAATACCGTGAAGCAGTTATGTGTACAAGCTTCTGCTTTAAACCTTTATCGATGATTTTCTCCAGCAACTGCAAGTCCTTTTGACGTCCCTCGCCCAACTAAAAAACAGGCAAAACCGGAGAAAGAGTGGATTCGTCTATAGCCACAGTACGTTTAACACCTTTTTGCTTGAATAAACTCAGTCTAGAATAAGTGAGCAGACTCTCGAGCTGTTGGTTTCAAAATCAAGAGTCGATTAACAATCTACAATATCTAAATACAAGCCAACGGAGCGTTGAGACACTATCCAGAAATTGAAAATAATTGGAAAGCAAACAGGTGTAGACTAAAAAAAAAGGGTCAGACCTCATGTAGTGCCGTGAAACTTTAGGTTTTATATTATAAAGTTTTGTTTGACAAGTTTTAACCTGTAGTCACTGTAGATCTATGGTGCAGTGATGAGAAAGTGAACATCTCTAAAGCTTATGTTGCCTACTGGCTTCTCACTTTTCCTTTCAACGACGTGTATGCCTCCGATTCTCTTTCTCCTCATCAGCTTGAAGACCTGAAGAACAGGTTCATCTTCATAGATCTGTAACATAAATGGTGAGTATGTTAAGAACAACAAAGAATGCACTCTTATGGAGCTATGAGTAAGATTAGGAATACAAAGTTACAAAGCTGACCTTTATGATATGATCTTTTGACATAATGGGAAGACGGACTTCAGAGAGAGTTTTGATTCCCCAATCTTCAAACCAGTGGAGCCCCGCGCATTCTGCAAACATATGGATAACTCCTGATTGAGTGATGATGCTCTCGATCTTTGCTTCACCTAAATCAACCACAGGGATGCTCTTCATTTTGTGCTTTGAAAGAAGCAAGAGCATGGTTAAAAAGGAGTTCTCTTTCTGCAGAGCCAGGAACGGTGCCCATCGGAATGTTCCAGAGATCTCGAACCTGTAAGAGAGAAGGATATTCAATGCATTTCCAAAAGCCGTAATCAGGAAAAGAATCAATGGAACGTGTAAAAAGATAGGAGCTTCACCTTGGTGTTCTTCTATAGCTCTGAAGAAGTAAGGACCTCAAAGAAGTTTCCAGAAGTTACTGCTGAATTTCCGTTATCCAGAACATCGGAGGTGAAATCATGAGCAATTCCATTTGACAGTGCTACAGTACGGCTCCTTGGAGATGGTGGCTCCAACTGTTTTTTTTTTTGAAGTAGAGCAAAGACAAGAGCAAAAAGCAAAATGTTTGAAAGAGAAGATAGAAGGAACAACAAACCTGATGCAAAAGCCAGACAACAATGCCAGGAAACTCCAGAATACCTACCATGGAAGAGCTGACAAATGCATGCGAGTGTGTACCGCGGAGGGGAATTCCAAACAATTTTCCTACTGCAACATTACTCCGGTCAAAACAAAGCAAGAAAGCAATCAAATCATGTTCTCTCTTCTCTTTAGATCCTTTCATAAACAAAACCAAATCACTAAAGTAAGACTGAGACATGCCTTGTTGCATCAAAACCTCCAAGGTAGCAATATTTTGATGCGTTTATTGCGCCATCAGGACCCTATAACAACAATATATCAAAGATGAAACAAAAAAAACAAAAACCTCAACATCTAAAGCTAAAATATGACAAGTTTTCAGTGGAAACCTGAGCTCTCCGAGCACCAAACTCAAGCAAAAGCTTAGACTTTCCGGCGACAAACCGATGCCTTGCTGCATTTGTAGCAACGAAAGATGCGTAATTGATGAGATTGAGAACAAAGAGATAGCATACACTTCAATGTCAGAACAATCAAGTCCTCGTAGATAATCACAGAAAGCTTCCTGCTTTTGGATATTCCCAAAACGGTCAAAACAATGAACAAAACAAAAAAAACGATTCTTTTTATGAAAGTGGAAAAGAGAGATTTTTGGCTGTACCTCACATCCAGGCAACGAATCACGAACGAAATCGATCTCTTCATGAGTCAAATTGAAATTAGCGAGGAATTTGATGCATTCTTCTAATCCAGCGTAAATGGTGTATTCTCCACCAAATGGGTTCTTACGAAAATACAAATCAAACCTGAGGATTGAAACAAAAACGAAGAGAGATGAGAACTTTTTCAGCTATTGTGGATTCGAAAAGGATTGAGATTTATCTAATTGAGAGACTAACACGGATCGTTCGGATTGTTTGCCGGATTTCCAGTAAGCATAAGCCATGGTGAATTGGTAGAGACGGCGTAACCATCGGGTAGGTGGGTCCGTCGACGACCCGACCCGGTTTCTTCCCATCAACACCATTTGCTTTCTTCTCCGTTCTCAAAATCATGTGTGTGTGTTTTTTTCGTGGTTGTGTTAAAGAGAGAGTGGTCACTGACTCTGAAGCAAAAAGGCGAGGTTGAGGATGAGGACAATTTATTTTCAACTCCAGTTATGCATTGCTCACATACGCAGGAGGCGGACCCAAAAGGTCATGAAGATGAATCGTCGTCATTGAGAAGAAGCGGAAGCATCGTCTGTTTTATTTATTTATTAAATTACCTATAATCAAAACGACGTCGTTTTGGAGGGGACGGAGAAGGAAAAAAAATTCTGATATTAAACGACGTCGTTTTGGAGTAAGACGGGAAAGGGAAATATAGAAGGGATGACGTGGCACTCTCTGGAGGTGCTGAGGTGTCAGCAGCTGGAGAGTGTCACAAGCCCTTTCAATTATATAGATTTGATTATTAATTGGTACAAATTACTTCTTTTTTTTACAGAAAATTTCAGAAATTATATTTAAAAGGATTATTTTCATATAATTATATCATTTTATAAGTTTTATAAGAAAATAAATGTTGATGAGATCGCATTACGTGGAGGATGCTTATTCTAGTACAATTATATATGTGCTTAGGTTTTGGTAACAAGCAATGCTTTCTATGCACATTTGACTTTGCCATGTACAATTATGATATACGGCTATAGTCTATGTGGCTATGTAACAGCTCAGTTTCAAGCCTCCTCCGTCTGTTCACTCGAGCAATTAGATCATCAGCTCTTTGGTTTAATGAATCCATCTGCAGTGGACTAAGCTTGAGACCTTTATACCTTCTTCGAGTCTCGGCCGATCAATATTTTCTTTTGAAAATTGTAGTTGATATCCCATTTCTTCCTTCAGGTTTCCATAAGACCACGAGTCACAAGAATGGCTACTATATACAGTGTACTCTTTGCGTGAAATGTTAGCTGGAAGAGAAGATTTTGATCTAGAAAACCTTGATTCTCCAATGAGGATGATCACGATGACATTCGTGAGAACGAATAAAACCTTACGATCTAAGATGTAATTAATAACTCTAGAGATGATGATGAAGAAAAGATTATGATAAACGTGAAGCCAAAATGGGCTAAAAAGAACTATGATGCAAAAGATGATTACAATAAGAAAATTACGAAATGGCTTCTTGTAGGTTCTTGGTCCATTGTTATATCGGATTTCATGCATGGTCCCTTTAGCTATATGTAAAAAGGTTCGGTGAAAAGAAAGATGGAATCTTGAAGAAGCGGCAAGCGAAGGAGAGTTGAGTTTTAATTTAAGGATGAAAATGTGACTGATTGAATTGTGACTCGACTATAATGTTTATAGTGAGTGCTTGCATGCTATGCAGCATGAGGTTTTATATAGTTTAAGGGTTCTTCCTCGTTAAGATTAAACTAATCACATGCTTGAACCTTATATTTTATTTTATTTAGCTTTTTAAGTAACCATGTGGGTGTGTAAGCACTCTTTGAATTATTAACTGCTTTTTCTACTATTTTTAGTGTTTTGTTATATTTCACCAACTTCATTTTCGAATGCTTAATTGATTTGATATAAGATTAGAGAACCAGTTCTCAAAGTTGAATCAAAGCATGTTGAGCACGAGATTTTAAAATGGTATACTTTTTTCACGCACACGTCGAAAGTAAAAGTGACGTGCTTGTATTTTTCTCCCAACTATCAAGTGTTAAAATATATAAATACAAGTGGAACCGAAAGTCTAAAGTATAAAACTAAAGACATAACCGGTCTTTCCAATGAAATTTATATCATTTTAGGAATGCCAATATATTGTTATCCGATTTGCGGTAGATAATGTTAGTGTTGTGATTTGCGAAGATCGAGCTTTAGAATATTATGTAACAGGTGAAGAAGATGTAGTTGATTTAAACTGTAACATCTGTAGCGAAATAATTTGAAATTTTTGGGTGGTGGAGCGATAGGAGGGTGTCGGTTGACACCGGCTACTGAAATCGATTTTCTGTTTAAATTAAGTTGTTCGATTTTTGCTGGTTAAGGGGAGAAAAGCCCTAAAACTCAAGTTAAAGGTGCAGTCGCCGTTTTTGTGCACAGATTTTGAGATCAGAGTTCTAGAGAGAAAGAGGAGATTTTTTGGAGGAAATCCAAGTTTTGGTGTCAAATCAAAGTGTCGTTCTTCGTTGTTTCCATCTTGTTTCAATCTGTTTTAGAGGTGAGTGCGTCATGATTCACTAGAATTTGATTGATAGCTGAGTTTTTGTTGAGTTCATGTTGTGTTTTTGAGGAATTGCTTGTTTGATTGATTTTGGGTGTTGAATCCCTTGTTTTATGTGTTTATGCGTCGATTCGTTGATTTAGGATTGTTTTTTGCGAGTCGGTGTCGAGTGACACCAGAGGTCGAGTGTCAAGTAGATGTCGACTGACATTATGGGGTGTCGCTCGACACCATGGGGGTGTCGCTCAACAACAGTTGATTTTGTTGATGTTTATTCGTAGTTTGCTTGTTTAGTGTCTTGTGTGTCTCTCGACACCAGTTGATTTTGTTGCTGTTTATTGGTTGCTTGCTCATTTAATGTCTTGCGTAATTGGCATGTAGGTGGAATGATCGTCTCACTAAGTATTTATGATAATACTTATGTTGTATTATGATGCAGATAATTGAATTATGTGATCGCAGAATCAAGGCGAAAGAAAGAATGATAGGACTTTGTTGTTTACATTGTTCACCATGCAAGAGAGAAGGGCTTCTCCAAGATCCATTTCAAATCCGACGCTCAGGACCTCGTCCGAGCCATCTCACAGCAAGAGCAAGTCAAAGAGATCTATGGGATCCTCTTTGACATCAAATCTCTCGCATCAAGCTTCGAATCGATCAGATTCAGCTCCATTCCTCGATCGCAAAATTTTGTGGCCGATAGACTCGCAAAACATGCAAAACTCGATTTGCCCATCTGGGACCCACCCAAATGTAGTTGTTGGCCACATTTAATGAAATGGAAAGTATGTGTTGCTCAAAAAAAAAATGGTAGTTAAAGTTGGTATTTCAGGTTGCTAGTTTATTACTTGAATTTAATTATTGAATTGATTTGATTATTTACTGAATTTGTTTAAGACCTCCACTGAATTGATGATTGTTAATTGATTTAATTTATATATATAAAAAAATTTAGTTGTTTCAAAAACATTTGAAGTGAGAAAGAAACAGTATTTCAACTATTATAAACAGAATTTGTTTAAGACCTCCTCCGTTCGTTTTTTCTCAATATCCAGTCTGTAGCTCCTGCATCCTATTCAAATTCTTCTGCTATGCCTTTAAATCGAAACAAATCTCACAGCCACCTTCACGATTTGAGGAAAATCTAATCAATGGGCGAATTTTTAGAGATCCATCTGGGATGGGATCCGTTCGCCACCTCGCGGAAACCGCCGTGGACGTTGGCTTCACGGAAACCGCCATCGACGTGTCCCCCTTCTTCAACATTTGGTAAGCATAAATGTTTCCCAAGAACATGTATTTTGATTGATGCACTTGGAGATAGCAAACGAGCTAGGGCTGACCATTAGTGTGGCACCAGTTACATGGAGGTATATGCAGTTTCCTTTGTTGTATAGCAAAGAAGTAAAACAGACAACATGAATACAATAACCATGAGCTAGAGACCGATTGGAAAAAGTTCATGGAACCATCAACTTTAAAATATCACGCTACTAATCCTCCTTTCTTACCCGAGTCTTTGTCTACTGGTTAGATAATCACCTGCTCATTCTTGATGAGCAGGTAACAAAATGGTTTTTAGGATCACACTTAGCTACAATGCTACTCCTAAAGTTCAGTATGATGGTTGCCGCAGCTTTTTCTCAGTTTCTGATCCTGAAGAAAGGGAAATAGTTGTGATTTGATCAAACAACCTAAACATAAGGCATTGCAGGTGATTCTCTAATGGTATACTCGGTAGCAGGACATAGAAATTATGTAGAAAAGAAACATGATTATTGAAATCGCAGGATGTTGATTTCAATTGTTGTCAAAGTGGGTAGGTGATTAACTAGAAATAGGTCATTTTCTCTACTGCAAATTATCAGTGATGAAGATTGTAATATAAAGGATTCGAAATCCAGAGGACCAGCGTTACACTGTGAAACTAGAGATTTAAAACAGAGCTAAGACAAAGATGATTGGTTTTAGTAGCAGGTAACGAATGTAAACGATGATGTAATTCAATTAAACAGGGACTAGACCAAGGCAATTCGCAGGGATACACAGTTAACAACCGAACAACTATTCAGGGCACAGATGATGAACAGGTCTCGAACTCAAACATGAAATATGTCAATTCACTTTCGCGATAATGATAACTTTATCTAACAACCTAGATGTCTAAACTGTCGTTTGAATCTAGCAGTTGATGACAAGCAATAAACTCAGGTTCGATAAGTTCACGAATCGCCTCAGCATCAACTTTCGCAGGCTAAGGACGATTCGCTCACCACAGTTCGTTCTAACAACCTATAACACTTTTGATGAACAGGTAATCTGAGATCAGAGATCGAATGATCAGATCGATCTAAGCAGTAAGTGCAACAATGGCGAAGACAGTATTAAAGCCCTATCTGTATTCAGTCAATTAACACATGAATCCCTTTGAAAAGCCTAGATCTAGCAGTGACTACTCAGACATGGTGAAACAGCAAACAATACTGAAAAAATGTCATTGAATCAAATAAGAAAATAGCAAACAAGGGTTCAGAAATCTTCTCCAAACTGTGAATAACAGAGGTTTGATCTCTTCTCCCTCGGAAACAATGAAAACAGTGTAAACTCTGAAAAACGGCGTAGCCTAAACAATGGCTAAAGATAGGTCTAAATAGCTCCGGGGTCGACTTCGGTTCAATCCGGTTCGCTGTGGTTCGATCGAGTCGGTTTGCACCAAGTAGATCGAACGGCTGTGATATCATCTGAGCGGGAGATCGAACGGCTGAGATCGAGATGGCACGGGATCGATCGACTCCTGTCGTACGAGCTCGATCGCACCTCCTGGTACGATCGATCGAGCTGCTGCTCGTGTACAGCTCGATCGAGCTGCTGCTCGTCGTGATGAGCTCGATCGGGCTGCTGCTCGTGTACTAGCTCGATCGAGCTGCTGCTCGTCGTGTACGAGCTCGATCGAACCCCTCCTGTTGTATGGGATCGATCGAGCTGTTGTTCGCTCATAGCTCCGTTTTGCCTGCTTTCGCCTTGTTGGTCCATGTGACCAAAGCTCTCCCTGGAACGTCTTTAGACCTGAAAAGACTCGATAAAGACTAGAAAGACTCGATAAAACTCGTGAAAACAAGGTTAGAATGCGTCAAATACGCAAGATATCAGTAGGATTCATAAAAGTGTTCAAGTACTAAATTGCAGTGTAATTTTTTTCGTTATGTGCAGCAAAAGAAAATATATTGAAAACTTGTGAGGAAGAGTACGAAGGACTCAAGGAAGGATCAAAGTCCTTGAAGCCGTACCATCAGGAAATAGAGAAGAAAATGTGGTTTCATTTGATAACGAGTCTGAGATGAAGTAGTTGCATAGGCTTAACAAACCTGCTGTTAGGAGCCTTAAGGTTTCAAAAACTCTCTCTTTTATACTATTCTGTGGTTTCTCTGCTTTGAGTTGGACTGAATGAGAAGAATTTCCTGCTATACTGTATATATCTAAAATTTTGTTCTTTTTGTATAATTTCAAGTGATAGTCGAAATTTACTGTAAATTTTGACTATGTTTGATGGAAGTTACGTTTTTCTTCAACAAAGCCCAACTGGAGATATAATAGACTGAGTTCCTATCTCAAAGCAGCCAGCTTTTGACCACCCATTCCTTAAGATCACAAGATTCAGATCTAGAGAATCAAAAACTTTAACGTATGACCGGTTAAGTTTTATGCGCGGGTTTGGTCTGATCTCTTATGTGTATTCTAATATGCTATCAGTTCACAAGATATCATAATTCTAATCTAGAAGGTACACTAAATGAGGTATGCCATAACTTAAATATTATTAATTTTTAGCTCTAAAAGATCTTTGAGGCTGCTTGATAGTATGTTTGAATTGTCACAGGATCCAAATGAGGGACATTGGTGGATGCAATTTGGGAATGGATATCTTTTGGGGGTAATGGCCATTGTTACTCTTATCTTACCTAATAGAGAGTACATCGCTGATCGAATGGGGAGGAGAATTTATGGACTCGCAGTGAGATGGGTACCACATGTTCACACAAATGGAAAGTGGTAATTGGTCACTTCCCAGAAGAATGTTGCAGCAAAGCAAGTTACTTTAGGAACATTCAAGTAGTTGATAGATCTAAAAACCTCAAAGCAGCATCGAAAGAACTCGACACTTTCACCAAGAAGTCAAATTGGTATGATGCTCAAACGGGGAGCACTTGATGACTTGGGATATTACTTCTACTACGGTGGTCCTGGTAAGAACAAGAACTGTCCTTAACGCAGACATTTGCTATAGTGTACTAAGCTTTATCTCTCTTTCAGTCTTGTGAATTTCCGTCTACTTCTTGGGTAGCAGGCTGTAGTAAACAAAATCAATTAGTGATGCTATTATATAAGCTTTCTATTAAGGTAATGGCATGTTTAGAGATTTGTCTAATTTCCAACTTTGTATTAAGTAAGGTGTTTGTAGAAGTATTTACTACTATAATATCAATCACTTTTGTAGTTATGATATGTTTACTCTTTGATCACTCTGTCCTTTACCAGAAAACTTGGCTATCTCTTCTATCCCCTTCATTAGGAATATCTTTCTAATAAGTATAATTAAAGATTGAGTTTCCGTTTAGTTAAAGCAACTGGTACATATTCCATTTGCAGAACGTTGATCTTTCTTCAACTTCTTTATATCTAGCTCTGTTTCTTCTCCGCATTGCAACACCAAATCTGACTTTGTGGTTCACTCACACCACATTATACTCTCTCTACCTAACACAGCTTACAAGAAAAGGTAAAGTCAAGGTTGAGAACGTTGCTCTTAAAAGAAAACAAAAACGCATAAAAAAATATCACTTTCACTTGGACTTAAAAAGTAACTTTTTTCAAATATATGATTTTAGATTTACTTTAGCTAAGCAAATCCCTAAGACGACAGATGATGATAAGAGAGCACAAAAGTTACAAAGATAAATCAGAATATCAAAATATATAAAAAAAAAAGCATAAAAGAGGTCAAAATCATTAGAGGGTTTCAGTTTACGCCCACGCAATCTTCTTATTATGAGTCATCATGATATTAACAACTTAGCAATTTGAGCTCATTCATAGAAAAACGATACCCATTCATTTATATAGCCCATAATAGGTTCCATACTTCATATGTTATATCTACCGTTTAATCGGATAGCATACTGATATACCTCTATTTTACATGCTTTTTATATGGTTTTACTATGCTTTTCATAAGGTTTTTAATGGCTTTCTGATCTAAAAAGGTAGTTTTTATGGATTTATAGTACTTAGAGTCTAAACAGGTCAAAAGATGCATTTTGGAGCAAAACACATGATTTGGACTTCAAGACCAGCTCCAGGACGTAGCATCAACTTAAGAAGGGCCTTAAAACATTCTACTCAATGGAATTCATCAAATCCAGTTCGAGGCGATGCATACGTGAGTTAGCTTTGCAACGCAACTGGAATCACTCAATTTGACCGAGTAGATTGGGAGATATCTCTATTTCCCTGAGACATATACGAGGAGCTTTATCGGACTGCATCAGTACATCAAACGGGCAGCAGCGGCTTGGACCCTTAAACTCAATGGATTTCAATGAAACTCAACACCAAGATAGGCAGATGAGTTAGTGTTCCAATGCCGTTGGAAGTATGCAATTTGGATAGCCGTTTAGGAGATATCACGTTTGTACTGAAGACTGGTAACACGCTCGGCCGGACAGGAAGGGAATTGGCTTCGCTCGGCCTTCTCCAGGACCGATCCGGCCGCACGACCGCACCGTCCGAGCCGGGAGGCAATGGACCACGATCGACCGAGAACATCACATCACGGCCGACCCCGACGGCCGACCAAATCCCTTGCACGGTCGACCCGATCTCCGCGAACAAGAAGCCCACTTATGCAGTTTTGACAATTCTCAGCCCAATTAACCTAAACCGACTTGTGAAGACCTAGGGCACTATAAATACTCTTTTTTAGCCTCTTTAGAAGAGAGAGCCGCATAGAGAGTCACACAGAGAAGAGCTACAAGAGAGAGGCGCACTAGGGAGCTCCCCTTAGAGGGATCTTCCATTGTTTTACTTCTTTCTCATTGTTTTCCTTAGGGAGAAGATCCCTTCTTTGTATCTCGACATAGAGAAGCTTTCTAAACCCTTTTCTCTTTATATTAATATGATTTCTATCTCAGATCTATGCTTGTTTACTTGCACCATGTTTGAGTAGATTTCTAGTTAGGTTTTAGGGTTTCAAAGAGTTCATGTGTTGATTATGATTTGATGAATTAACTAGGGATATCATTAGAGTCTTTGTCTCATTTTGCACACTTAATTAATGCTAATCACTTTACCGTACATCTAGTGATTCGATCTTAGGTTGATTTGAGCCTCGAAAGTGTTGTATCATTCGCCGGACATATTCTTTGACAAGCTAGGTTTCTTAGACTGCGAAAGTTGATTTACTTAACCTAGTGAACTGTATCCGAACTTGCTCGATCTAATGCTTGATTTAATCACCTAGGGACATACCAAAAGTTTAGCGACTAGGTAGATTAACAAAGGAACCGGAGCCTCGACAGTGGAATGGTTTTACATTCGTGTTTGGTGTTCTAGACGGATCTTACATCCCATATCCCTAAATAGATATAAATCAATCATCAATCTTATCATATATGAATCTCTGCGAATTACCTATTGCCTAGCGTCTTTCCCACATTGAACTTACACCGCTTTCATATTGCTTTCTTTTAGTTTAGTTCTTTTGCATACCAAAACCCCAATTCATCCTTTTGTCCTAGCTAAGTTAGACTTGCATAGCTTGTAGTGCACTTATCTGCTCCTTGTGTTCGATAACCCGTTACTACACCTGACCTGTGCACTTGCAGAATCAGGGATAGGAATAGGTAAAACCTGATCCCGCATCACATACGTTTATTCACACATGACAAAGATGCTAAACAGTGTAAAACACAAAAAGTGAAATATATTATTTAATCTTATTCAGAACTAATCTTTCAATTTTAATTAAGATGTTGTTTTACCAAATTGTTGAGCTTCCTACAAAATAAAAATAAAATTAAACAAACCCGTGTGTAGCAAGTTGTCAGTGATGTGAATTTTCTTTAGACTACAAAATTGAAAAATATGAATACCTAAGTACTCAACTACTTCTTAAGAGAAATTTTATGAAATACACCTCTTGAGGTGCAAATTTTCAAAACTACACCTATAGTGTGGAAATTTTCAAAAATACACCTTTTTCCCAATTTTAATATATATGTTTGGTTCACTAATCCTAGATTAGGGTTTAGGGTTTAGATTTTAAGGGTTCACTGTTAGATTTTAGGGTTTAGAGTTCTTTTAATCAATGAAAAAAGTGTAGTTTTGAAAATAAACACTATAGAGGTGTATTTTTGAAAATTGGCATCCCAAGAGGTGTAGTTTTAAAATTTCCCTCCTTACTTAACGTTTTAAATGCAAAATAAACTTTGTTAGTATAAATCTGAGCATCAATTTGGAGTAGTGGAATGATTGGTGTGTTGGATAAGCTTGAAAGAAGCTTGAGCTGCAAGTTAATCTAATCCTATGTGATTATGGATTTCTAGAGTAATTAGGATTTGAATATGTTTAGGAGTTATCTAAAAATATTTAATATAGGATTAGGAGATATACTTGCCTATATAAGGAGATACCAAGTTGTGGTATAACTTATGAGTTTTAGAGTTGAGAGATTGAGAGCTTAAGTTTTTGAGAGAGTTTTCTTAAGTTAATAAAGAGAGGTGTTCTTTATATTCTTGATTCTAAAGTTCATACATTCGTTGATTTCAATAATTGGTATTAGAGCTTGGATAAAACACAAAGGGACATGGCGGGAGACGATGACAATCTTGCAGTGACCGTAGCGAAGCCAAAGGAAAACGGAGGCTCCTCGGCGATCACATGCCCAATGTGAAACGCCACAAACTACACAGTTTGGGCTCTGAAGATGAAGATGGCACTGAAGGTGCATAGAGTTTGGGAAGCCATAGAATCTGAGGAGGCTGGAACAAACGCTGATAAAAACAACATGGCTATGGCTTTATTGTGTCAATCAATCCCAGAGACACCTTGTTTTGGCTATTGGAGAAATAGACACGGCAAAGAAGGTGTGGGAAGCAATGAAAGACAGGCATGTTGGAGCAGAAAGGGTTCGAGAAGCAAGGTTGTAAACTTTGATGGAAGAGTTCGATCGTATAAAGATGAAGGATACTGACAAGATAGATGACTTTGCAGGAAGACTATCAGAGATAACTTCACAGGCTGCTGCTCTAGGAGAGAGCATCGAAGAAATAAAAATAGTCAAGAAGTTTCTCAAAAGTCTCCCTCACAAGAAGTTCATCACGATCGTGGCCTCTCTTGAACAAATACTAGATCTCAACAAAACATCCTTCTCGGAGATTATTGGTCGTTTGAAGGCATATGAGGAACGTGTGAATGGGGAAGAAGATACACAAGAAGAGCAAAACAAACTCATGTATGCAAGAGAGGAATCTCAAGACAAACAATCAAACAACAACTCTGGTGGCAGAGGAAGAGGACGATGAGGTTGTTTTGGAAGAGGAAGAGGCTGTGGTCAATTCTATGAAGAAAGAGATACATCGAACATAACTTGCTTCTGTTGTGATAAATTAGGTCACTATGCTTCAAGCTGTCCAGATCATTTGCCAGATCGTTTGCTCAAACTCAGTTGCTCAAGCTACAAGAGGCTCAAGAGAAGGAAACAGAAGTCAATGACACAGAGGTTGCTGATAAGCTCATGTTACACGAGGTGGTGTATCTGAATGAAGGAAAAGTGGTACCAAGCAAATACGAGACAAACAACGGAGAAGATAATGTTTGGTATCTTGATAATGGAGCCAGTAACCATATGACCGGAGATAAGCGATACTTCTCAAAGATAGATGAATCTATCACTGGGAAAGTAAGATTTGGAGATGATTCTCGCATCGACATCAAGGGAAAAGGTCTGATCGAGTTTATTGATGGAAACGGAGAGCCCAGAAAGATGAATGATGTTTACTTTATACCTGATTTGAAGAGTAACATCATAAGTCTTGGACAAGAAACAGAAGCAAGATGCGACGTGAGAATGAAAGGAGAGCAACTAACGATGCATGATCGTGATGGAAAGCTGCTCGTGAAGGCAGCAAGGTCTAAAAATCGTCTCTACAAGGTTAATATGGGATTGAAGGATGGTTTGTGTCTCTATACGACAACTACAAGTGTCTCTAGTAGGTGGCATGCTCGGTTAGGACATATCAATCTAGAAAAAATGAAGGGGATGATGCAAAGAGAGCTTGTCACTGGAGTTCCAAGTTTTGAGTTTGAAAAGAAGTTGTGTGGTTCATGTCTTCTTGGAAAACAAACGAGGCAAGTGTTTCCACAAGCCACCACGTATCGAGCCTCAAAGGTGCTTGAACTCATACATGGTGATCTTTGTGGTCCTATTACACCGCATACAGCAGCTGGGAACAAGTACATCTTTGTACTCATCGACGATCACTCAAGATACATGTGGAGTATACTCTTAAGAGAGAAGAGTGAAGCATTGGAGAAATTCAAAAGGTTTAAGAAGATCATGGAACAAGAATCAGGGGCAAGCATACAAGTCTTCAGAACAGAAAGTGGAGGAGAATTTGTGTCTCAAGAGTTCAATGCTTTCTGTGAAATATCACGAATTAAAAGGCATCTTACGGCTCCGTACACTCCACAACAAAACGGAGTTGTTGAGAGACGTAATCGAACTCTTCTAGAGATGACAAGAAGCATTCTGAAGCACATGTTTGTTCCAGATTACTTATGGGGAGAAGCGATTAGACACTCCACTTATCTTCTTAACAGAATAGCGACAAGAGCAGTTAAAGATAAAACTCCATATGAGATCTTTCGTGGCAAGAAAGTAGAAACCGAGCATAAGCCATCTTCGAGTGTTTTGATGCATTGGCTATGCAAAAACGGAGAAATCACACTTGAAGAAACTTGATGACCGGTCACGAGTGCTGGTACATCTAGGGACAGAGCCAGGATCTAAGGCATATCGTCTTGTAGATCCACAAACCAGAAGAATAGTGGTGAGTAGGGATGTGATTTTTGACGAGTCAAAAGGGTGGAATTGGAAGACTAGTGGTGGAGAACAGAGTCGTGGTCAAGAGTATGGTATAAACTTTGGAGATTTTGGTGTACATGAGTCTCAAGAGAATGATGAGAATCTGGAAAGAGAGAAAAAGGGTGAAGAAAGTCACGATGAAGAAGATGAAAGTAGTGAGGAAGATGAAGCTTCGTCACCAGAAATAGAGGGGTTTGATGACAATCAAGTGAATTTAAGGAGAGGTGATAGAGAGCGTACGAGGCCAAAATACTTAGATGACTATATTCTACTTGCAGTACAAGAAGGAGAGAGACTGCTACTGACCATAAACGAAGAGCCGAGAGATTTCTCTGAAGCAAAGAAGGCAAAGGAATGGGTACTAGCTTGTGAAGAGATTCGTTCGATCATAAAAAACAACACCTGGACGCTAGTGTATCTTCCTTCAGGAGCTAAAGCAATAGGTTTGAAGTGGGTTTTCAAACTTAAACGAAACTCTGACGGAAGTATCAACAAGCATAAAGCTAGACTCGTAGCTAAAGGCTATGCACAAAGATATGGGGTTGATTACGAGGAAGTCTTTGCTCCAGTGGCTCGTTTGGAAACTATACGACTTCTTATCAGTCTAGCAGCTGCAAGTGGTTGGGAGATACATCATCTAGATGTTAAAACGGCGTTCCTTCATGGAGATTTGAAGGAAACAGTCTTTGTTAAGCAACCAGAAGGATTTGAAGAGATAGGACAAGAAGAGAAAGTGTGTAAGCTTAACAAAGCCTTGTACGGTCTAAAGCAAGCCCCGAGAGCGTGGAATATCAAGCTGAATGCGATCTTGAGAGAGTTCAAATTCAGCAAGTGTTTGAAGGAGCCAACAGTCTATCGTAGAGAGTACAATGGGAATCTACTTCTTGTAGCTGTCTATGTTGATGATCTGCTTGTGACAGGAACGAGCTTAAAAGACATTGAAGAGTTCAAAGCAGAGATGGCCTCGAAGTTTGAGATGAGTGATCTTGGTAAACAAACATACTACTTGGGAATAGAAGTTTACCAACATGAGGAGGGAATAACGTTGAGACAAGAACGTTATGCTCTGAAGATTCTAGAGGAAGCACAGATGAAGAGCTGTAACACGGCTCAAATACCTATGGAACTTGGTTGCAAGCTATCGAAGGCAGAGGATGAAAAGGATATAGATGCTACCAGTTTCAGGAAGAATGTCGGATGTTTCAATATCTACTTCATACAAAGCCAGATTTATCTTTTTGTGTTGGAGTGTTAAGCAGGTACATGCAGAGACCCAAGGAATCCCATGGTGCAGCAATGAAACAATGTTTGCGATATCTTAGAGGCACCACAGCGTTTGGTCTTGTGTTCGAGAAGTCTGCAACGAAGATACCAAGGTTGATTGGGTATAGTGATAGCAGTCACAATGTCGATCCTGATGATGGAAAAAGCACAACCGGACACATCTTCTATCTTGGAGGAAGCCCAATCTCTTGGGGTTCACTAAAACAAGAGACTGTGGCATTGTCGTCTTGTGAGGCAGAGTTCATGGCTGGAACGGAAGCTGCCAAACAAGCAATCTGGCTTCAAGATTTGATTGGTGAAGTCACGGGAATGTTGAGCGAGATGGTAGTTATAAGGATTGACAACCAGTCAGCCATTGCTCTTACCAAGAACCCGGTTTTCCACGGTCGAAGCAAGCACATCCACACAAGGTATCACTTTATCAGAGAATGTGTGGAGAATGGCTTAGTTGAAGTAGAACATGTTCCAGGAGATAGACAGAAGGCCGACATTCTTATGAAGGTATTTGGAAGGGTCAAGTTTCACGAGATGAGAGAGCTCATAGGAGTTAGAGAAGTGACAAGAAATGATTTCAAGCTTAAGGGGAGAATGTTGGATAAGCTTGAAAGAAGCTTGAGCTGCAAGTTAATCTAATTCTATGTGATTATGGATTCCTAGAGTAATTAGGATTTGAATATGTTTAGGAGTTATCTAAATATATTTAATATAGGATTAGAAGATATACTTGCTTATATAAGGAGATACAAAGTTGTGGTATAACTTATGGGTTTTAGAGTTGAGAGATTGAGAGCTTAAGTTTTTGAGAGAGTTTTCTTAAGTTAATAAAGAGAGGTGTTCTTTATATTCTTGATTCTAAAGTTCATACATTCGTTGATTTCAATATGGTGATCTATCAAGTAAGTGAATTGTGATATTGTATGAATGAGAAACAACTAAAAAAAATATGATAATTGCAGAGACAATAAACAAATATTTAAAACTTCTCAACGCACCACAGTCGGAAGCTCACATGCAAGACGTCGAAATCAATTGGTAGGAGCAGAAGGGGCATTACAATAACATAAGTAGGAGCAGAAGGGGCATTACAATTACATAAGAGTCAATTGCTAAAATATGATTTGAGTGTTGTATTTTTTATCTAACAAAGAAGAACAACAAAACTTAGCTACAAGATTAATCACATTGACAATTGTACTCTTTCGTATAAACTGAAACCCACGTAGCAAATAAATCATGGTGGCAAATGAATTGTGATTATATTTGTAACTTTTACACATACAAAAATTTTGGTTTATGTAAAAATTATGATATCGCATAGGTAATTCCATCATTAAGGAATAAATATATATGTTATTTCTTTATAACAAGAGTTCACAACTTATCTTCATTGATAAAGAAAAGAGTATAAAACTAAAAGCTGATGATACATTCTGTGTAACTTTCATTTTTTTAAATCAACATAAAATCATTGATTAATTAACTGAACATGCCAAAATTTTATTTATCTGAGACTCAACATCATTTATATAGTTCTACTAAAATTATGTATGATGTTAGAACTGCAATCTAAAAGTTATAAAAGAGAGAAAATGAATCAGTTGTTATAAGTGGTAAAAACAAAAAACTCGAAAAACTAGAAAAACAAGTTTTACAAATATAAAAAAAGAAAAAAGATAAATGAAAGAAATAATAACATCATCTGCCCATACCACAGACTTTAACCTAGTATATAATAAAATCTCTATAAAGTAATAATATTAGAATCATAATAATTTATTAGTTTAATGTGATTATTAATTTATCAAAAGATAATTAGATTAAAATCTTAATTCGAGATTCAAAAATTCTATTCATTTGAGGTATTACTTTATCGAATATTGTTTCATAGAGGTCTTTATAAAGGTTCTACGGTCGATTTTTTTTAAACATGGAAATTGTTTGATAATTGTTGGAGAGTCATCTTAAAGTTTTACTATTTTTTTTTAATCTCTTATACTTCCTCTGTCTCACTATATAAACTGTTTAAGGTAAAACACAAAAACTAAGACAATTAATTTTTAAAAGTAAAGTATTACTTAATATATAAATAAAATATAACTCAACCAATCATGGAAAAAGACCACAAAATATAATTAGATACACAACATTTAATAAAGTAAAAAGTGCATTGGTTTTAGAAAACAACTTATAATTTGGGACAATTTTTTTTCTCAAAACAGCTTATAATATGGAACATAAAGAGTATTAAGTATCGTATTTCTATTTTCTCGTACTAGTACTCACTGACGCCAGATAATATATAAATGCTCTTGTTTAATTTGTTTTCGTTGAACTATGATATGCCCAAAGTTTTAAACTTCTTAATGCATAATCTTTTTTGTTAAAGACTTCATAGTGCATACTCTAGTGGATGTTGTGTCGGAAGTTGAAATGAAATGATAGCTCGAGAGATTCTTCAAAGAAAAATAAAAAATGATTAGCTCGAATTCATTTTAAAATCAATTTCAGTGCTCCCACTGAAAATCTAGTAACTTGTGTATTTCCGGAAACGACAATAACTCAATTTAGTGAAGAATCGATCTTATCCACTACGAAGCCAAAGAAAACAACGAGTAGTCGACGTGCGTTTTCCACATCTTCAAACAACGTGTCGTGTCGTTGCCATGCAATGTTGCCACACTACCACATGATCTTCGTGTCTTCTTTCTTTGTCTCATCACCGTTCGGCCTTAAATCCAATTTTAAAAAATTTAGTCGTACTTATATAACACAGATCAAAGTGAATGATCCACGAGAGCCAATATCTATCATTTAAGTGTATTGTGTTTTGATCATAGACAATGGAATTGATCAACGACTTCCTCAATCTAACTGCACCTTTCTTCAGCTTCTTTGGTCTATGCTTCTTCTTGCCCCCTTTTTATTTCTTCAAGTTCTTGCAGTCTATCTTCTCAACCATTTTCTCGGAAAATCTTTATGGGAAAGTGGTTCTCATCACTGGTGCTTCCTCCGGCATCGGCGAGGTTTGACTATAATTTATAATTCACTTTATTTTAAAATTGTATACCTAAGAAAGTAGTATATATATGTAGGTTTAATAAATATCACTTGCACTCATTTGAGTCTATATATTATTATTAGCACTTGGCATATGAGTACGCAAGTAGAGGTGCATGCTTGGCCCTGACCGCCAGAAGGAAGGGACGTCTAGAGGAAGTGGCAGAGATTGCTCGTGAAGTTGGATCTCCCAATGTCATCACCGTTCATGCTGATGTCTCAAAACCTGATGATTGTAGACGAATCGTGGATGAGACTATCTCCCATTTTGCTAGATGTTAGTCACCAGAAACCTTTCCTCCGCTTTTACCATTTGAAACTTGGTTATAAAACATTTATTTGGTCTTGCAGTGGATCATCTTGTAAATAATGCCGGGATAACACAGATTTCCATGTTCGAGGACGTTCAAGATATAACCAGGAACAAAGCCGTTTTGGTAATGATATAATTATTGCGATTTGTAAGATCAACAAAGTCTTTAACTAATTCATGATCATTTTTTCTACATGTGTACTACTCTCAGTGGTTCAGGGAGAATATATATATTTTTTAAATGAAGAATTTTTGTTTCTGAACTCTATAGTTTATTCAAGAACTGAAAAGAATAAAAATATATTTGTGATTTATTAGGATACCAACTTTTGGGGATCGGTTTATACAACTCGTGCCGCCCTTCCATACCTTCGACAAAGCAATGGTAAGATTGTAGCTATGTCTTCCTCTGCGGCTTGGCTAACGGCTCCAAGGATGAGCTTTTACAATGTAAGTAAAGAAATAATAATACACATTTATTTTTCTTAGTTAAGTACCTTCTTAGGAACGACAATTGTAACTAATCGTTACTACATAATATGTTAAATCAGGCAAGCAAAGCGGCTTTGTTGAACTTCTTTGAGACGCTGAGGATTGAGCTTGGTGGAGATGTACACATTACAATCGTTACACCTGGTTATATCGAATCAGAACTCACACAAGGCAAGCACTTCTCTGGTGAAGGCGAGTTAATAGTAGACCAAGACATGAGAGATGTAAGTTATATAAATCTCAACTCCTTAAACAAGTTAGTTAATTGTTGGAACTTATGTGTTTGCATTTTTTATAGTATGCTTGCTTTTTTTGTGGAATTAGGTTCAAATAGGAGCATTTCCGGTAGCATCTACATCAGGGTGTGCCAAGGAGATAGTGAACGGTGTGTGCCGGAAACAGAGATATGTGACAGTGCCATCGTGGTTTAAGGTGACATACTTTTGGAAAGTGTTCTGTCCGGAGGTGATTGAGTGGGCCTGCCGGTTCTTGTTCTTGACCGGACGTGGTACGTCCGGGGAATATGCACTCAACAAGAAGATTATGGACATTCCTGGTGTACGTAGTGCTCTTTACCCTGAATCTATCAGAACTCCGGAAATCAAGTCGGAGTAGAGTGAAGGTTTGATGCATAATAAGTAGATCGAAGACGTGTGTTTGTGCAATGATGATATAATAAGATAAGTAATGTAAGAAGTATGTCACATGCTACAGTAAGCCAGTGGAGACTTGTTTTGTGCATGTACTTTTGACTATGTAAATGTTTGTTTGTTTCTGTAAAAATAAAAGTGAAATCTTATAATAACAACAAACAAGTCTAAAAACTGAATAGAACAGAGCTAAACCAAATTTCTATTAACCAAATTAATTTTAAATGCATGGTAAAAAAACAAAGTTGTAAAGAAGTGTAATTTGATAACACAGTTTTCGTAAATTGAAAAAAATCGAAACCCAAAAATACTAAAGTAGTTTACAAATTTCGATTGAGGTACATTTTTCATAATTTTGCAAACGTGTAACGATACAACTGGTTAGTTCTTAATAGGCTTAGAGGTTAAAAGCTCAGGACAGAGAGCACTAAGCCAGAAGAGGACACGAATCCATGATGGCTCTGCCACAAAGGTTTTGCCCCTGCAGATTCCATTAACAACCGCTTTGGCACATTCCGCTGCTGACTCGATGGCTACAACTTGTGACCACTCTTGTTTCTGCAAAGAAACCAAGTCATAAAAACCAGACAGACACATATGAAATATATATGATGATGGTAGTACAATACCTCAGCTAAAATATCCGGGTCGGTGGTATTTCCGTTTTCGATTAGACCAGGAAACACAATTGTCACACCAATTTCTGGACCAAGCTCGATTCTAAGAGTCTGGTAGAAGTTTATCATAGCTGCTTTGCTTGCCTAAATCAAATGTTACACTTAGCGTAGAAAAAAATGGTTTAACGTTAAACAAAATTGAGGGAACAAGAATTTACTGCGTATATGCTCATTCTTGGCACTCCTGACCAGCCAGCAGGCGATGCCACAGCAACTATCTTTCCTTTGGTTTTCTTGAGATGTGGTATAGCGTAATGTGTTGCATAGACCGGTCCCAAAAAGTTAGTGTTCTGAAAAATGTTAGAACTCTCGAGTGTGAAAGTTTATTCAAACTAGGTATCGAATCCCCCCGCAAGTTTGTGATAAATATTATGGCTTTATGTTAATTCCACACTATCTTTCTAAAATTTAGCATACTTTATATGCTTTTGACTCGACATTAAAATCTGTAAACATGGTGAAAAATCGCATTTGCACTCGAAATATGGTATAAAATAATATGTATAACTTTTTACATATCTGATTTGCTGCGTTTGTGTTGATGATCATTGAATATTTTCTATTATGTTAGTTTTGTAAATATAAACTGTATTTTTGAAACATATATATCCCAATCCTTAAGATTTTCATGTTTTTCGTTGCAATGAAATTTAGTAATTTACATATAATAACTCGAATTCAATTTGTTTTTTTAATATACTATAACTCTAATTTCTCATTAGTTTTCTACTATACTAATTTAATTATATTCTACATTTTTATATTTCGTAAATACATTATAAATTATAAAGTAGGATAATTCTTTTATACAATTTTTAGAATAAAAAGCTAAAAATACATATACTAAAATCAGTTTGTTAAGTTTTGAGCTACACTTTATAAGTAGAGAAGTTTTTTAGTTGCTCTTATACAAAGTTCAAGTCATGATTACATTTAATATCCTAAACTTCCTACAAAATTCAATCATGATTACATCTAAAAGAAAATATCGACAAAGAAGATAATTCACATTGACCACTAAAGTGCCACTAATCGGTTCATATAGTACAATAATTTACCATAATGGGAAGAACATCCGAAATTTGAGAGTAGTCTTCGAAAATTTTGGCTTCCACAATTCCCGCATTGTTAACTAGGTGATCCACTGCCACCACAGTTTGATACAATTTTTTTTTGTTAATCTTTATGTTCTCTAACAAAGAAAGCAATATTAATTAGTTTAAATTCGAATCGCGTAAATATATAACTCACGTCTTCCAAAACGAGAAATGGTTTCTTGTACGAAATGTTTACAGTCTTCAATGACTGAGACATCACCACGTATCACGGCAACGTCCGGTGATCCAAGCTTCCGGCACTGGTCAGCCACTAGCCGGAGACGATCCTCTCTCCGAGCAACTAATGTTAAGTATGCTCCTCTACGCGCATACTCATACGCGAGGTGCTTCACCATTTAATAAAACTCAACATGTTTTGGTTAATTTCACCATTTTTGTAGTTTTCTAAATAATATATTTTCTAAAATTTTCACACATAAAACATGTAGTAATAGTTAATCATAAATGTTTTACACTAAACAACTCTATATCAACAGTAATTCATGAAATTTTAAGTTTTTCAACCAAAATTTCTTAAAGTTTTGTAATTTATCATCATTAATTAACAAAAAAACCATATAAAATCTATTATTATTTTTTATCTCTATGAAAACAGCATTTGCTAAGTTCATTGGGTTTAAACTTCAAACTCAAAACAAAATTAGCATTTTAACCATTAGCCAAAATCTTATTAAACAAAGGTTTGTATTGATTACACGGATTATAAACTTTGTATGTACGGGGAAGAGCTAACTAACCTCACCGATTCCCGAGGAAGATCCGGTGATGATGACGACTTTTCCGGTGACTTTTTCCGACTCTTTGCATCTTCTTACAAAGCCAAGAAGCTTGAAGAGTATTGAAAATGGCATGAACACTAAAAGAAATGAAACCGTGACAATAGGAAGAATGAAATTAAGGATCTTGTTTATCACAGCCATATCCTTTGACCTTGTGCATCTGAGCATCTCCTTCACCATAGGCTAGTTATAATTTATAAACTCTTCTGTTTAAATGTCACTGTCCTAGAATTAGTAGTCAAGTATTCTTAAGCGGAGAAAACTAAAAAAGAATCTTCAATTCATAATTTGGTATCTTTTACAATGTTCAATATTTGTCCTCATCCAACTTATGCTTGTCAAACATTTTACAAGCTCTCTCAAACTTGCTGTTAATTACAGAGATGCCACTGACAAAATGACAACTTTTAAACCAAGCCAAAAAAATTGGAATGATTGAGAAAAAAAGGAGTGATTATTCATTCAGTCTACGAAGTTGAAAATATAGATCTTGTTAATAGCTTAGATTCGAGCAGATAGTCGACATGCCAATGCCGAATCAAGTAACTAAATGTACAAAAGACAACATGAAGAAGAAACAACAGAGTTTCTAAAGTCTAATCTCCAAAACAATCTTCAACAAGGAACTAACACTACTAAGAGCAGAGCATTTCTCACAGCACCTTTAAAGCCAAAATGTTCTTCAGTGCTTACAACTCTAGCTAAGGCTTGGATATGTCTTCGATTACACCTTTACCATCCTCTGCATCAAAGTAGAAGAAGTTCTTCAACGGCTCTCCTTTCCCTGATATCGCTTTTATCACCTCCTGTATGAGCAAGAAGACTTTCTTTTCACTCACATAGCTCAGTGGTAACTATATAAACCAACCAAGTCCCCGAGAAGTTCAAATGTTCAAAAGACGAGAGAGAGATAGAGAACCTGTCCAAGAATCCCTCCAATGATGGCACAAGCCGGTGGGAATTCTGTGTTATCAGAGACGAGTCTCTCCAAGAGGCTATCCGGTATATGATTCTCGTTAACCGACTGTTGCAAACATTCCAATTCAAAGATGAGTAACAAAGCCTCTTCTTATTATAGAGGATGCAGATAAGGGTTGAAGAATTACTTACATTTCCCTCACAGAGTTGCTTTTTGAGTTTCAAGACTCCTGGGAGATCAGACAGCGAACAGTCTCCGGGTTTACGCCCTTCTGTTTCCTCAAATAGTTCTATCACTGCAAAGATAATCACAAAAATCAGATTAGTTACGTAGGAAGTAGTAACCAAAGCTTTCAAATCGTTTAGCTGTTTCAAAGTAAGCCAAACCTCTCATTGCAAAGTAGAGCTTCGCTGTTCTCCTTGGAATCAGTTTCCATGGTACAGAAACTGCCTCCTGCAAGGGAAAATCCGGTAACAACGTTAGCTTTTTCATTACTTTACAACAGTATGTTCAGGTAAAAGCATTTGTACCTCAAAGCTTGTATATGTTAGCTCGCATTCCACTGTTTCATCAAGCTTTTTCTGTGAAAAGTAAAAAGAAATGCATGAGAAATATTTAACAGTGTGTGCGCAAATGGAAAGAGTTAAAACAGAGATAAGAGATTAGTAGTACCTTTGCGTACTTATAATCCTGCAGGTCGACAAAGATTTCACCACACGAGCTTCTACAGTCAACGGTATAGAACGCCACACGTTTAGTTAGCTTCCTACATTTCTCATTCACTGCTTTCTGCATAACAACAAAGCACCTTCTTATAAGGGATGCACAGAGAAACCAACTAACAGAAGGAAGTTAATCAGTACCTTAGTAGCACGAGAACTGTACCCGACAACCACAACATCAAACTTGTTGAAAAAATCAATGTCAAGTGTTGACAGATCACCTGAGAATTGAAGGACAAGGACTCAAAACGTTATTACATTTGTTCTCTCAGAGAGTAGTCAAGAAACGAAGAGAGGGCTGAGAGACACCTTTGGCTACTGAAACATGGACCATAGGGTTAAATTCCTTGAGTGAATCACAACAAATCTCGGCTACGGTTTTGCCTATATGAGCATTTCCATTAGGACGAATCAAGAAGTTTGCGTTCAAGGCTTCCGTAGTCACCAACCGATTATCCAACAGAGTCACACTTCCAACTCCTGCCAACACAATGTTCTTGCAAAACTGTACACCAGGAAAAACCAAGACTGTAAGATGCTGAAGAATCACTAAAATCTGACGGTGAAGAAGAGTAATTGTAAGGTAACAGCTACCTCTGCAACAGTCCCTTTGATTCCAGATACCAATACATGAGATTTACTCAATCTGCAAGCAAAAACAATAACCTCACATTGCATCAAATGGAATTAAATTCTCACAGTAACTGCTATTTCATAACACTGATACAATATGCTCCACAAACTCATCTTTACTTCCACTGATACCCAATTGTTACAAAAAGGTTCAAAATTTGATACTAATTTAAGTTCTTACTGAATACCCAACACCCCAAAATAAGAACCCCTAATCAAATTTGGACTGCTAAACTTCTTAACTTAAAATCCCCATGAAAAATAAAAGGATAAAGCTTGAATCTTTTCTCACAAAGAGATTGAAAACAAAGAAACAGTTTACAAGTACTCAAAACCAATTAAGCGACTCATAAGCAAAATCAGTTACAGTCTCCGATGTTGGCAGCCATAAGAAGTTGAATTCAAGGTAAAGTTACCTTCTTTGAGCACCAGCGCCCCAAACCCTAATCTGCCGGTCGTACAGAGCAGTTTCCTGCTCGGTGAGCTCTTCACCGTCCATTCCCAAAATTCAAGCTTTGTGAAAACCCTAGAGAACTAGAAGCGATTTCAGAGCTAAGAGATGACCAAACCCGCCATCTAGGAGAGAGATGTGTGAGGTTTTGTTTAACCGGACCCTTTTCGGAAAAATTGGAAAAAAATTCTGATATGCCATAAATCAGTGAACCGGTTGCCAAAATGCCATAACTTAGAAATTAATTTCTTTTCCATTTTCTTTTAAATCAAAAGACAAGTAAAAGACATTAAAACCGGATGAAAGTTAAAGTATTTACGAATCCAACCAGGGTATTACCCGAAAACCATAAACCCGACCCAGTTTAATCGGATTTTAACCCCAAATCCCTAAATTAACTGTATCGCCGTTTTGCAAGTAAAAAATTTAAATCACAATTTTCTTCGAAATCACACAATTCGAAATCGACTGAAGAATCTCGTAACGGGAAGGAGAAGAGCAAGTGAAGAACTATCGTGAATCTTGCAATGGTGTTGTTGAGAAGCAACAAAGTGACGATGGAACCGGCGCCGAAGTCGACAGAAGCAGCGGAACCAACGAACCCGGAGGCGGAACCGTCGACCTCGACAGAAGGATCTGTTCCTTTCGTTCCGGAACCGATGAAGTCAACAGAACCAGTGACGGAACCGCGCCGAAGTCGACAGAAGCGGCGGAACCAACGAACCCGGCGGCGGAACCGTCGATCTCGACAGAAGGATCTGTTCCTTTCGTTCCGGAACCGACGAAGTCGACAGAACCGGCGACGGAACCGTCGAACTCGACAGAAGAGGCGGTTCCGACAAAAGAACGTCGAATCCGACAAAAGCGGGGGAAGTGCCAAATCCTTCGCAAACAGCGGAACCGACCGACGAATCTCCGCCGACAGAGGAGACGGATGGTGACAGGAGAGGCGGAAACCGGAGAAGCAATGCCCAAAGAAAAAGAAGCCCAAACTGAGGAGAAGATGAGCTCAGAAGAAGATGAATCGGAAAAAGAAGAAGAAGCACGAAGAAGAGAAAGATGAAGAGGACGAGGAATTGCGTGGTGACGAAGAGAACAAGGTATTATCTTGTTTATTATGATTAATTGGATTAAGAGTTTGATAATGGAGACTGATTGATTATGTAGTATCTATGGGTTTTGATGTTTGACTAAGTTCAACTAAGTTCAACTATGTAGTATCTATGGGATTTGATGTTCGACTAAGTTCAACTAAGTTCAACTATGTAGTATCTTTGTGATTAATGTTATTGCGAAGTAAAATCACATTGGTTTGTTTTAAATTTTTTTGAACCAGCAGGATGAGGAGATGAGGAGTATAATGATGACAATGATGGCGAGGAAAATCGACAATCTCCACAACAGCAGGAAGAAATTCCTCAACCGGATCAAACCCCACCGGAAGAACCACTTCAACCGGAACAAACAGAAGACGCTGAAGCAATGCCTTCAGATGCACATGTCTCTTCTTTTGCAGCGGTCATGGTAATGATTATTTTGAGAATTCAATTCCAATGCAAGTTCGAGTAAGTTCGAGTAGGTTCGGGTAAAAGTATAATTAGTAACACTACATTGTTTGACTTGGCGGCAGGTTGATGATGAATATATACCACTGCCACCAGAGAAGTTTTACTTTCGTCCAGATCAGTATAGAAAGAGTTGTAGGATATCATCGAGGTGTTATGTGAATGATACGGTCAAGGACATCAAGAAATTCCTCAGGCGTTGGAATGGTTTTCTAGTCATCCTCAGTTTAAGCATATCTTTCATATGCCTCTGGTGGAAAACCGTAAATCAAAAGGATTTTGGATGCTTCTTCTGCACCTAGCTTGTACTGATAGTGACAGAGAATTATGGTTTGTGGTTAATGGAGTAGGTACTCCATTAAGGAGCATGCGCTGCTGAGTGGATTGGATTGTCATGACTACCCTAGCAACTATGGGGAGCTGAAGGACAAGGATGCTGGCGATTTCAAGTTTGTTGAAAAGTGGTTCAAGAGAAGGACCAATATTACCATAGCAGATGTGAAGAAGAAGCTACCGAAAGTGAAGAGCGCTGTTAACAAGAAGAAGATGGCTGCGCTATATTTCTTAACCAATGTCTTGAAAGCGAAGTCCAAATATAAAGGAAACATAGAGCCATTCTTTCTCAAAGTCGTGGATGATTTGGACTTGTGCGAAAAATTCCCTTGGGGCCGTTTGACCTTTGATGATTTGGTAGATGAAGTTAAGAAAGTAGCGAAGAAGTTCAAGGGAGGCGTCGTCAACGAGAAGGATTCATGGACCTTTTCTGGATACATTCTTCCTATTGAGGTAATTCTTTTAATTATTTTCCTTAAATTTACGTGGATAGGGTCGTGATATTGTAGTACTCTCTATGTACAGGCTTTTGCGTATGAGTGCATTCCTGCGCTTGCTCGAACCTTTCGAGAACCTGTTCATGCAGAGAGCGACTGTCCAAGGTTGTGCAAGCACAATTTCAAAGCGACTTACATGAAAGGTTATCCACTGTCCGAGATAAACGAAGCAATTGGGAGCAATAGGGTGAGTATTTGTCATCATATAGTGTACTTTATTTTATCTTAATTGAGCAAGCTTATCATGAGTGTATTTAATGTGTTCATAATCGCAGGATATCATAAGCATCTTGGAACCAACCTCAGAGGAGGAAACCCTTATGGAGCGCATCATAGACCCTGGTTGTGATGATGGGATTGGCTACGTGGATCATTTAGTCGACCTTTGGAGAAACCATCTAATCGTCCAAAAGAAGAAGATATGGTGGGAGTCTCTGTACAAGATTGACTTGGCCGGCAGAGGTATCACCGAGTTTGCAAATGAAGTACCAATGCAGGCACCTGACAACGGTGGATCAGTTCAGGGAATGATGGAAACGATGAAAGCTTTGATCGAGGAAGCAACAAAGAAGTTGGAGGATAAGATGGATGATGTTACCTCAGAGATTAAGGCAATGGTTGGGGACTTAGATGAGAGACTTGATATGGTTGAATGTTATGTCAATGAGCAACGAACCAAGAAGGCTCATGATAGAAGCGGAGCAAGTAGTTTTCCTCTAGGTTCTGCTTTTCACTCCGGCCGAGAAGGTGGTAGCAGGGGATATAAGTGAAGAAGAGGAGGAGGCGGAGGAGGAGGCGAGGAGGAGGAGGCGGAGGAGGAGGCGGAGGAGGAGGAGGAGGAGGAGCAAGTAGTAGAACCGCCAAAGAAGAGAAGAAAAGAAACTCCAGCAGAGAAAGAGAAGAGGACAATCAGACCTTCAGCTATTCTCTCATCTCCATATGTGGCTGGTCAGGCAAATAGAAAAAGAAAAGGCAAGACAAGTGGAAAAGGGAAAGGAGGTGCAAAGAGGCCGTACAACACACGTAGGAAACAAGGCTGACGATGGCTTTGTGTTTAGGAAGTTATGTATTGTGTACCATCTCTATGTTTTATGACTTTGGATTGTGTACTATTTCTGTTTTTGAGTTTGGTACAACTGTGTTTGCATAGGTTCGACTGTGTTTTTGGATGGTTCAAGTGTGTTTGCATAGGTACAACTACGTGTGATGGTAAAGATGATATAAGTTTTAACTTGACTTCTTGTTTGACTTGTAATGATTTGTTTTTTGTTGACATGAGTTGCAAAGACATAATGAAAGGACATAATTAGAAAACACATAGTTAAAACATAACTAAAAGACATAATTAAAACATAATTAAAAGACATAGTTTGCAAACAAAGTTTACACAAATCTTAAACACAACTTAAGAAGACCTCTTAAGTAGTTTGAAAAACAGAGGTCTTCATCCGCAGCAACTAAATTGAAAAGAAGGTTGTTGTTACTTGAACCAAACTAAGAACCAAGCAAGGAGAAGTAAAACTGCAGCAATCGCAAACGTGCTCTCCACAGCTTTGTACTTCTTGTTGAAATCACCAATCACCAACTCCAACCTTGTAATCTCCGCTTTGCTCTGTTCATGTTCTTCCTTCAGGTCAGAAATACGTTTCTCCGCAATACGCATGTCCATGATGATGAATGTTAGCTCGCCGTCCTTCAGCTCCGAGATTAACTCCTCCATTCCGGCACGGTGGTGAGTTTGAAGACTCTCAATTTCCCCAGAAACCCGCTTGATTCAGAGTGAAGTATTTCTAACTCCTCTTCAATCACACGATCCCACCACTTCCGAATATGATAACCGGGTTTCTACAATCAAAAATAACAAAGTTCACCATGAATCTAACATTACCCTAAACCCTAGAAAGAACTACATTAAAAGAACCCAAAACAAAAAGAATTTGAGACATCAACTAACCGCTCGGAATTCGCAGGAGAAGTATAGTTTTCCAGGGTCTTGTTCGGTGCGAGACGTTTCCCTAATGACCCTTCCACCGCAGTAACAGTAGCTCGGCATACCGTACTCACCATCTCTGATGGTATTTTCGTCGAGTGAGTATGAAGATGAAGACGAGGTTGCAACCCAACTGTGAGGTCCCATCTCAGAAAATGAGAGAGAGAGAGAGGAATCGAAGAGAGGAATTGAAGAGACAAAGGGAAAACCTAAGCGAGAGAGAGAGAGGAGAGAGAGTGAGATCGAGAATAAGAACCCTAGAAATCAATTTGGGGAAACTCCTTTGTTTTTTCCTTTTTCTCCGTTCTTTTAAAGTATTACCAAATAATGAAAATTGCGGCGGAAATATAAAATAAAACAATTTAAAAAAATAATAAGATTCCCGCTTACTTTTCCCGCCGGCGGAAAAGTTAAAAATTTGCAAAATTCGGGGAAAAATGGTCATAGTTGTACTCATGCCATTCGTCGAACCAAAATTAGACATAGTTGAACATCTGCGAGTTTTGGGTTTTTGTAGTAGAACCACATTTCAATGTGTAATGGTCAAGTTGAACCAATGATAGTTCATCTTATTTTATCATTACAAACATTATCATGTCAAAATTTTAGACAAAACTCGTTTTCTTCTTAATTTGAATCACATCATTGACACATTACCTACATATTCCATATATTGTATAGGGTGCTTGATGACTAACATGCTTATCCAGTAGGATAATTTTTTTTTTATCAATTTTTGTTCTTTCTATCAAATAAGTAGACATAAATATGTTTTTTTCTTAATTAACTCCTCTATATTGCATATCATAAATATATCACTAAACATTTGCCGTTCGTATATAATTCGAGCCGCATAGTCGAACCTATGGGAGCTAGTTGTACCAAATGTACTTGAAACCAAAACACGTCCACATTCACAGACGCAATGAACATTCTCTATACATGCGGGAACCTGGCAGAACCATATCAGAACCTAGTTCTGAACAAGTCGTTTATCAGCTAATTCCATAACCTTTACATAATTCAGTAATTCCATAACCTTTACCATATTAGAATACAAACCCACATTATTTACATACTTGAACCTACTTGAACCTTGTAGAACCTTGTTCCGAAATTTTGATAATAAAAACACTGAATATTAGTACATACTTGAACCTGTTAGAACCCATCAGTACAACTTCAAGTAACACACTGCAGACAACATGACTGCAACATTGTTCACACAAACTTCATACAACATAATTAAAAACAAATTCAAGCGGTTAAAGCAAGCCAATTCAAATCCAAACAACATAAATACCAAATCCAAACAACAGAATTGCAATTGTTACTCGTTTGGAGGTTTAAAAAAAAACACCCAAATCCTGATGAGGCTTACACTTGTTACTCGTTTTCTTCTTCTTCTTTTTACGACTTTCTCCTTCTGATGGATGTCGTTCTTCTTGGTTTCTTCCTCTTTTTGCTGTGTAATCAGGAGGATAAGCGAACAATTTCAGAACATCCTCCGGGATTGCCCAAGTTGAGATATGGGGCACTGTATAGATCGTTTTCACATATGCTCGTGCCCATGTCTCAACCAAATAGTATCTGGAGCACAAATCATATACAGAAAGAGTCGACATTCTTCCATCCTTCTTTATCTTTGCCATGAGTGCGGCAATTGCATGGACACACGGGTACTTGTCAATGTCAAACATTCTACACACGCAAGTTTTGCTCGCCAAATCCACAAGACATACCACACCATCTGAACCAAATACGTCGAACAGAAATTCCTGACCATTTACCTCCCTGACCGTTAAACGCTTAGCTATTGGACATCTTTCGTGAAGAACATTCTCCACAAAAGGCACAACGACCTTTGTACTTGGCATTGAAGCGCATTCGTTCCTATACTTGTTGGACCAAAAAGCGAATTTCTCTATTATCTTATCAAGCATTGGTAAGAGAGACAACTTTCTGTCTTTCCTAAACACACTATTCATAGATTCGCAAGAATTGCTGGTGTCTAAGTTATACTTTTCTCCTTCAAAAATGCACCTTGCCCACCTTTCCACATCTATCTTGTCAACCAAAAACTTAGCACACGCAGGATACAGCTTCCTGAACTCATCAAACTCCTTTTTAAACTCAGACCCAGTATAAGCATGAGCGCATTTGATGAACTTATCAACAACATCGTCTTTCTTAACACCTTGCTGAGCATGCCCTTTTACGTTCTGAGCCAGATGCCAAATACAGTGTACATGGCGAGCCAATGGATAGACCTTCGAGACTCCATATATGATGCTTTTATGTCTGTCACTAACAAAAACGAGTTCAGGATCATCTGGTACAACAGCTTTCAGGTTTTCCAGGAACCATGGCCAACTACTATGATTTTCGCTATCAATTATCCCAAAGGCAATAGGGTAATGGTGATGATTAGGATCTTGAGCAGTGGCAAACACAAGCTGTCCACCATATACAGTCTTCAGAAACGTTGCATCCACAACTATCACTTTTCTCATCCATTGAAACCCTTCAATGCTCGCTCCCAAAGCAACAAACAGATACTCAAACCTGTGCAAAGCATCTAGTTGCACATTCGTTTTGCTTCCAGGATTTTCCTGCTCCAGCATGTACAGATAAGAAAATAACATCTTGTAGCCTTCTTCAGGAGTGCCTCGAACATCACTAACGTGTAGTTTTTTTCCTCTCAAGCCGTTGAGTATGACACATTCACACCAAGTCTACGGTGAACAACATCGACAATTGTTTTTGGAACTGGTGTGTCAAACTGACCTGGATAGTCTTCATGCAAAACCGATGCCACTAATCGTGGGTTGCCTCTCCTTCGAGAGCTGTTACTACTTTCAACAGCCCGTGAGCAGTTGTGCTTGTTCCAGTATTTTCGGACACTGAAAAAATCTGATCCACCTTTCCTCGCAGCATATATATACCAATTACAGCCTCCGCTCTTCTGAGTGCACCTTAGGATAAGTCGGCCAGTGTCAGACTTGTAAGTGCGGACACCAAAACAATGCTTGTGTGAAGCTCTGTCAACCAAATCTTGCAATGCCTCCTTTGATGGAAATTCTTGTTTTATTTCAAGACCAATACCATCTTCCCATTCTTCAGCCAACTTAATTTCTTCTACAGGACGTGAAAGCTCAAAATCCTCATCAAAGAAGTTTAACCCATCTTCCTTACTATCTGGTTCTGGACGCTTCTCGTTGCCATCCTCTTCTTTACCATCAGACTCAACCTCTTCGATATGTGGCTCTGTGGCTCTGGCTCCTCAACATGTGGCTCTCTGAATATGGTAACGACACCATCACCTCTGTCATTTGGAACCGACTCCTCCTCGTAATTCAAACCAAATGAACTTTCTGCATCCGTTCTAGACAGGTGGTCGCTCCTATGATTTGCTCTGTTCGTGTTCTTGGTTACCTCCACATGCAAAATCCTCCTAAATCCCAGATTATCAATTGTCGTTAGATAAGCAAATAGGTCTTCATCATCAAAAATGTACATCTCTCTCGCAGGATTATTTGACATTGGAATGTAACTCAATTTCAGCAGCGGCTTAGCTCCATCTCTTGCAATCTTCCTGCATATCTTATCCACAACCGCCGAGTACGTAATCTCCTCCAAAGATGAGATCTTGAATGTTATAGCGCAAGTGGGATTCTTTGAAACCCATTTCAGTTCCTCTTCTGCATAATGACCTCCGTGGTCGAAAAATATGTTTGTGATGATCATGCTCATTGTTACCCTGCAAATATAATGAAAATAATCAATTCCCAATTACAAAACATCTCACAGTTGTACTACGTGTACCAGTTGAACTTTTACTACCATTACTTTTTAAAATGCAGTTGTACCTATATGAACCAGTTGAACCACTTAATCAACTAAGTCCCATTTGTACCACTCGTACCAGTTGTACCATCTCTGCAGGTTCCGATCTAGTTCAAATACAGTTCACTCGCTGCGATTCACAAGCTACATTACTCAAAAAGCTTAATCTACCGCCTATTCTATCAATGCATGTATACCATTGCAATGCCTATACCAATGAACCACCCAATGAACCAATTTACGGATCCATGCACCAAACAAATTAGAAACTCACTTTCAATGGACTTGAAGCTTCAGCAATGGTCAAACAAACGAAAGGGAACATCCACTGTCTACGGAGGTGAAAGAGGAGGCGGAATAGGTATAGATGAGCTCAGGTCGAAGAAGATTTCGAGTTCAGTGAAGATTTTGAGTGAGAGAAGCGAGCTGAGCTCGAGAATTCCGACCACGATTTCCGATTTCCGAAATCCAATCAATTCGATTGTTTTATTTTTTTTCTTTTTTAATTATTTTCGATTTCTTTTTTTATTTTAAGTTATTGTTTTCATTAAATTTGAGAAAGGTGAAAAGTAAAAGGTGAAAAGGAAGAAGGAGGGAGAAAAGAGTAATTGCACATCATCTTGTGGCATTAGATCATTCTTTGGCACACGAGATTAACTTTCGCCAAATTGTGGCAAATCAGCCGCGCGCCCGAAAAATTGTCATACATGGTTTTCTTAAACCGGACCTTTGCAGGAAATTCTCCAGTTTTGAAAATTGTCATACATGGTTTTGTTAAACCGGACCTTTTCGGCAATACCAAATCCAATTCTCCAAATTATACATGGTTTTGTTAAACCGGACCTTTAATAATTTGAAGACAAACAAATGTTAGTCATTGACTTGTGTGACCCGTGAATGAGAAGTCAAAGATATAGCGCGTATCGGGGAAAGAGAGAGATGAGAGAAGGAAAAAAACAGAAGATGTTGTGTAATGAGAAGCACAACATCCACATGCTATGTTTTGCCGTAAGCAACTAAGCATCCTATACTTCTTATTTTCCAATTATTATTTTCATCATCATCAAGCATTTAAAAAGAAAAGAAAAAACTTACTGAAATACAAAATCTATTATTTGCCCCAAAGGAAAAGAAAAAAAAACCAGAGTGACCATGTTGTAAAACTTACAAATCTTGACTTTTGAATATCCAACTAATTATTCAGAGTGTCCAAAACAAGGTAAGACTTTGGATAGTCACATATACATTAATACACTACCTGTTTGGATTAATTATTAATTTATATGTCAATTGAGTATATCAGAACTTATATGCTATTCCAACTTGTTAATATTTTAATTTTACAAGGCAGTGGTGGTGGACCAATATTTTTTACCGGATACATGATTTCATAAATATAAATCATTAAAAATATTATATAAAACTGATTTCTGACACTAAACTAGGTTATGGCCTAACATCAAACAAAATTTTAAAAATATGAGTAGGTTTAAAATCCTTGTAAAGGGTCAGTGGTAGACTTAACTCACTTAACAACCAAATGATCCATCAAACTTTAAACAACTCGTACCAAAACTATTAAAATATTTAATTTAACCGACCCTATTACTCAACGTAGGTTTGAACTTTGAATTGATTTAAGGTAATCGACATATATAGTATCGATTAATGATTAACATGTTGAAAACATGTAGCTTAGTAGTTTATATGGTGTTGTCATTCAGATTTAAACCCGTGAATTATTATTACCATACCTTTTGACTGTGGATAAGGTTTGTACTTAACGAAGTTTGGATTCCTTAAAGAGGATATTGGAAATTTTGAAATTTCTGAAGCATTTAACTATGTCTAACTTTACTCTGTTCACTCATAAATAATCGGATGTTCAGAGTTCAGACTTGTTGGATGGCAGAGAAAAATTGATAAAGAAAAGTAATTAAAAGAAAAAGAAAAACACAAAAGTTAGTAAAAGAACAAACAACAACAGCTGTCTCTTTCCACCATCCATTCTTCACTTTTCGTTCTCTCTCACACACACATTCTGTAAAATATGATATCAACAAACCCTATATTAGGAAAGCAAATAGACAATTAAAGTAATCAAATCATTTCTTAACTTAGTATAATAGCTTTATCATTTCTCTCTCTTTCTTCATCTATTGCATTATTGCAGGAGCAGCCAACACTTGTTGTCTCCACTTTCTCTTCGCTTAACTCATCTTCTCTCTTTTTTCACTTGTCATTTTTTTGTTCTTATGTATATTTCATTTTTTTTCCTTTCCCATTGGAGTGTCTTCTACTGACTACTGGTAGGTGTATGGATTTGGTAAGAATTCTCAAACTTTTAATCTGTTTTTTTTTTTATTATATAGTTTATGAATAACATGTTTCATCTTTCTTTAATCTTTCCCTTTATTGCATTTTAAAATTGACACAAGAAGAAAAAAAACCTCTTGCTTGGAATTAATTACACAGAGAACGAAAAGATGGTTTGTGATGAAGTGAAACTCAAACTGCAAGTTTTTATTATTGCTTTATTTTTCTTGTTTTTGTTTGTTTTTTTGTTTTGCTTTCTTCCCATTTCGTGGGATCCGTTCTAGTTTCGATATTTCTGCACTTCCCATTTTGTTTCACAGTACAATTAGTTTGCCCTTTTTTGGTTATATTTTTTAGTAAAGTATTTATTGAAAATTGAGAAATCATAATTATGCTAGATTTCAACTGAGATTTCAGTAGTTTCTTTAAAGTACATACCTTTGTGTTTGCTTTTGCTTAGGGTTCTTCGTCAAATTATCCCAATTATATCTGAAATCTCCAGTAAATAAAAAGTCTTTTAAAGGTTTCTGAACAAGTTTAATGCTTTATGAGTTTCAAGCATCAAAAATTGCTTCTTTTTCTTCATAAATTCAAAATTGATAGTTGTTTTTGTTGATTCTCTGAAAAAAAAAAACTCAGATGTAAATTTATATAACAATACCAAAAGGAGAAATCTTGAGATTGTAATTTTTGTGTATGTTTCTTTTTTTTATAGTGAGTGTGAAGAACAAACACAAAAAAAAAAAACAAATCTTTGAATGGATTGGAACTTCAAACTCAGTTCAGGGTATCTATCCGAATTCGATCAAGAATCTGTACCTGATTTATCACCAATCAACGGCTCGATCTCGTTTGGTGGGTCATCGTCATCATCACCAAGACTGCAACCAAAAGGGGATTTCTCATTTGATCTGAAGCTTGGAAGAAACATTGGAAACTCTTCCTCCTCTGCTTTTGGTAATACAGAGCAAGTGATAAGTCTTAGTAAGTGGAAAGAGACACCAAGAAGCTCTGCTTCGTCTTCATCGTCAAAGAGAACAAGAGGGAATGGTATTGGAAACAACAACAATAACCAGATGCCGATTTGTTTGGTTGATGGATGTAATTCTGATTTCAGTAACTGTAGAGAGTACCATAAGAGACATAAAGTATGTGACGTCCATTCAAAGACTCCTGTGGTTACCATCAATGGCCATAAACAGAGGTTTTGTCAACAATGCAGCAGGTAATTCACATAAAAATCAGATCTTTCTTGTGTTTAGTGATAGTAGTAAGCTGGATCTTGAACATGTTAGCATTTTGTGTGTGTGATCAATCAGGTTTCATTCCTTGGAAGAGTTTGATGAAGGGAAGAGAAGTTGTAGGAAACGTCTTGATGGACATAATCGAAGAAGACGAAAGCCTCAGCCCGATCATATGGCTCGTCCTGCGAACTTCTTCACCGGTTTTCAAGGTTCTTGCTTCAAGAAAACTTGGTTTCTTGGATCCAAAAGACTCTGTCTTTAAGCATATATCATTCTGTTTCAGGTAGCAGATTGCTGGAGTTTTCCGGCGGTTCACAAGTGTTTCCGGCTACATCTTTAGCGAATCCGAGCTGGGGAAACGGTCTTGTAAGCGTTGCTATGGCCAATGGTTCGAGCTACGGGCATAACCAGGGTTTTTCTGGTTCTTCTCCTCCTGCAAAGACAGGACTAGTGTTCCCAATCTCTTCTTCACCAAACAGCAGAGGGAAACAGTTCCCTTTCTTGCAAGAACAAGAGAGCTCGAGAACAGCATCGTTGTGTGAGAGAATGACGACTTGTGTCCATGACTCTGATTGTGCTCTCTCTCTTCTGTCATCCTCTTCCTCTTCAGTTCCTCATTTGCTTCATCATCAGCCGCCACTTTCTTTGCCCCAAGAAGCGGTTGGGACAGTTTTTTATGGGTCGGGATTGTTTGAGAATGCGAGCGCCGTCTCTGATGGCTCGGTTATATCCGGTCATGAGGCTGTGCCTCTTCCACAAACTTTCCCGTTTCACTGGGAGTAGTAGAGAAGATCAAGTAGGTAGATAGAATCAGAAAGATGTGTGTGTGTGTGTTTCTCTGTATCTCTCTTTCTCTAGTTTTCTTCTTTTTCTCCCTCAATCTTCAATGTTCTATATCATTGTTCTTGTTAAATGCTGAATTGTGGGTATTTAATGAAATCCAGTTAGTTGATGTGTCGGTTGTATTGGTGGTCGAGCAGTAAGTTTATCAAGTGCTAATCAAGAGTAGATAACTCTTAATGCTCAGTACTATAAAAGTCTTAATCGTTTAGAATCTCAGAGCCACTCTTATCCTTGGGTACATTTTTAAAACATCTTCATATCTATACTATATAACATTTTTAAGAGTAAAATATGTCAAAGTGGAACTGATTATAAACCTCAAACATATTGTATGTCAAAGCTATTTGAGTATTTGGACAATCAAGTTGGAGTTAATGAAAACAAGATTTTTAGGTGTTTCAAACCCTTAATCCTGCTCATATCATTGCAGCATAGTTTAAGGTTATCAATCCACTTTGAAGAGTGATTGGGACAAGAAAGAAAGCAAGAAACTTTCTCAAGTCAAGAGCAAAAAGATTTGGTTTTGTGAAATCCGAAATGAACAGTAAAAATGCAGAAATAAAGGCAATAAACAGAGTTTGAAGCAATTTGAAATCAAAGAACTAAGCTAGAAACCAAAAATCAAGCAAGTAGATGAATTCAAAGGAAGAAAGAGGTCTTAGGATGGGGTAATTGATTAGAGAATCTTAGAGGTTGATAATGATGTTTAGACAAACAATCCTAGGAAGAGAATTCAAGAAGCAAGATTAACCCATTTTCATGGTGAAAATCACAAAGCAAGAACCCAATCCAAGAGCTAACTTTCATTAGTGGAAAGGATTCAAGCCAGCAATAAGCAACAATTCTCCTAAACCAATAAGCTCTCTAAACATTCACTATCATGAGCTAGAGAAGCAAATCTCCTTGTTGGTTGGTCCAACATTTCTCCAAACACTTTTGATGTGGAAAATGTTTAAAACCTAGATCTAAATTATCATTAGAGACCTAGCATTAAGAAAACCCAACAAGGAAGGATTGTATTGCGAAATTTAACCTCTAAACATCAAAATCAAACTCTAAAATCCCTAATCTATCCCATCCTCTAAGACCAAAGGGGTTTACTCACTAATCATGCTTAGAACACCAAATCCCATGGGGAAAGGGTCCTAATCATGATTAGAGAGATAAGATAAGAAGATTGTAGAAGGAAAGAACTTGATTTGATTAAAATCGAAGTTGGGATCTAACAAATTGTTTAGAACCCTAAAGAGGCTGTTTTTGGTGTTCTTGAAAGGGGAAATTACAAGTGCCTAAAATAATAGACTTTAATCTATTTATACTTGGAGACTCCAAAACCCTTGGTCAACTCATTTAGCTTGACTTCTTCCTTCCCCAAATGGTCTTGGCTCCAAACTTTGCGTTTTGGTCTTCATTTCTATAGTGGTCAAAGCTCAGGTCAACGCGGGTCAACTCTTCCTCTTGGTCAACACTCAGCTGAAAGGCGAGAAACAGGTTTCTGAACCTGTTTGACATCCTGGTTGCGAACTCCTGAGTATCCTGATTTTAATTTCTTCAACTCTGATCTCCGAACTAGCTCCAAAACTCCTCAAAAGTACCTAAATACAACTCCAAATGCAGAATGTATGCAATGTATGCTCTAAATGGTATGAATGTACAAATGGAAGGTAATTGACCTAAAATGAGTGAAATGAATGTCAAGAACATGCAAATATGTATGAAATTATATGTCTAAATGATGTAAATATGAGTACATCAACACCCCCAAACTTATCACTTGCTTGCCCTCAAGCAAGAAGAACAAATCTGAGAGTATTGGATTAGGAGAAAGACTCAGATCCCAAGGTGCAATGAGAAGAAATGAGGTCAATGTCCTAGTTGAGAATTATAAGATGCAAAGTGAGTTTGCTTTACTTCAAAAACTTTAGCCACATTCATCAAGCAGCAAAATGACACTAGACCCAATCTACACATGCATTCATATCACTCTCACCTTTTGACATTCAATTAATACAAACCATGAATCAAAACTCATGCACTTCAAGATTTGCTCATTTGGTTAAGGGTTTAGGCTTTTTAGGAGATATGAAAGGTTTCTCCAAAGTGGTTTACTCATTTTTAAAACAGGGATCTCTCAAAGATGGATTGAGCTTGGGCAAAATGCTAAGAGTCAAGTCCAAGGATGATACAAAGCTGAACTTCCATCTACCCAAAACAGAGCTGAGAACCCAAAGATACCCACTGAAATCCTAGCTACCCTTTTCTTCAAGAAATGAAACTCAAATGAACCCAAAGACACTCTCTCTTTTCTTTCTTTTCTGGACCTTGAGAGGGTTATAAACTAGGACTTAAGGGAGGATAAACTTTCTTTTCAAAACAGAGGATAGACTTTTTTGAACTTTTGTGGCTTAAGGCTTTTCTTTTCTAGGCTTTGATTTTCTCTTTTTTTCTTGCCTAACTTTGACAACTTCACACAGCCACCACTCTTTTTAACTCTCCTCTTTCTTTTCTTTTCTTTTCTCCCATCCTTTCTCTTTTTTACTTTCTGCCACTCTCAAGGTCTCTTTTAAACTCACTCTCTTCCTCACAAACTCCCAACCACCCAATTCCTAAGCCTAGTCTAGCTCAAAAACGTGAGCTAGTTCTACATGGAAGCTCAAACTTTGTCGGTCAAGACTCAACACTTTTTGCTTAGCTCAATCTGGAAAAGGCCTCACATCTCTCAGTAAAAGCTTTGGCTTGAAAGAAAGGTTTGGTTTAGGGAGGGTTATCAAACAAACTTGGACACACAAAGAAGGATGAAAATTGGATAAAGAGTGTCCAAGGGAAACAAAATCCATGAGCAGAAACTTTTAATGCATGAGAATGATATTTAAATGATCAAATTAGGTTCCAATAGATAAGGTGAGAGTTCAATTCAAAGCAATGATTCAACCAAGTCATGATGTCAAAATGTGCATTCCAAATGTGGTTCTATCTTAACTTCAAACTCACTCAATATGCACCAAATAATTAACAACTAGGCCATTGAAAACTTTTCGAAAAATCACACCTTTTAATGGAAATGATCAATATTTTTTTCTTATGCAAGTGCAAGTAACTACATGAGATGCATCTAGACTCAATCCTAATGTGCAAATGCAAATGATGCTTTTCTTTTTGTGTTATGCAATTTTTGAAAATTTTCATTTTTTTGGTTTTTCTATGACATAGATGCAATGCACATGATGCATGAGACTCAAGGATGAAAATCGAAAATAAGAAAACAGAACACAAGGTTAAATACTATGGACCTCTCCCCCAAACTTAAACTGCACAGTCCCTTGTGCAAATAAAAGCTTGAAGAAGAGACCCATCAAACAAAATGCAAAAACAGAGAAGACTAAAAATGCATAGTATTTACAATGTGTTGGAGTTGTACCTCTCAGGTACTCATGGAGGAGGAGGATGATTGATTTTCAAGGCTGTAAGATGCGTTGCTGTACTCCAGAGCTGGTGACCTCAAAGATTTAACATGGCTCAGACGGGAATCGGGTTGTTTGAGGAGCAAACCTGTTTGAAATCTTGATTGCGACCATTCTGTCAAGTTTTTGCAATCTGATTTTTAGACAATCAACTCAGCTCTCTCAAGAACATCCCAATTCCTCATCCAAACAAGCTGCACCAAACCTACAACACAAAAGCACCAAAGGCAAACACAAAAAAAAAAAAATTGAAAAGCTTAAGTATATACAAAAGGATAAGCATGGGACTTCCTCCCAAGTGAGCTTGTTTTAGGTCCCAAGCTTGACCTTCTTTAACTCTTGCTAGTGAATGGTGAAGGGCTGCACGCCTTTGACAGTGGTATCCATGGCATGAGCAAGAGAACCGTGGGGTTTGACTGGATCACCTGGGGATGGATCAAGAGAGTGAGGATGTGGTTTCTCCATCTTTTTCTTTCTCTTAAGAGTGGCCTCTCTGCCTCTACACACCTCCTCCTTCTGAGCACGTCCCATGTGCTCACTAAACATATCAATGAGACACTCTCCATCCATAATATCTTCTCCACACTCATCAAGCACATGCACAACTTTGTCACACTCAACCTTGTCCTTCTTGAAGCTGGAATTGGCAATGGTTATGGTTCCACAATAACTTGTTGAAGAAACCTTCATTGGGTATGCAACCTTGCTGTTGATATTGTGGAGAGTGACCAGCTTCTTGTGAAAGTCAATTGAGGCTCCAACAGTTGTAAGGAATGGTGTTCCAAGGATCAATGGTACTTCCTTATCGCCATACATACCCAAAACAGTCAGATCAGTTGGAACCTTGCAGTCTCCTATCTTTAAAGGGTAATCCTTGATTAGACCAAGTGGAGACTTAGAAGAGGCATCTCCAAACATGATAGAAGATGTAGGAGGCGTCATGCTCTTTATACCCAGTTGCTTAACCATGGCAAGTGATATCAGATTCACACTTGCTCCAGAATCCACAAGAGCATCATCAAGCTTCAAATCTCCAAGGGTGCAAGGCAATGTGAACTTCCCTTGTTTCTCAAGCTTGGGAATGGAGGTTGGCGTGATATGGGCAGGATCTGGTGGTGTAGAGAGCTCAAGAAGCGCTGCCACTCTCTCTTTGTTCACAAGAACATCTTAATCAGCTCTATTTGGAGGTGAGCTTCTTGCATATTGCCTATGTTTGGTAGATGAACACCAATATTGCTCATATCATTCCTGAATGTGGAGACTACCTTCTTTTGAGTTTTAGTGAGAACTCTCTCAGGAAATGGAAGCTCTGGTTTGTAAAGAGGAGGCTCAACCTTGATGGTTTCTTCTCTTGCAACAATCTTTGAGGCTTCCTCCTTGGCATTTCGTTTTTCAGCTTGAGAAGTCTCCTCATTCACAGAAATCTCAACACTTGTACCATGAAGGAGCCTGTAAAGTTCTTCTATAGCTCTCTCATTCTCTTCAGTCTCAGCCACACCATCTTTAGTAGAGAAAACTGCATGACAATACTCCTTTGTACTTGATGATGAAGAACCACCAACTTTAGCTTCCAAGGTAAGCACTTTGGTAGTTAGAGACTCAAACTTGTTGTTTAGATCATTGTATGAGCAATCAACCTTATTGTGAATCTCAACCATCCTCTTGTTCAACTCTAAGGCACTATTAGCTTGTCCTTGGATTATCTGTTGCAATATGGTCTTCATCTCTGCCTCTTGACCAGAATTGTGGCTTCCTTGAGCTTGAGTAGACCCAAGATCTTATGGAGAAAAACCGTGCTTGTAATAGACCCATTGGTTTCCATCTTGGCTGTCCACATAGTTGAGCTTTTTCTCTTGAATCTCCTCACCATTAATGAAGTGCACTTGCTTTTTCTGACCTGACAGTAGCTTGTCAAGCTTATCATTGAGAGTCTTGAGTTCCTTCTTGTGATTCTCTTCTTGAGCAAGACTGCCTCTCTCAGCTCTGTCACAATCTTCACCATAGCTTCCATCACTAGTGGCAACGTTCTCAACTAAAATCAATCCAGCATCAACATCTTTACCCATGAAGTAACCATTGCTTGCTGAATCAAGATGCATTCTGTATTTGGGTAATGTTCCTCTGTACAAGGTACTCAGTAGATTCTCTTTAGAGAAACCATGGTGAGGACACTGCATCTGGTAGCCCTTGAAGCGCTCATATGCCTCACAGAAAGTTTCTCCATGCATTTGCATGAAACCGGAGATATCATTGCGCAGTTGTGCTGTTCTTGAGGTTGGAAAGAACTTAGCCAAGAAAGATTGCTTGCACTGTGCCCAAGTGGTGACTGATCCAGCAGGCAGAGATGCTTCCCAAGTGAGAGCTTTATCCTCTAGAGAGAAAGGGAAAAGCCTTAACTTGAAACCATCTTCAGAAACTCCATTGAGTTGCTGCAAAGAACAAATTCTGTCAAACTTGTCAAGATGCTTCAATGGATCCTCATCCTTCATGCCATGAAACACTGAACTCTCCACCAATGAGATCAAGCTGGTCTTGATTTCAAAGTTAAAGGGGACTGGTGGTGGGGTGATTCCGTGGCGGTTGACATGAGAAGTCGGAGTATCAGCAGCTCCGATTTGTTGTGGAGGGCGTGGAGGATGAACTGGATATCCTCCATGCTGCTGGTCAGCTCCCAATGGAANGAAAATAAGAAAACAGAACACATGGTTAAATACTATGGACCTCTCCCCCAAACTTAAACTGCACAGTCCCTTGTGCAAATAAAAGCTTGAAGAAGAGACCCATCAAACAAAATGCAAAAACAGAGAAGACTAAAAATGCATAGTATTTACAATGTGTTGGAGTTGTACCTCTCAGGTACTCATGGAGGAGGAGGATGATTGATTTTCAAGGCTGTAAGATGCGTTGCTGTACTCCAGAGCTGGTGACCTCAAAGATTTAACATGGCTCAGACGGGAATCGGGTTGTTCTGAGGAGCAAACCTGTTTGAAATCCTGATTGCGACCATTCTGTCAAGTTTTTGCAATCTGATTTTTAGACAATCAACTCAGGTCTCTCAAGAACATCCCAATTCCTCATCCAAACAAGCTGCACCAAACCTACAACACAAAAGCACCAAAGGCAAACACAAAAAAAAAATTGAAAAGCTTAAGTATATACAAAAGGATAAGCATGGGACTTCCTCCCAAGTGAGCTTGTTTTAGGTCCCAAGCTTGACCTTCTTTAACTCTTGCTAGTGAATGGTGAAGGGCTGCACGCCTTTGACAGTGGTATCCATGGCATGAGCAAGAGAACCGTGGGGTTTGACTGGATCACCTGGGGATGGATCAAGAGAGTGAGGATGTGGTTTCTCCATCTTTTTCTTTCTCTTAAGAGTGGCCTCTCTGCCTCTACACACCTCCTCCTTCTGAGCACGTCCCATGTGCTCACTAAACATATCAATGAGACACTCTCCATCCATAATATCTTCTCCACACTCATCAAGCACATGCACAACTTTGTCACACTCAACCTTGTCCTTCTTGAAGCTGGAATTGACAATGGTTATGGTTCCACAATAACTTGTTGAAGAAACCTTCATTGGGTATGCAACCTTGCTTGCTGTTGATATTGTGGAGAGTGACCAGCTTCTTGTGAAAGTCAATTGAGGCTCCAACAATTGTAAGGAATGGTGTTCCAAGGATCAATGGTACCTCCTTATCTCCATACATACCCAAAACAGTCAGATCAGTTGGAACCTTGCAGTCTCCTATCTTTAAAGGGTAATCCTTGATTAGACCAAGTGGAGACTTAGAAGAGGCATCTCCAAACATGATAGAAGATGTAGGAGGCGTCATGCTCTTAATACCCAGCTACTTAACCATAGCAAGTGATATCAGATTCACACTTGCTCCAGAATCCACAAGAGCATCATCAAGCTTCAAATCTCCAAGGGTGCAGGGCAATGTGAACTTCCCTTATTTCTCAAGCTTGGGAATGGAGGTTGGCGTGATATGGGAAGGATCTGGGGGTGTAGAGAGCTCAAGAAGCGCTGCCACTCTCTCCTTGTTCATAAGAACATCCTTGATCAGCTCCATTTGGAGGTGAGCTTCTTGCATATTGCCTATGTTGGGTAGATGAACACCAATATTGCTCATATCATTCCTGAATATGGAGACTACCTTCTTTTGAGCTTTAGTGAGAACTCTCTCAGGAAATGGAAGCTCTGGTTTGTAAAGAGGAGGCTCAACCTTGATGGTTTCTTCTCTTGCACTAATCTTTGAGGCTTCCTCCTTGACATTTCGTTTTTCAGCTTGAGAAGTCTCTTCATTCACTGAAATCTCAACACTTGTACCATGAAGGAGCCTGTAAAGTTCTTCTATAGCTCTCTCATTCTCTTCAGTCTCAGCCACACCATCTTTAGTAGAGAAAACTGCATGACAATACTCCTTTGTACTTGATGATGAAGAACCACCAACTTTAGCTTCCAAGGTAAGCACTTTGGTAGTTAGAGACTCAAACTTGTTGTTTAGATCATTGTATGAGCAATCAACCTTATTGTGAATCTCAACCATCCTCTTGTTCAACTCTAAGGCACCATTAGCTTGTCCTTGGATTATCTGTTGCAATATGGTCTTCATCTCTGCCTCTTGACCAGAATTGTGGCTTCCTTGAGCTTGAGTAGACCCAAGATCTTGTGGAGAAAAACCGTGCTTGTAATAGACCCATTGGTTTCCATCTTGGCTGTCCACATAGTTGAGCTTTTTCTCTTGAATCTCCTCACCATTAATGAAGTGCACTTGCTTTTTCTGACCTGACAGTAGCTTGTCAAGCTTATCATTGAGAGTCTTGAGCTCCTTCTTGTGATTCTCTTCTTGAGCAAGACTGCCTCTCTCAGCTCTGTCACAATCTTCACCATAGCTCCCATCACTAGTGGCAACGTTCTCAACTAAAATCAATCCAGCATCAACATCTTTACCCATGAAGTAACCATTGCTTGCTGAATCAAGATGCATTCTGTATTTGGGTAATGTTCCTCTGTACAAGGTACTCAGTAGATTCTCTTTAGAGAAACCATGGTGAGGACACTGCATCTGGTAGCCCTTGAAGCGCTCATATGCCTCACAGAAAGTTTCTCCATGCATTTGCGTGAAACCGGAGATATCATTGCGCAGTTGTGCTGTTCTTGAGGTTGGAAAGAACTTAGCCAAGAAAGATTGCTTGCACTGCCCAAGTGGTGACTGATCCAGCAGGCAGAGATGCTTCCCAAGTGAGAGCTTTATCCTCTAGAGAGAAAGGGAAAAGCCTTAACTTGAAACCATCTTCAGAAACTCCATTGAGTTGCTGCAAAGAACAAATTCTGTCAAACTTGTCAAGATGCTTCAATGGATCCTCATCCTTCATGCCATGAAACACTGAACTCTCCACCAATGAGATCAAGCTGGTCTTGATTTCAAAGTTAAAGGGGACTGGTGGTGGGGTGATTCCGTGGCGGTTGACATGAGAAGTCGGAGTGTCAGCAGCTCCGATTTGTCGTGGAGGGTGTGGAGGATGAACTGGATATCCTCCATGCTGCTGGTCAGCTCCCAATGGAAACTCTGGGACCCCTGGTGGGTCTGCCATGCTCACAAGCTATGGTACGTTGTTCTCTAGCTGCTGTTCAGCTCTCAGTTGCTTCTCAGCTCTATCTCTGCCTTGCTTTGACTGTTTCTCTTGTTCAGCTCTTTGAAAGATCACTTGTCCAGAACAGAATGTCTTGACCACGTGATCTTGTGTTCATAAACCTGCAAAAGCACAGATAAACTTCAAGAACCAGATGAGCAGCAAGTTAAAAGAAAAACTCGAAATGAAAACTGAAATAGAAAAATCTTGATCTTGAAATTTCTAAATCGAAAATGCCCAATCAAATCTCTCCAAATGGCAACGGCGCCAGTTTGAAAACAAGATTTTTAGGTGTTTCAAACCCTTAATCCCTGCTCATATCATTGCAGCATAGTTTAAGGTTATCAATCCACTTTGAAGAGTGATTGGGACAAGAAAGAATACAAGAAACTTTCTCAAGTCAAGAGCAAAAAGATTTGGTTTTGTGAAATCCGAAATGAACAGTAAAAATGCAGAAATAAAGGCAATAAACAGAGTTTGAAGCAATTTGAAATCAAAGACTAAGCTAGAAACCAAAAATGCTCAAGCAAGTAGATGAATTCAAAGGAAGAAAGAGGTCTTAGGATGGGGTAATTGATTAGAGAATCTTAGAGGTTGATAATGATGTTTAGACAAACAATCCTAGGAAGAGAATTCAAGAAGCAAGATTAACCCATTTTCATGGTGAAAATCACAAAGCAAGAACCCAATCCAAGAGCTAACTTTCATTAGTGGAAAGGATTCAAGCCAGCAATAAGCAACAATTCTCCTAAACCAATAAGCTCTCTAAACATTCACTATCATGAGCTAGAGAAGCAAATCTCCTTGTTGGTTGGTCCAACATTTCTCCAAACACTTTTGATGTGGGAAATGTTTAAAACCTAGATCTAAATTATCATTAGAGACCTAGCATTAAGAAAACCCAACAAGGAAGGATTGTACGAAATTTAAACCTCTAAACATCAAAATCAAACTCTAAAATCCCTAATCTATCCCATCCTCTAAGACCAAAGGGTTTACTCACTAATCATGCTTAGAACACCAAATCCCATGGGGGAAAGGGTCCTAATCATGATTAGAGAGATAAGATAAGAAGATTGTAGAAGGAAAGAACTTGATTTGATTAAAATCGAAGTTGGGATCTAACAAATTGTTTAGAACCCTAAAGAGGCTGTTTTTGGTGTTCTTGAAAGGGGAAATTACAAGGTGCCTAAAATAATAGGACTTTAATCTATTTATACTTGGAGACTCCAAAACCCTTGGTCAACTCATTTAGCTTGACTTCTTCCTTCCCCAAATGGTCTTGGCTCCAAACTTTGCGTTTTGGTCTTCATTTCTAATGGTCAGACTTTGGTCAACGCGGGTCAACTCTTCCTCTCGGTCAACGCTCAGCTAAAAGGCGAGAAACAGGTTTCTGAACCTGGTTGACATCCTGGTTGAGATCCTGATTGCCATCCTGATTGCGAGCTCATGAACGTTTCTTCAAACTCTGATCTCCGAACTAGCTCCAAAACTCCTCAAAAATACCTAAATACAACTCCAAATGCAGAATGTATGCAATGTATGCTCTAAATGGTATGAATGTACACAATGGAAGGTAATTGACCTAAAATGAGTGAAATGAATGTCAAGAACATGCAAATATGTATGAAATTATATGTCTAAATGATGTAAATATTGAGTACATCAGTTAACTCTAATTTGAAATGGAGAAAGTATAAAATTTTAGTTTAAACTAAAATGGAGGTCAACAGAATTATAGTTAAATATTTGGACAATCAGGATTTGTCCTCGGAAAAGCTGTAAACGCCATTTTACGAGTATTGGGGACTGAAAAACGGAGGTTTGAGGACTGGCCTCAGGAGGGTTGCTCGTGACAACAACGATGAACGATGAAGACTCGAGTTTCTAAGAAATGCAAGTGCAAATTTTTTGAGTATAGTTTTTTCGGAATCATTGTTTCGTCTTTGAGCAATTAGTTTTGATATGTGTCTTGCTTATCGGTTTTGTTCTTCAGTTTGTCATTACATCGTTGCAATTAGTTTTTGGTTTTTCTGATTTATGATTTTTCTCTGTAATCTATGTCACAATTTAAAAATGATATAAAACTTAACATTTTTACAAAAATAATAATATAGAATTATAGTTCTGAACAAAGTAAAGTAGTACATAAGAAAATTGACATGTAGAACATAAGAAGTTAGCTAAAATTTACCAGGGAAGTTTTGAGACAATCCTGAGATACCGTAAAACATATGATCACATAAATATAATAAGTTCGACAAAAGGACAAATAGTCTAGTGAATATTTAAACTAGTGGTTTCAAAGGAAACCATTTTTTTGTGGTGGTTAAAACATATCTTAAGATGAAATGACTACCGAGATGTTACAAGAGATACATTATAGATGCCTATTGTTTGTTGACCCGTCTTTATTAGCTTCATTTGATATATTCAAATATTCTAATTAATTACCAATTATGTTATAAAAAATGTCTAATTGTTCAACTCTCTCCCTTTCGTCATTACCGAAAATTTCGAAACTAGTTTCTTATGCATCACATTTTACGGGGAACTTCATAGTATACTTTTTTCGTTATCCTTCATTTGGTTCATCTTTAAGATATACTAGGAGAGAACCCGCACAATGCGCGGGTTTATTAAACCAAATATTTTTAATTTAATTATTCAGAACATTAGATTCGAATATATCATTTGTTTTTTACTCGAATATATTAGATTCTGTAAGTTTTGCATTTTGTTTTTTTTCATATAGTTTTAAAATTTAGTTGTTATTTACGTGAAATCTTATATAGACTCATAGTGAATAGTTTCATATGTTTTTTGTTCTTTTATACAATAATTTATCGACTGGAGTTGAGTTCTTCTAATTTTCCTTATACTAACAATCATTATAGATTGATTATTATCCTACAGACTCATAGATAATAATAATTGCAACCCTTTTTAAAAGGAAATGAAATGAGCTAATTAGCCAGTAAGCCCATTTAAAGCTACCATGGAAACGAAGAGGTCCGATAAATAATCAAGCCTATCAAAACGAACAACATTACACATAATTTTGATTTAGATTTTTTTTTTTTACGAAAACGACGTCGTTTTGGTGTAAGACGAAAAAAAAAAATAACGCGCAAAACGACGTCGTTTTGGTGTAAGACAAAAAAAAAAGCGCAAAACGACGTCGTTTTGGTGTTAGGCGAAAAAAAAAGAGAGTGCCACGTGTCAAAGACTTGAGAGTGTCCAAGCCTTATTAAACCAAATATTTTTAATTTAATTATTCAGAACATTAGATTCGAATATATCATTTGTTTTTTACTCGAATATATTAGATTCTGTAAGTTTTGCATTTTGTTTTTTTTCATATAGTTTTAAAATTTAGTTGTTATTTACGTGAAATCTTATATAGACTCATAGTGAATAGTTTCATATGTTTTTTGTTCTTTTATACAATAATTTATCGACTGGAGTTGAGTTCTTCTAATTTTCCTTATACTAACAATCATTATAGATTGATTATTATCCTACAGACTCATAGATAATAATAATTGCAATCCTTTTTAAAAGGAAATGAAATGAGCTAATTAGCCAGTAAGCCCATTTAAAGCTACCATGGAAACGAAGAGGTCCGATAAATAATCAAGCCCATCAAAACGAACAGCATTACACATAATTTTGATTTAGATTTTTTTTTTTTTTTTAATACGAAAACGACGTCGTTTTGGTGTAAGACGAAAAAAAAAAAAATAAAGCGCAAAACGACGTCGTTTTGGTGTTAGGCGAAAAAAAAAAAAAAAAAAGAGAGTGCCACGTGTCAAAGGCTGGAGATTGTCCAAGCCTTATTAGTTATGTAGATTATTTTCGAAAATCATTTACAAAACATTAATATAAATTACACACGTACTGACGTACGTAGGGGAAGAACGCAAAAATATATGGTAAAGTTGATAAATATACAAAAGGTAAAAGCAGATTTATAAGAAATATATGTGTAGGTAAAGAGTAGAATTTAAGTGCCAGGAAAATGGATGACGAAGGTACAGACAGCGACTAAGCCAAAGTAAATGATAGAGTGAAGAAGGATGGAGTATCCGCTCGTCTCCATCTTCCCAAAGTCTACAAAGTTATTGTTGCCTGGAACCTGAAACAGCAATCCCGGCGTCAGAAGGACGAACAACACCGTCGCAGCAATCACCGGTATCCACTCAGCCATTAATGTCTTGACTCTTCTTCAAAGCTATCCTAACGAGATAAGAGACAAGAGAGATAGAGGGAAGTTATATTAATAGGGGTTAGGGAGAGAAAAGTTTAATTATAAATTTATAATAGTGAACTCTCGTGGTTGGTGAAATGGCATAATACATCTGACGCGGTGTCACATGTCAGCAGTGTCGTGGTCAGAGTGTAGTTTGAGGACTTTGGTTGATGTCTCGAGAGATTCGTTAGACGATTGTTAGGTTGTCTCTTTCGTCTCTCTAGTTTTGTTACATGCATGTTGGGTCTCTCGTTGACTTAAAAAGATGAAACTTGATGAATTTTTGCATCTTCCAGTTTTTTTTTTTACAATCTTCTTGAATCTTGATAGTTATCATTTGGTTTAGTTAGTGTGTGGAAGATTTAGGAACATATCCGATTTATAAACATATAATCGAAAAAAACTCTGTCGTCATAAGACATATGGAGGTTTGGGATTCAGAGTAATTGAGGATTTTAATACGGCTTTGTTGGCAAATCAATTATGGCGTTTAATTGATTATCCGGATTCTCTGTTTGCAATAGTTTTCAAGGGAAGATACTTTCGGAATGGCACTCCCTTAGATCCAGTCCGCTCATACTCACCGTTCTATGGATGGCAAAATATTGGCTAAGCTCGACCCCTAGTAAATAAAGGGCTTATTAAAAGAGTTGGTTCAAGCTCATCCATTTCAGTATGATATGATCCATGGGTTCCAGCATCTTGCCCGAGGTCAGCCATCTAAGGGGATCAATTTATATCCTCAACTTTCACTTGAGTGAGTGAACTAATTGATCCTACCATATCAACATGGAATATTCCACTATTAGAACAAATGTTTGAGAGTTCGGAAGTACAATTGATAAATGGTATTGTTACTTCTAACGTCTATCGGCTTGATTCTTTGGATGGTCTTTCACAAAGTCTGGATGATATACGGTGAAGTCAGGATATGAAACGAAACGGCGCCGAAGTATCCAGATGTTGTCGATTTATTGTATTATGGCCCTGATGTCAGAAAACTCCAGGCCCATGCGTGGGAAGTCCAATGCACCTCTAAATTACAACATTTTCTCTAGCAACTGATAACAGGCTGTGTAGCTGTTGGTACATGTCTCCGGAGTCGTGGGATCACATCTGACCCAAAATGTACGAGATGTGGAATGTATGCGGAAACGAGCAACCATACTCTCTTTGAATGCCCACAAGCACTGCAGGTTTGGGCTTTATCTCCGATTCCAACACCAGCTCATAGGTTCCCTTCGGACGCGTTATTTACAAATATGGTCTGTCTTTTCTGGAACTTACCGAATAACGATCAGATGGAGATGTTTCCCTGGTACATTTGGAAAGCTAGGAACGAGAAAATGTTTTCAAATGAAGATAGTGATCCCCACGAACTTATCAGATCAGCAGAAGTCGAGGCTACTGCTTGCCGTTTAGCTCATGTACGCCAGTACGCCAGGAAAGGGATGAATCTAGTAGCATGGGGATGGGGGAGCCACATACACAAATGAGTATATGTCAGGTTGATGGATAATGGAAATTAACGTCACCACAAGCTGGTTTGGGGTGGTACTGGTCAAATCGTCAAACATGGGAAGTTCTGATGGGGTCGAGCAATATATAGAGAGGCCTAACACCACTTCAGACAGAGGTGGAGGAACTCATTTGGGCTACGCAATGCATGCTGGAACATAATCAACATAGGGTTGTCTTTGAAGATGGTGTCAAATCCATATGAATGGTTAGTCTTTACAATCCTCTTAGAAGAAATTGAGAAGTGCCCGAAGATCTTCACCGAATGTTCTATAGACTACACCCCAAGAACCAATAACAAGAGGGGAACAAGCTAGCACAAAGTGCAAAAGATTTCCCCTCCGAGTTATACTACATTAACTCTACACCACCGACCTGGATCACCAGAACGATATAGAAGGAGGCTGTTGACAAAAAAAGAGAGAGTTGGAGATGCTCTAAATAGCCACATATTGGGGATAGGATTATTTTGTCGTGGCTAATAGCAACCGGATTATCACCCAAAACATCATAGCCAAAATAGTTCTTTTGTAAACATCAGTAACCATAATCGTTTTGTAACCAAGCGTCACAAAAATATTGGCCATTGATATTGGATGTACCAAAATGTTGTTAATTTAATTAGGTATTTGATTTGGTTTTTGCTAATTCGTTTGAATATTAATTAATTCAAAATTAAATATAAATACTGAAATTTGCAAAAAAAAAACATAATTAACACAAGAGTTAGGAAATATAAAACAAAAGTCATTAAAGTAAGAAACTAAAATATGCATCAAAAGAGATTAAAGGATGTAATTATCGAAAGTGTACAGTTTTACAAAAAAAAAAAGTGTACAGTTTTACAAAAGTGTACAGTTTTAAATATATATATATATATATATATATTTAAATGTGTACATTAGGGAGTCACATTGTAGTCCACCACGGACAACTTCAATCCTCGACGCGGTGGGCTAGGTGGCTGAACAGTGGTTGCTGCTGAGACGGTTGTTGCTGGATGGTTCCCTGTGTTGTTGCTGCACCTCTCGCCACACTCTGAACGAGGTAGTTCACATTAGCTTGAACTGTGTCAAACTTGCCGCCAAGAGCAGCTACAATGCTCTTCATTCCTGCAAACTTTGAATCCTTGGGGGTTGGACGTGAGTAACAAGCTAATGAAACATTTCAAGGAAGTTTCTTAGATGTCCACACATAGTAGTTTTCTGTGAAATCTTAGGTGCATAAGTGATGTCATGCCCTACGGTAATTGCATCCAAAATGCTTCATATTCTTATTGGGTACATAGTTTCTTTCTCGATGTACGATTGCTCATTTTGTACAAAGTTTGAAAAATATGTTCATTCCATCAACAAATATATCAACACACTATGTTTAATTAACCGGATCCAATCTTTGATACATCCACTCTTTTTCATGTAATATTTTGAGTGAAAGACATTTGAAAGAAGAAAATTTGAGTAATTTGTGAGGGTTCTCAAAGTAGATGTGGAATGAGGATTTCACGTATATCGGTATATGTAAAACAAAGCATGGTCACTGATAGCCACTAAATAAATGGTAGCCAGTAACATTCATAAATAATTAGTGTAGTGTCTCTAATCTCTTAGCGTTTAAGAAAATCTTTAGGAAAATTATTAACCATCATGCTCGTAGGTATTCAAGCTAGGCCATTGCATTAATCAGAGGAAACATTTTTGACTTTAGTGTGTACAAGATACTGAAGCAACCAGGAAAAGACTCTGGGTGCATCAGAAGGTTTTAAAGGTCTATTTTAATTGGTCTCAAGAAAAGAAATGTGTTCTCTTAAATCTGAATGCACAATTTTAGGAACTTTCTTCTACTGACGTGGAAAAAAGGCATAACAGCCTCAAATAGCTGTTATAATATTTATTTATTCAATTAAAAAAGATTAGTTTCCTCTGGCTCTGGCTTTCCTTCTCCTTCAACTTTCTTTCTCGCCACCATGATTTGATTGATTCCTCCGGAAAATTCAATCTCTTTGAACGTCTCTGATTATCCTCTTTCTCCTCCGCCTCAAGGATACAAGGAAAATCGAAATTGTCGATCAAAGCATACATTCTCTCACCATTTCTGATTTCTCCATGAAATTTGTTTTCTCTGTAATATAGAAAGAACATTTTCCCTATTCTGGTATGCGCCAAAATAATCTGAATTGCCTTTGTTCATATTTTTCATTGGAAATCTTTGAGTACATATTGTGGAATATTCATTGAAGCTTCTTCTTGTTATTTCACCCCAAAAAAAGTTTCTTCTTGTTTGTGTGAAAATATCAAATCTTGCGTCTAGATGATGATGATTTGTCTAAATTATTTCAGAATTTTGACAGAAGAGAAAAGAGAGAGAGAGATCGGATAGTTTCAGGCTATTGAAATGGCTGGTTCATCGAGAAAAAGTCTATCTTTCTCTGGTCATTCATTTCAAGGGAGAAAGAAAGCTTTTGAAAACAACGAAAATGGTGACCTTCCTCCACGAAGATCTCTCACATCTTCTCGTTCTTCAATGTAAATCATCATCATCCTCAAGACCATTTTCTCATTTTTATTCCTCTTTAAATATTTGAAGCTTTTCTTGTATTTTTACTTACTATTTTCTTGCATGTTGTTGTAGAAGCTTGAGTGGTGAAAGAAGTGGAGAGAGAACTGTAAAGAGATTAAGGTTGTGTAAGGCTCTTACTGTACCTGATAGCACAACTTTATATGAAGCTTGCCGAAGGATGGCTTCACGTCGCGTTGATGCTTTATTGTTGACTGATTCTAATGCATTACTTTGTGGGATCTTAACAGACAGGGTAAATAAAAGATCAAAGTTTCTTGATTAGTTTTTTTTTTCAATGCAAAACTGTTATTTTTTTTTTTTTTTGTACTTATTAATTGGATTTTTGAATTAGGATATAGCAACAAGAGTGATTGCTAAAGAGCTCAATCTTGAAGAAACACCAGTATCTAAAGTTATGACCAAAAACCCTGTTTTTGTTTTGTCTGATACTATGGCTGTGGAAGCTCTTCAAAAGATGGTGCAAGGTTTGTTGTAAAGCTTAAAGAACAACACATTTTCTTTTCTTGCTCCTCTTTCATGAAATTTTTGAAAACTGAACATGTGGTTCTTGCAGGGAAATTTAGACATTTGCCTGTTGTAGAAAATGGAGAGGTTATTGCGCTTTTAGATATCGCAAAGTGTTTGTACGATGCAATTGCTCGTATGGAAAGATCAGTTGATAAAGGTAAGGCTATCGCCGCAGCTGTTGAAGGCGTCGAAAAGAACTGGGGCACATCTATTGCTGGTATCTCCCGAACCGCTTTTTTGAGTTTTTTCTTGCATAAACAGAAATGAGGGTCTTTGATGGTATCTTGTTAATTGGATACAGGACCAAATACGTTTATGGAGACACTTAGAGAAAGAATATTCAAGCCTTCACTTTCAACTATAATTCCAGAGAATACAAAGTAGGTAAATATCTCCTTTAAGTTTGTATATTTTATAAATCACTTTGATATGGTTATTGTTTTTTTGTTAAAGAGTGATGTAAAACTTAACTAGTATAATTTGGAATTAAAACTTACAGAGTTCTAAAGGTTGGACTTGAAGAGACAATACTAGAAGTAACCATGAAGATGGTGGAATATCAATCTAGCTCAGCTATGGTGATGGTTGAGAACAAATTAGCAGGGATTCTCACGTAAGCCTCATATTTAATCTGCCTTGTTTCTCTGGTTTAAGAAAATTTGTCTCTAAATGATCTACTACATAATACTACAAAAACTTTTGGTTGAATATCTTGATTAATATGTGATATGTTGTTATGTTAGATCAAAAGACATATTGATGCGGGTGATAGCACTAAAGCTTCCTCCAGAGACGACTACCGTGGAGAAGGTAATATTTTGCACAAAATACCATACTGGGAATGAGTCAATACACACATTGCCAATTGGTTTTTCGTTGAAACTGTTATGAGTAATTAACTTTAATTTTTCCCTAGACTTATATTAGTGATCTTTACTTGTAATTTTTTTTTTGTTTCTTTGCGACGATTCTATAGGTTATGACACACAATCCAGAATCTGCAACAGTTGATATGGCAATTGTTGACGCCTTGCATATCATGCATAATGGAAAATTTCTTCATCTTCCTGTATTAGATAATGGTAAACAAACTTCCTCAAGAGAGACTCTAAGCAATTAAAGTTTGATGCATTGTTTATTCAGACACCTCTCTAATGTTCATGCAGATGGAGATGTTGTAGCTGGCATTGATGTAATCCACATAACTCATGCTGCTGTTACCACGGTACGTTGATTTTTACTTTTTCTATGCAACATTCTAAGTATGAAACATGAAATAAGACTGGTGACAAAATCGATATTTGTTACCATTCTTGTTTGACGTTTTGGTATAAGCTTCAACTTGTTTTTTCAACTAGGCGGGGAGTACGGCTGGAATAAATAACGAGACAGCAAACTCAATGATGCAAAAGTTTTGGGATTCAGCTATGGCTTTGTCTCCTAACGAAGATGGAGACGAGACAACAAGGAGGTTCTTCACTCATTTTTCACTTAGTTTTGGACTAAAAGCCTGTTGTTTTTGGGATGATGATCATTATTTTTGTCCTTTTCAGTGAAGAAGAATCATTGAAGATGTCTTCTGAGATTGAAGGGGCAAAATCATTTTCATATCCCAACACATTTGCTTTCAAACTCAAAGATAAAAAAGGACGGATGCATAGATTCATGTGTGGTACGTTTATTCATATATTAAGTATATAACTCTTACGTACCATTCATTCTGATGTAGAGATATTTCATTTTACAACTTTTTGTATTTCTTGCTGATTACAGAAACACAGAGTTTGACAACTCTGATAACTGCAATACTACAACGGATGGGGGATGACATTGAGCAAGATAACTTGCCTCAGATAATGGTACATTATTTATTCGAAAAGCTTTCGGAAAATGAAATTTCTTTCTTGACAATACTTTGTGCTATGTAGTACGAAGATGAAGACAATGACAAAGTCATTTTGGCATCAGATGGTGATCTTGGAGCTGCTGTAGAGCACGCCAAATCAATAGGCTGGAAGGTAATTAATAATAATCAATAGTACAAAAAACTATTCTAACCTTAGTAGTTTCTAAGTCCGGTTTTTTTGGGATTGTTTGATTTTGAGCTATATATATATTCCAACATTGGTGCAGGGCTTGAAATTACACTTGGAGTACATAAAAGAGAGAGGGAACAGGAGGGGTTTGAGCTCAGAGGGTATGGACTACGAGCAATCAAACTCATGGGCAGCCGCTTACAAAACAGTTGCAGCCGGGGCTGCTCTTGCCGCTGGACTTGGAGTTTTGGTGTACTTTAAACGCCACTCAAACTAACTGATTTCATTTTGTCGGAGATATGGCAAATTGCTTTTTATAAGCCTAAGCTTGGGAAGTATAAGTCTTCGTTTATTTGTCTTCTTGTTTGTTTTTGATCTTGTTACTCGTTTTTTTTCTGTCTTAACCTTACTCATTTAACTGTATATAAATAACTAGGGGGAAGCCTGCAGAGATTGTGTTTCTATGAATTTAATAAAACTAGGAGAGAACCCGCGCAATGCGCGGGTTTATTAAACCAAATATTTTTAATTTAATTATTCAGAACATTAGATTCGAATATATCATTTGTTTTTTACTCGAATATATTAGATTCTGTAAGTTTTGCATTTTGTTTTTTTTCATATAGTTTTAAAATTTAGTTGTTATTTACGTGAAATCTTATATAGACTCATAGTGAATAGTTTCATATGTTTTTTGTTCTTTTATACAATAATTTATCGACTGGAGTTGAGTTCTTCTAATTTTCCTTATACTAACAATCATTATAGATTGATTATTATCCTACAGACTCATAGATAATAATAATTGCAATCCTTTTTAAAAGGAAATGAAATGAGCTAATTAGCCAGTAAGCCCATTTAAAGCTACCATGGAAACGAAGAGGTCCGATAAATAATCAAGCCTATCAAAACGAACAACATTACACATAATTTTGATTTAGATTTTTTTTTTTTTTTACGAAAACGACGTCGTTTTGGTGTAAGACGAAAAAAAAAAGATAACGCGCAAAACGACGTCGTTTTGGTGTAAGACGAAAAAAAAATAAAAAATAAAGCGCAAAACGACGTCGTTTTGGTGTTAGGCGAAAAAAAAAAAAAAAAAAGAGAGAGTGCCACGTGTCAAAGACTTGAGAGTGTCCAAGCCTTATTAGTTATGTAGATTTTGTTTCTTATTTATTAGTATTTTTTTTGTTTGTGTAAATTTTGTATATTATGTATTTTATTCTAATATTGTATAGTTACTTTTTTCTTAAAATCTAAGCATCTGACATTTGTCTACACACTTGTCCTACTAATATCAATGACACTTGTCATTTCCATTCTAAACTCAACTTTAAGACGTTGAACTAGAAAAGAAATAGACTTTGACTTATAAATTGGTTGAAGCATTTGGTGAATATAATAAATCTCATTGCTATCATGCAAGAAACAAAAATAACAACATGTGTATATGTTTTTCTTCCTTTACACATGCATAGAAACAAAAGCATGACAAGTAAAAAAATAGAAACCAGAGCTCTTCTTGATGTTCAAATATAGGGTAAGGGAGGAGCCGCCCTAGAATCTGTCTCAGCTGCAATATAAACCACACTTTCTCAATAAAATTTTCTCTACCTCTTCGATTAGTGATCAATGTTATTATATATATAACTCTCTCAGCATCACACAGTTTCTAATTCATATACTACCATTTGCTACAATACACATGTCACTAATTAATAACATATATAATAACTATCTATCAAATGACTAATCCTAAAATACTCAAAATTTCTTACGTATTCATATCAAGCAAAAGGTATAGAGATCTAGACACAATTGCTAAACGTGGATCTCAATACCAAAAAAAAAAAATCAAATAAAATGTGAAAAGGGATTTAGGAGGCAACCTTGACCAAGGAATACGTGAACCATATCAGGAGATACACTAAATGTAACGTGTTGCCGGATCTGACCTCGAAGTCCAGTTAGTGACTGAAACTTGATTGCCTGAGAGATACAAATAATCGAACCTCTTGGTTACTGTTAAGAATGCATTTAAGTCCATCGTAGTAGTTGTGTTCAAATGGTATAGGTAAAGATATTGGAGCGACTTGAGATGCAACAAGATGCTAAAGTCAAGTGAGCATTTGGTGTTTATATAAGAAAGATCAAGTAACTGAAGGTTGAGTAATGGGGAAATGGATGTGGGGATTGGCCCTATGAAGTTGTTATTGCCAAGGTATAAAAATACAAGCTTAGATGATGAAGATGTATTCCCAAATTCAAGAGTACCGTTGAGTTGGTAGAAGAAAGAGTAATAAGAAATTAAGAATGATACTCATCGAGTTCCAAGATACTTTCTGCATCTTTCTTTATAGTAATTTATCTTTCTTGAATATCAAGTAATGAAAGAAGCAAGAAATGAGAACTGGAAAGTGTGTGAATGATTGAATGGTGGGGTTTTTTATGCTCATTTCTTTACATACAAAACAATAGACCTTTACCTACTCCACAAAAATAAATTCACTCACTAACGTATCTTTCTCCAAGTGAAGCTTGGTTCCCTCCAGACGGCAACAAAACTGACTGAGAACAACGTTGTTGTTGTTGTCGTGTCTAGTAAGAGTAAGACCAGCTTTCACAAATATCATAAGCCCTGTTAAAAACATCACGGTCTTCATGACTCTTCAACTTCTCGATCGCTTCTGCTTTATCATCAATTAGCGCAGCGTAGCGGCCTCCACAGCGCAAAATCTTACCCAGTGCGTCAAGGCAAGTTGATAGGACTCGAGGATGCGTCGATACCAGGAGATCGCATATTGGTTTTGTGCATCCTTGTTCCAAAAGGACACTGTATAACAAACGGGAACAGAATATTTGATATACATAAACCCAGAGTGTATATATATAAGAGAGAAGGAAACACTTGAGAACATTATACCTTATTTGATCATAAGGAGCATATATAATTGCATTTGCAATTGCCAGTGCAGCTACTTCTTGACAGACTAACTGAGCATTTTGTGAAAGAGTAACCAAGAGGGGAATCAAGCCAGCATCAATTACTGCCTGCAACATTTTGAAATTAATGAACACATGAGGCAGGTCTGGAAAAGGACAACAGTACGTAGAAGCCTTCCTACCTTGATCTGATCATTGGTGCCTCTTGTGATTCTTCTGATCGCCAGGCAAGCACAACGAGCGATTTCTTCTTTGCAGCCACGAGTGAGGAAATCGCGGAGAAGAGGTAGAGCACCACTATTGATCACAGTCTGGGGCAAAAAAAAAACGATTGAAGATATATTTTTCAAATACGTAATATATTTTTCTTCGAGCTTTGATAACGAAGTTGGGAAAGAAAAATGAAAATTTATGGTCGTATCTTTGGACCTGTTCCTATATATTATATATATTCCATATGCACAAGACAAGTATTTGCGAGAATTCAGTACACAGCTTTGGGGTAATTCATACCTGGATTTGTTGACAATTATCAGTAGTGACAGCTGAAATGGAGAGAAGTGCAGCACAATTCACAGCTCGAGAAGGATGGCTGCAAGATCAAGAGCAGGGGGTGGTAAAGCTATATTTAGTGTGAAGGGGACAGAAAAATAAAGGGAAGGGTAGTACTGACTGGAGAAGTTCAACAAATCTTGCGACTAGACCGGCGTCGACGACAGGCTTGCAACGAGAAGAGATGACTTCTTCGGGCTCATAATATAGGTTTGAGATAATCACACACGAATCTTTCAAGACTTGTGCATCATTCATATAAATAAACCAAACAAGGGCCGGAAGAGCGCATATCACCTGTTAAAGTCACATGTCAAATCAAAATATAATATAATCCTATTGAAGAAACAAGACCTAGAGAAAGAAAAAGAAATCAAGACCTGGTCAGGCCACTGGCGACACAATTGTACCAGGGTCCAAGAGGTAATTTCAATCATGGAAAAGTTGCATGGTCCATGCATCTTTAGCTGATTGAGAAGCGGCGTCATTGCCCCACATGCAAGAACAAGATCACGGGACTGTGGTGAATCCCGAGCAACATGACCCAAGGCCTCTACAGCCTGCAAGATTAGGGCTAGGTTTAGGTTAGAGCTGTAATCTTGAGACGTAAGACATAAATTCGGTAAACAAACAAACCATACCAATTCACGGATATCATCTCTAGGGGAAGAGAGCATCTTGACAAATATCGGAACAGCATTGTGATTGATCAAAAGCTGTGTGTTATCAGATGTTTTTAGTTTGCAAAAAGGGCCTGTGTGATGAGATGGTGGTGCAAGCGTAATGTTTGTCAGAGCCCGAGCAGCCTCACACTAGAAAAGATCATACAAGATTGAGATTACACTTACACACACACACACACACAAGACTGAATAATGAATAGAACGAGATGATGATGATTTCTCTCACCTGAAGCTGAGGGTGGTCCTCCTTCATAAGGAAGGAAACAAACCGAGGCACAAGACCAGAACTTATCACTTGCTCAATAGGAGGAAGTCTCTCTAGGCGGGACCAAACACATATATAAGCCAGACGAATAGATTTTAAAAGAGAAACTAAATATGAGATTTTAGCATTACCGGTAGATAGCTTCCTGAATAGAGTAGTGGACTCGAGCTGCAAAGAAGAATCATCCGACCAACACCCAGCCACCGTCATATCCAGCTTCAAGGAATTCGAATTCTATTTTCAGAAGAAAAAAAACGCAGAAACGAAACCCTAAAAATAGAACACACAAACAAACAAAAAAAGTCGACTACTACGGATACAATCGCTTTATCAGACGCGGAGGGAGATGGATGGAAGTACTGGTCACCCCCCTTGCTCTCCACTATGTTGTCCTCTCTACTCCACACCATGGTGGCTCACGCTCGAAAGAAAAAACCCCGATTTAAGGAACGACAAGGCGAATATTGTACTCTCGACTTAAAGACACGACGACGCAACCCGCGCTCTTGCGTGGAATAAGAAATTTATAAATTATTTTATTATCTATGATGATTTTTATAATTTTAATAAATTTTATATATGTGAAAATAATATTTATGAGTAATAAAATATTTTTAGGTAAGTAAGAAAATTACAGTTATATGGTTTTATATTAAACAAAACAAAAATCATATTAAGAAACGACAAGGCAAAAGAGATGACGGATCTCAGACCAATCTGTCTTTGTTCAGTGTTATACAAGATTGTCTCCAAGATCATGGTGAAAAGATTGCAACCCTTCTTGAGCCAAATAGTGTCAGTAAACCAATCAGCGTTTGTGGCGGAGAGATTGATCTCGGACAATAGCATTATTGCCCATGAGCTGGTCCATGGTTTGAGAACACATGACAGAATCAGTGGGGAGTATATGGCAGTAAAATCTGATATGTCAAAGGCATATGATAGAGTGGAGTGGGGTTACTTGACTGCTTTGCTGACTGCTTTAGGGTTACATAGTGAATGGGTGAAATGTGTTATGATTTGTGTGACATCGGTGTCCTATTCGGTGCTTATCAATGACCAACCGCATGGGATAATCACGCCTATAGAGGACTGAGATAAGGAGATCCGTTATCTCCTTTCCTCTTTGTTTTGTGTACGGAGGGACTCTCTCATCTCCTGAATGGTGCCGAGAAAAGAGGAGAACTTCAAGGTATTAGTTTTCAGGAAGGAGAGCCTGCTGTTCACCATCTTTTGTTTGCAGATGACAGTTTGTTCCTTTGTAGAGCAAATGAGCAGGATTGTGACACGCTTGGACACATCTTATCAATCTATGGGAAGGCAACGGGACAGATGATTAACCAGAAAAAATCATCCATCACTTTTGGGAAAAAGATTGGAGTGGTACAAAGGAAGAGAATTCAAGAAAAGCTTCAGATATTCAATGAAGGAGGGGCTGGTTCATATCTGGGTTTGCCATAGTGTTTCAGTGGATCGAAGGTGAAGCTTTTCGGTTACATCAAGGAAAAAGTCCAGAACAGAGTCTCAGGATGGTTTACAAGAACTCTTTCTCAAGGAGGCAAAGAAGTCTTAATGAAATCTGTGTTATCGGCAATGCCAGTGTATGCCATGTCTTGCTTCAAACTGCCAAAAGTGACTTGTGATAATCTGAGAAGTGTAATGGCGAATTTTTGGTGGAGTGCAGTGGAGCATAAAAGTAAGATTCATTGGGTCAGTTGGGAAAAAATGTGTTTGCCTAAGCACTTAGAAGGTCTAGGGTTCAGAGATATTGCGGATTTCAATCAAGCCTTGGTGGCTAAACAGGCTTGGAAAATCCTACAGGACCCTAATTGTTTGATGGCCAGACTGCTCAAAAGTAGATACTTCCCTGCGTTGCCTTTTCTCTCTCCCCCGATTGGAAATCGTCCTTCTTACGCTTGGAGGAGCATAGTGTGGGGGAGAGAACTGCTTGAAAAAGGGCTCAGGAAGAGAGTTGGTAATGGCAATACGTTAAGTGTTTGGACAGATAAATGGATTCAGGACGATATCCTAAGGCTCCCGTGGCGGATGGTATTCCCTTTTAACGTCAATCTGTTGGCCAAGGACCTTATTGATTTCCACACCCGAAGATGGAATGAGAGTAAACTTAGAGAGACTTTCTATCCGGAAGATGTCGAAAGGATCATGATGGCACAACCAGTCACTCGAGGTGAGGACTTTTGGAGTTGGAATTTTAACCATAGTGGAGACTATTCGGTTAAATCAGGGTTCTGGCTAGCGTCGGTGGAGAACAAAAAAAGAGTGAGAGAAGTGGCTAGTGCTCTCCCTTTCATTAACTGCCTCAAGATGAGTGTTTGGTCTCTCAAAACGACCTCCAAGATACAAAATTTCCTATGGAAAGTGCTGAATGGTGCAGTTGCAGTGGTAGACAAATTGAAGGAAAGAGGAATGGTTATTGATTCTATTTGTCAAGCTTGTGGCCTATCAGGTGAATCCATCAACCACGCCCTCTTTACCTGTTCTATTTCTCGTCAAATTTGAGCAATGAGTGGTTTCCCGGTTCCAGAGAATAGGTTTGGGGAATCGATCTATGTGAATATCCTTCACCTAATGAGTCAGTGCCTTAATGAGAGACTGCATAAAGAAGTGAAGAAAAGATTCCCCTGGGTGTTATGGTTTATATGGAAGAATATGAATTTGTTCTTGTTTGAAAATAAATCTTTGGATGCTAGGAAGATAATGGGAAAAATCATAGAAGAGATGGAGTTCTGGTTTCTTGCACAGGAAGTGGAAGAACGTTTCGGAGATGCTCGGTCTGAGGTCTCAGGAAATATCATTCGGAAATGGAGACCTCCACCAAAACCGTGGTTAAAATGCAATGTGGCTAGTTTCTGGTCAGAAGAGAGGAAACTTGGTGGAATGGCGTGGGTTCTGCGAGATGATGAAGGGAAGGTCTTGTTACATAGTAGAAGGGCTTGGGATGGTCTAAAGTCGAAATCAGACTGCAGCTTTAAGTGTCGAACTTGGGCGGCTGAGAGTTTGATAAGCCATGGTGTGATGAAGGTAGTGTTTGCGTCGGAAGACGGTGATTTGGTGCAGTCGCTGATATCACCATATTTTACATGATTTTACTATATAATTACCTATGTTTTCAAACGGTTTTTGCAAGATTCTTTGCCTTTAGAGGTAGTTTTCTTGTATTTGTGGGATTTGAAGTCTTTGTAGGTGAAATAATCAAAAAGGATGCAAAAAGGAGTAAAAGAGCCCTAAATCAAGATCCATGCAAGTTTCCAAGTCAAGAAGATCATTTTATCTCCAAGTGTTAGTTCTCGCTTGCGCGCAGAACGAAGCTTCGGAAGTTTGGCCGCGCGCGGAGGAGTTCCCGACGTCCAAAAGTTACGATCTTGATATGGAAAGATAGATACTTGAGTCATGCATCACGTCGAAGTGGAATGAAGCCATTTGGATCAACTATGAGGCCTAGACTTATTTTCTACCGAGACATGTCCGGTAAGCGAGCAAACGAAGCCCATGGAGGATTTGGAGTGTCTAATGGCCCGAGCAGCAGCGCCAAAGGCCTTGATCGAATAGAGAAGAGGCCTGGCTAATGTTTGGAGCTTTCCTTGGTACAATGTCGGCCCATACACGACGTGGAGAAGAAGGCTTTGCTCGCGGGAAACTTTCCTTTTCCGGCATGAAGAAAACCCTACGCGACTTCGCCCATATATACATGTTTTTAGCCGCTGAAGAAGAGATCGAGTCCAGTCCGAAAATTATCAAAGAGTTACGTGTGAGAAGAGAGAGAAGAGAAGAGAAGCCCTAGGAGATCGTCCAAGAAGAAGGAGGCGCCGCTCAACTCTTGTTCTTTCTTTTTCATTGTTTCCATTTCTATAAACTTGATCTTAAGAGTTTTCAAGGGAGAATCCGACTTTGTTCATCAATAGAGAAGCTTTCTTCATCCCTTTATCTCTTTTAATACTTGCATAATGTTTACAATCATGCTTTGCTTGCTTGTTTGCATCATGGCCGAGTAGATCTCTTAGTTAGGCCGAGGAGATCTATGGTGGCCGTGATGATTTGATTGTGTTGCAACTTATTGGGATTTATCTTATGGATCTTCACCTTTACTTGAGCTTAATGCATGATTACTCTACCGTACATCTAGTAATCTGATCTTAGAGAAATAGAACCACGACAGTGCTGAATCTAGATCTCAAAACTAGTATTTGGTGAGCAATAGATCATAGCCAACGAAAGCTGAGTTATGGTTTATTGTGAACAATTGAATCTTGAACCTTGTAATGCATGTTTGCAATTCTAATAGCCAACGAAAGCTGAGTATATTAGGTTGTTTTAAACATAGTGGTTGGAGCCACGACAGTGGAAAGACCATACACTAGTGATTCATGTTCAAGACGGCTCTACACACATCCCATGCAACTATCTTTTCATCATTGCTCCATATGATTGTCCTTTGCCTAACTCTTGTTTTAAATTGTTTACAACTCACTCACATCTTTTGTTTGTTTTCTCATTCTAGGTCCAAAACCACCTCATATTGCGAGCTAGCTACAAACCAATCTCACAAGGTGTTAAGTGAGAACACTTCCTCCTCGTGTTCGACCCCGACTACAACACGGCTGTGCACTTGCAGCTCATTAGTTGGGTTTATAAATTGTGAAAATTTGAGGCAATCTAAACCCGCCATCAGTCGCTAAAGAGACCTATTGCGTGGCTCTCTTTTAGGTTGCAAACCTCAGACTTGTATCATGTTTTGACGTGTTTTAGGAGCTGGAGAATTGACCAGGAAGTGAGGGGCTTTTCTCATTGCTCGAAGTGTTATCAAAGAAAGCTTGCTGCAATCGTATGTAGTAAGAGGTCCGCCTCGTTGGCTTAAGGTGATCTTTGATTCTGAGAAATTTCTTCCCTCTGTGTGAGGTGTAGTTTTTTTGGGTGTTGGTTTGGTGGTTTTTGTGCCCTTTCTTCCTCTAATCATCAGCTTTTGGTATGATGGATTAGAGAGACCCTGCTTGTTTTGGGTTGAAAGTCTTTTTGGAGTAGAGATGAGAGTAGTTGTGATTGTTTGGTGTGTAACACCGTGAACCTTTTTCAATATAATTTTAGACGACAAAAAAAAAAAGGAACGACAAGGCGAATATTGTACTCGACTCACAAACACGACGACGCAATGTGTGCAGTTGTGGAGGAGATAAATAAGAAGAACCCTAAAATACAAGATACAAGACTATACACAAAGAGTTTCTTTAATTTTTTTTCTTAAATTGATTTTCGTTAAAAGGAAAAAAAGAAACTGATGATAGGATTTTACGTGGATGAAGTGAATGAAGGATGATATGAAATGAGGTGGAATGCAAACAGGGGTGAATAGAGATGAGATGGTATGGTGCAATCACAATCAATCAATTCCTCTTAACCATCATAGTCATTGAAGTATAAGAGGTTATCAATCCATAAGGGTGAGATGTTGCTCTATGAGAATATGCAAACACAAGAAAGTCAAGCCAAATGATTAAATGGAGGGATGTAACAACTAAACAACCTAATATGAAATGAAATGCAAGCAAAAGCAGTAAATAAAAGCAGCTCGACCAAGAGCTCGATCGAGTTGATGAGCTCGATCGAGTTGAGGGTCGAGTTGGTGTAAAAACAGAGGAAAGCGAATGAAAAGCAATAAAGGTGCAAACTTTAAGATGCTAATGCGAAGATTAGGGTTAAAGACAGGGTTTTGCAGCTAAAGGGAGGCTATACTTAATCAGTCTTGCTCTTAAACAACTTGTACTCAAGCTATCTCTTGATATTGAGCTTCTCAATGCCTAGCTAACCCTTTCCCAAGGTGAAAGCTATCAACCAAGACTTGATCTCAGAAACAGGGGGTTAGCCAGTGAGAATCAAGCCTTGGAGGCCATAGGATCATTGCTCAAACTAATCCATCCAACCCCTATGAACTCCATTTCGAGAGCAAGAGTTATTGGAGCTCTTAGTGGACCTTTTCCAACGATTTCCATCACTTCCATGTGGAGAATCGCCTATGGACATACAAGCCAGGGATAGTGGTCATGTAGCCTTAAGGTTTGTCCAAAAGAGAGAGATTTCTAGATTAAGAACATAAAGCAAGAGAGATTAAGCATAAACAACCTCTAACCTATCCCATCTTAAACCCTAAAGGGAACTACTCACTACACATGATGAAATAAACAACCAAATGCAATAAAGAGACATCAAAAGATAGAGGAGATAAAGATAAACAACTTTTATTGAAATAGCAAAGTGCAAAAACACAATAACAAGGCCTAGATCTAGGTTCTATGAGCAAGAGCTCAAGAACACAAAGAGAGGCTAAAAAGTAAAAAGGGAAATGCAAATACAAGATTAATTAAAAGTTGAGCAAAGCTATGTTTAATTCGTGGCTCAATGCCATTTATAGTAAAGCAAACTAGGTTTAGGGTCAAAGGGGAGTCAAAGGGAAGCAACATTTTTCGGGTTTGACTTTGACTCCTGGAAAAGCAGCTCGATCGAGTTGGAAACTGGCCGGTCGAGCTGGTGGGTCGAGTCCAACCAATATCGTCGTATCTTCTGAACCGCTGGTCCGAATGACATGAAACCACCTCCAGACGAAAGCTAACTCAATTATCCACAACTTCCAAGAAGAAGTCAGAGGCTGAATCGAGTGGAAACCCTTCATTTGATACGATACTTCGGACGCATCTCACTAGCTCGACCGAGTGCGGGTCCGTACATGGGGCAGACAGAGTCTTTCCTTCCTCAACTAGTCTCCAGTGATAGGCAATGTTCCAATTAGCTCCAAATGACCTGATTAAGACATCAAACGTGCACATGTATGCAAATGCAAGCCTAAAACTACTATGTATGCAAAAGAAGGGAAAACATCAAGAAATGATGCTTTGGGTGAATGAAACTATGCAAAAGATGCATAAAAGAAGGGCTAAAACCATGTAAAATGCAAGTACATCAACACCCCCAAACTTGACCTTTGCTTGCCCTCAAGCAAACAAATATAACAAGAAAGGGATGAGGTTTGAAAACAAATTGATTCAACCTTTAAAACATGTCCTCAAAAGCGATTTGCTAAATGTCCAACTTAGAGATTCTAGAATGCAACAAGGTGAGAGATATTCATTAAGATCTTAACCATGCTTATCAACATCAATCCCACTTCACAGTCACTCAAACAATGCATTCAAATCAGCAAATCCCTTTAACATTCATTAAGAAAACAGTGAACCAAAAACATGCAAGATCAATCAACTCATTTGGTTTCAAGGGTTATGGGTTAAGAGACAAAGAGGTCTCTTTTGAGTGTATGGTGGTTTAGTAACAGGGATCTCTCAAGAAAGTGGCTTTGCTTTGGCAGAAGGCTAAGTGTTAGAACCAAAGATGGTGCAAGGACAGCAACTCGAGCCGCCTAATCCTAACTCGATCGAGTTCAACACTTAGAGCTTTTTAGAACAAAATCCTAACTACCCTTTTTGGCATTTCGCCTTTGAAACTGAGGAGCTTTGCTCACTTTTCTTTTAAGAACATCCTAGGGAGAGGCTTCTTGAGGTAACATCTAGCGGTTTGGGATTTCTAAACACTTAGGGAACTTTTCTTCACTTTTTGACACTTGAGGCTTTGCCTTCTTTTCTTTCTACTTAGAACCCTTTTTACTTTCTTTTTTAACTTCCCAAACCTTTACTAGACCCTTTTTTAACACTGCCAACTCCCTGGACTTAACTAAACTCTTTTTCCTTTGGATTTTCCCAACTTTTACCACTTTTCTGGTTTTTACCCTCAACTCGATCGAGCTCGAGTTGGCACCCCCAAACTTAGCCTGAAAACAATCCCAAGAGAACTAGACAACTAGAACTACTGCCCCTGCCGGTTTAAACACAACACCTTATGCTAAGCAAAGCCAAGAAAGGTTCTCACAATCGCACAAGAGATAATATGGGGTTTGAAATGAAAAAGGCTTAGGTTTAAGGTGGGTAACTGTCTCAAAGATGGAGATCAGCTATCTGGACAAGCAAGAGGGATATGAAAATAGGTAAAGAATGTCCAGATATGTATGTGGTAGCCATGAGTTGAAATCAAATGCAAGCATTGGTAATTAAAGATCAAATTATGGTTCAAATAGATAGGGAATGCATCAAATCACAGCAATGGTTGAATGAGATGTTGATGCAGTGATATGATCAAGATAAACATGGTACTTGCTGCTCAATCAATCTCACCCTAATGCACAAGAGAATCTAGAAGATGGGCACTTAAGAAATCGCAAATGATAGACAAGTTTTCAAGATCAAATCAATAATGCAAATGAAAGATGCAATCCTAAACAATTCTAAGAGATATGAATGCAAAAAGATGAAAATATTTTTGTATTTTTGAAAATTTTATGATTTTTTTGGTTTTTCTATGCAAATAGATGAATGAAAAACTAAGAACAGAATAAACAAGGTTAAATCATCTCTTGAACCCTCCCCCAAACTTAAATCACACAGTCCCTTGTGTGAAAGAAGCTCAAAGAAAGATTCAAGAGGGAAAAACAAAGAAAAATGCATGAAAATGAGATGGTATGTACAAGGGAATAAACGTTTGATACCTTAGTGCTCCCCAAAGAACTGGGAAGCAAGGTCATGAGTTGGAGAGGGCAGGAGACAATAGCATCATAACGGCATCAATCAAGCCAAAATAGGTGTGGTGAGATTGGCTCGATCGAGTCTGTGCTCGAGTCAGAATAGCTTCCCTTTTGAACTAACTCCTGCAAGCCTTAGACAGAAACAACTACAAAGAACTTAAATGAAAGCATTATATACAAGATAGACATGGGAATTCCTCCCAAGTGAGCTTGTTTTAGGTCGCATAGCTTGACCTTTTACCTTTTAGGCATGAATGAGAGCGGTCCCGCCATCAAATGTGACAGTAAGGACTGAAGATAGGAGCTCCTTGAGCTTGGTTTGATCTTTTTGCAGCTCAGGACTGACCAAGGCATTGATACTGGAAAACGGTTTAGACTTTCTCTTGCACTTGATCTTGTACTCAATCTTCCCATTTGTGAACTTGGATGGCAACAGAGTCAGGGTAAGCTGGGATGGAGCGCTTGAGAGAGTCTGAGGCGTGATCATCTTTCTTTTATGTCCAGGAGACGCCTTCAAAGCCATACCCTCCCCATCTTTTTGAGCACTTCCTAGCTGCTCACTAAACAAAACTGCAAGACCCATCTCATCCAGAACACAAGGTTCACAAATAACTGGCTCTGTGCTGCTCTCAGTCATTATCTCCATCTTTTCAACCTCAGCAAACTCATCACCCTTGATGCTCAGTGACTTAGTGGCAATGGTTCCACAATATTTAGAGCTTGATGCCTTGAGAGGGTAAGAGACTTTGCTGTTGACATTGTGCAGGATCACTTTCTTTGTATGGAAATCAATGGAGGCACCAACAGTGGTGAGGAAAGGTGTCCCTAAGATCAATGGCACATCCTTCTCGTCAACCATATCCAGAACTGTTAGATCAATTGGGATTGTGCACTCTCCAATTCTCAAAGGGAAATCCATGACAATACCAAGTGGGGCTTTAGAAGAAGCATCCCCAAACATGATAGAAGACTTAGGTCGCTGGATCAGACTCTGTATACCCAATTTCTGTATTAGAACAAGAGAGATCAGATTGATACTTGCTCCAGAATCAACAAGTGCATCCTCAAGTTGTAGGTGACCAAGTGTACAAGGCAGAGTGAAGCTTCCCTGACCATTCAGCTTGGGTAGTGAGGTTGGTGTGGATAAGAGATCACCCTGGGAAGAAGAGGGCTCCAAAAGCTGAGCTACTTCGTCCTTGTTATCAAGTATGTCCTTAATCATCTTCTTTTGGACATGAGCAGCTTGAAAACTTCCCATATTTGGTAGCTCAACCCCAATCTTACTCATGTCATTCCTAAACTTGGTGATGACTTTTTTCTGATTCTTGGTAAGGATTCTACTTGGAAATGGAACAGGGGGCTTGTAGGTGTCATCATCAGATGGTGTTGGAGCATAAAGCATCTGACTCGATCGAGCATCTGACTCGATCGAGCTGGTGAGACGGTCTGGCTCGATCGAGCTGCCAATCGAGCTTGTTGTGCGAGCTCAACCGGTGAAGCGTGGATAGCTATCTGAGGAGCTTGCACTTCAGGTTGAGCGTACTGGACTCCAGGAGCATCAGCAACAACATTGTCTTCATTATTAAGCAGCATACAGATCTCCTCAATATCCTTCTCATTAGCAGCTTGTTGATCAAATCCTTCCTCTTGAGTGAAGATCGCTCTACAATGCTCCTTTGGATTCTGAACAGCCTTTCCAGGAAATTGACCTTGCTTAGCAGCAGAAGAAGAAGCATGGTGTTCCAAAGAGTGAACTCTAGTGTTCAAGGATTCAATCTTAGAGTTCATCTCAGCCAACTTCTTGCTTATCTCCATAGCACCATCTGCTTGACCTTGTAAGAGCTGCTTCAACATGGCTTTTATTTCTTGTTCCTGACTTGGTGAAGCCTGAGGCGCTTGAGGTGCATACCCAGTTGGTACACTCTGCTGTTGTCCTTGATAATTTCCCTGATGGCCCTGGAAATTCCCTTTCTGACCATATCCTTGCTGTGGAGGCTGACTCGCTGGAGCCTGTTGCTGCGGAGGGTAGACTTGATCTTGAGGATTGGCAACATCAGTGTTACTGTAGGACATGGTAGGGTGTGACTTGTAGCCATAGTAACCGTTTTGATAACCTCCTTGTCCATTCTTAATGTAGCACACTTCAGCAAACTGATTCTCCTCCTCTTCTTGGCCTTGAACCATCTCTTCTTTAGAAACAAAGTTGGCCTTCTTCATTGTGGATTGAGCTAAGATAAGCGTATCCAACTTCTCATTGAGTGCCTTGACATCGTTTCTCAGCTTACTATCAGACTCGATCGAGTTGGAGGTCGAGCTCCTGTTTGTGCGATCATACTCCTCTCCATAGCTCCCACTTGAGTTAGCAATGTTCTCCACAAGCTGCCAGCCATCATCTACATCTTGATTGAGGAAGTTTCCATTACTGGCTGTGTCCAACATCTCTTTGTATCTTGGCAAAACTCCTCTGTAAAGTGTGGAAAGCAAAGACTCATTGCTGAAGCCATGATGAGGGCATTGACTGGTGTAACCCTTGAATCTCTCCCAAGCTTCAGCAAATGTCTCATTGTTCCTTTGAGTGAAACCAGATATCTCGCTTCTCAGCTTAGCAGTGCGACCAGTAGAGAAGAACTTGGCAAGAAATGCCTTCTTGCAATCCTCCCATGTAGTGATTGATCCATGGGGTAAACTCTTCTCCCATTGATGGGCCTTGTCACCAAGAGACATAGGGAAGAGTCTCAGCTTGATGGCATCTTCAGAGACACCATTCATCTTGGTCAGATCACACAGCCTATCAAACTCATCCAAGTGATCAATGGGATCTTCACAAGACAATCCATGGAACATCTTGTTCTGGACTAAGGTAATCATCCCCAGCTTGATCTCGAAATTGTGGTTCTGGACAGGAGGTGGGACAATCCCTCTTCTTTGCTGGTGGCGGTTTGGTGCATCTCCAAGCCCAATCGGTCGAGTCTGCCTAGCTCGACCATTTCCATTACCCAGAGGGTTTCCATTACCCTCTGGTATATCCATAGTATCTGTAACAAGCACCTCTGACTGAACTTGTTGCCTCTGGCTCTTCTTTCTCTGTTTTCTGCCTATGTTGATGTCTAACTCGACCAAGTTCTCTGTTGATGAGCTCGATCGAGTTCACATACACCTGCAAAACAGTCAAAAACCCAGCAGTACAAGCAACAAAGGTGGGATAGTACTTGATCGTTCAAGTGATTTGGAAACTCAAATGCAACAGTAACAAACCCAAATGGCAACGGCGCCAAATTGATGATAGGATTTTACGTGGATGAAGTGAATGAAGGATGATATGAAATGAGGTGGAATGCAAACAGGGGTGAATAGAGATGAGATGGTATGGTGCAATCACAATCAATCAATTCCTCTTAACCATCATAGTCATTGAAGTATAAGAGGTTATCAATCCATAAGGGTGAGATGTTGCTCTATGAGAATATGCAAACACAAGAAAGTCAAGCCAAATGATTAAATGGAGGGATGTAACAACTAAACAACCTAATATGAAATGAAATGCAAGCAAAAGCAGTAAATAAAAGCAGCTCGACCAAGAGCTCGATCGAGTTGATGAGCTCGATCGAGTTGAGGGTCGAGTTGGTGTAAAAACAGAGGAAAGCGAATGAAAAGCAATAAAGGTGCAAACTTTAAGATGCTAATGCGAAGATTAGGGTTAAAGACAGGGTTTTGCAGCTAAAGGGAGGCTATACTTAATCAGTCTTGCTCTTAAACAACTTGTACTCAAGCTATCTCTTGATATTGAGCTTCTCAATGCCTAGCTAGCCCTTTCCCAAGGTGAAAGCTATCAACCAAGACTTGATCTCAGAAACAGGGGGTTAGCCAGTGAGAATCAAGCCTTGGAGGCCATAGGATCATTGCTCAAACTAATCCATCCAACCCACATCAAAGCAGGAACATTAACAACTAAACAACCTAATATGAAATGAAATGCAAGCAAAAGAAGTAAATAAAAGCAGCTCGACCAAGAGCTCGATCGAGTTGATGAGCTCGATCGAGTTGAGGGTCGAGTTGGTGTAAAAACAGAGGAAAGCGAATGAAAAGCAATAAAGGTGCAAACTTTAAGATGCTAATGCGAAGATTAGGGTTAAAGACAGGGTTTTGCAGCTAAAGGGAGGCTATACTTAATCAGTCTTGCTCTTAAACAACTTGTATCAAGCTATCTCTTGATATTGAGCTTCTCAATGCCTAGCTAACCCTTTCCCAAGGTGAAAGCTATCAACCAAGACTTGATCTCAGAAACAGGGGGTTAGCCAGTGAGAATCAAGCCTTGGAGGCCATAGGATCATTGCTCAAACTAATCCATCCAACCCCTATGAACTCCATTTCGAGAGCAAGAGTTATTGGAGCTCTTAGTGGACCTTTTCCAACGATTTCCATCACTTCCATGTGGAGAATCGCCTATGGACATACAAGCCAGGGATAGTGGTCATGTAGCCTTAAGGTTTGTCCAAAAGAGAGAGATTTCTAGATTAAGAACATAAGCAAGAGAGATTAAGCATAAACAACCTCTAACCTATCCCATCTTAAACCCTAAAGGAACTACTCACTACACATGATGAAATAAACAACCAAATGCAATAAAGAGACATCAAAAGATAGAGGAGATAAAGATAAACAACTTTTATTGAAATAGCAAAGTGCAAAAACACAATAACAAGGCCTAGATCTAGGGTTCTATGAGCAAGAGCTCAAGAACACAAAGAGAGGCTAAAAAGTAAAAAGAAATGCAAATACAAGATTAATTAAAAGTTGAGCCAAAAGCTGTGTTTAATTCGTGGCTCAATGCCATTTATAGTAAAGCAAACTAGGTTTAGGGTCAAAGGGGAGTCAAAGGGAAGCAACATTTTTCGGGTTTGACTTTGACTCCTGGAAAAGCAGCTCGATCGAGTTGGAAACTGGCCGGTCGAGCTGGTGGGTCGAGTCCAACCAATATCGTCGTATCTTCTGAACCGCTGGTCCGAATGACATGAAACCACCTCCAGACGAAAGCTAACTCAATTATCCACAACTTCCAAGAAGAAGTCAGAGGCTGAATCGGAGTGGAAACCCTTCATTTGATACGATACTTCGGACGCATCTCACTAGCTCGACCGAGTGCGGGTCCGTACATGGGGCAGACAGAGTCTTTCCTTCCTCAACTAGTCTCCAGTGATAGGCAATGTTCCAATTAGCTCCAAATGACCTGATTAAGACATCAAACGTGCACATGTATGCAAATGCAAGCCTAAAACTACTATGTATGCAAAAGAAGGGAAAACATCAAGAAATGATGCTTTGGGTGAATGAAACTATGCAAAAGATGCATAAAAGAATGGCTAAAACCATGTAAAATGCAAGTACATTAGAAACCCAATCGAATTATGACACGTGGTGAGCTGTGTCAAAGAAACGGTTCTGAAAACTCTTTCGGGAGAGATGTCTCTCGCATTGAAACTCGCCACGGGTAAATGTTTTATTTTTTATTTTATTTTTTGGCTAAAGAAATCTTTCCAATCTCTTTGTTGTACATGCTCTAAGCAAAATTACTACCTTAATTGACATATGACAATCTAATCTAAACATTTTTCACGTTGAAGTGAAAGTATACAAAAAGATGAGGCAACTTGAGGTGGGCCCTTTATTGACCTTGTCCATTCTGTGTGGGTATCGAATCGAATCTCTCCTTTTGAACACATTTCTGAAAATCGATCGCTAGAAAAAGTAATGGGAGAATTAGGAGCACCATCCATATGGGAATAAATCGAGATGACTATTTTCGCAAAATTGATTAATCTAATAATGTTGTATATATATTTGCTAGCCTATATCTCATGCTTTAGTTGCCTATTTAAAGGGCCGACCCTGGATAGTGGAATAGACAAGTATTATTCTTTGGTGAACAAGTTATGCTCTTTCTCTTTCGTGATTATTTAGATTTTAGCAGATGTTTTACTCTCTTTGAGTCTTATGTTTTCTATCTTTTGCAGAAATACAATGGTCATTAATGTCAAAGTGATTTGAGATTTTCAAAATGCATGAGTCCCTGATGAAACGCATGCATTTCTTTCGACTCTGAGGCAGAGGATTCAGGTTTCTTTGAGGCGTGCCAATGGCCTTTATGTTGTAGATGAGCTCATCCCAATAGGTCCACGTGGATCGTCTCGGGAGATTATAAATTATATGACTTCCTTCATAGAGCTCCCAAATGATAACATAAAGTGTTGTTGTTCGGTGCATTATTAACCATTTTCGGAGAAGCTGAACGACCACACCGTATGTTATCATTTGGGAGCTCTATGAAGTAAGTCTTATAATTTATAATCTTTCGAGACTTGGAACAACGTGGACCTACTGCGATGAGCTCATCTACAACATAAAAGTATAGTCTTCATGATTAACTGTGTATTAGATGTTATCATGCACTACACGCGAGTTTCATATTATAATTCGCACTTGTTTAGCTAATTTTTTTTAAAAAAAATTAGTATACAGTTTACCTCTTTACAATTGTCTAAATGCAATCTTATTATATAAAGCTGAATGCGCACGACGTGGTTGCAACATGTAGGATTTTTATAAAATTCAGGATCGCGACATGTGTCACTTTTAAGTTTATGTCCGTTAAGATCGTGACACGTATCTTAGGAAAAAAAAGAAAACTTAAAAAAAAAAATTCCAGAAAAATGTTAATTAAAGAAAAACGAAATTTTATTTAATCTATTATATCAAAAAAAGAAAAAATAATATTTGTCATATCCAAACTGAAAAAGGTACAGCTCCTTTATCTGAACTATGGGGAGTCTATTATGGTCTCTGTATAGCGTGGGAGAGCGGAGCACAGCGAGTGGAGTTGGAAGTGGACTCTGAGGTGGTTGCGGGATTTCTTCAGACGGGGATTAGCGAGTCGAATCCGCTGTCTTTCCTGGTACGTTTGTGCCATGGCTTCTTATCTAGGGACTGGACTGTCCGTGTTTCTCACATGTATAGGTAGGCTAACCGCCTTGCGGATGGGTTAGCTAACTATGCCTTTACGTTACCATTGGGCTTGCACTCTTTTGACTTTGTTCCGGATGATGTTAATCCGATGTTTGTTGATGATTTGGCTGGGGTTTCGACCTTACGTCAAGTCTGCGTGTAGTTCGTTTACTTTTTCTTTGAATAAAAGGGGAGTAATCCCCTCTTTTCAACCAAAAAAAACAGTGAAAAAGGTACCCATTCATCAAAATTTTTATTATATAAAGTTGGATGCGCACAACGTAGTTGCGACACATAGGATTTTTATAATTTATAAGATCGCGACATGTGTTACTTTTAGTGTTACGTCCGTTAAGATCGTGACCGTTAAAAATAATCAAATTTTGTTTAATATTTTCCATCCATTTATTATAAAATCTTAAAATATACCCGCGTATACGCGGGCCTTAATCTAGTATACTTATATATCTACAAATTTGGTGATCATCTAACTTTTAGAAAAGAATGTTTCTTTGTTATATTGCTTTAACAATCTCTCTTATTCCAGAATTTTCCAACCAAACATCTTTTACATATGAACTAGGTTAAAGCCCGCGCGTATCGCGGTAGGTGTTGTCAATTTTTTTTGTATAATTTTTTTTTCATTTTTGTAAATATAGTTTATTTTTTAAAAATATTATGTTTTATTTTACCCCAATCATGAATCTGACCCGGAAACCCGGACCAAACCAGAACCAAAATTTTAAACAACTCGAATGATTTTCATATCTCTAAATACGAAAACCCATAACCCGAGAAAACCCAAAAGGCCAAAACCCCAAAAAACCAAACTGAACCAAAATTAAAAAAGGAACGGTTTCCATATCTCTAAACCCGAACAAAAATTCAAGGTATGTAAAGATAATAACAATTCATACACATACAAATAAATCATAAAAATAGTTGTCAAATTTTATTGAAATCATTTAAAATAAGTACAACGCATCATCTACTACAAAACTTCAATATTATACAGATCAATAAAGGAAAAATAATAGAAACATGTTTTTAAAAATATATAAATGATCATTAACCGAAAAAACTCCTCTGTCGCAACGTTTTGTTTAGTTTCTCGAAGGTTTTTTTTTTACCACTCGTGTGCATTTCCTCTCTTTTGTAGCTTTTGGATCGCAATTCCGAGATGAGACATATATTTGGCAGAACTGCATGAATAGCTTTGAGTATCAAATAAATGAAACTCCGGCTTATTCAGTTAATTAATTACTTATCTTAAATTTTTAGTTGATTTAAGAGAATGAATGTTCGAATGCATCAACAACTTTGTTCCAAAAAAGGACGGTATATAAGTTAATCATGGACTCAATTCTCTAACAATGAATGCATTGGTTTTAAGAATGTACTAGATCTTAACCCGTGCTTGGAAGCACGGGATGTTGTAATTTTTATAGGTAAATTTAAATTATTGACACTTCGCTTCCGTAAATCATATTAGTGTATGTTTTTGATATATATTGACACTTCGCTTCCGTAAACCACAATTAGACCTAGAGTTGGGAAGCATGGAATGTTGTAATTTTTATATATATTGACACTTCGCTTCCGTAAACCGCAATTAGACCTAGACATGGGAAGCACGAGATGTTATAAATTATGTAAAGTGTTTGTCATATATGTTGAGGAATTAGTGTTATTGTTATTATATATGTATCTAATGTTAGCCGTTACCGCTATCTATTTCGGAGATGAGTGAAGAAAATAAAACCGGTTTCAATGACCGAACAGTATAACATTTATATGTGTCGATTTGCACGACGGTGTCAGGATTTACTTGGTGAGTTATAATGTAAAAAAAACGGAATGTCAAATCCCTAATATATTAAAAGAGAAAACACTATAAAATAAACCTTTGTCTCATGTGTTATTAACAGAAATGCCATGCTGATGTGTCAACACCAGGTTCACTTTCAAGGTTAGTTTTAATTAAGACAAACATTACTAGACTAATTACATGTTATGCCATTCATATTTGGTTAGAGAATGAAATATATATGATTAATTTAGTCAGAAAAATAATTATTAATGAAAATTATTTTCTTTCAGTTTCCTTATTTGGTAATGACGAAAATTTATTTATTAGTCAATCAATCAGTAAAATATGGAAAGTTTTATTCAATTGTATTATATTAATTGTTTAAAAATTAATTTATTCATCTATCATTTTTGTTTAGCTTTACTTTCAAGAATAAATTATATCATCACATCAAAATATTTAAAAAAAGAAAATTAGTTTTTTTCTACATATGCTATGGTTTGAATTTTTAAAAATGAAGCAAATCTCTAAAAATGTTAAATGTCCCACATGATTATATTTTGGGATAATAGTTCAAAAACCTATTATAAAATAGGATCCAAATAATGATCAACCATAATCACAAATAGGAAAGAAAAATTTACCATGTTTGGAAATCTTTAAAATTTATTTTATTCGATTTAATTTGATTCTTTAATTGAATTAAATAATTAAATCGTATTTTTTAATATTTTGGTTTGATCAAAATTTTAAACGTAATAAATTCTAATAACTTATCATATAAGTTAAATTATTTTAGTTATTTAAAATTGATAAAAACATAAAATATATATGCCATTTTATATTTATCAAAATATAAAATTATTTTAAATGTATTAAAATTTAATATATATGTGGGTTCGGAAAGGGAGAAACTGTTGTTAAAGCAAATGTTAGATTACCACACTGTAAACGATGACAAAAATCAAATAAACCAGGCTAAAAAAATATGCATCACTCAAAATTTCGTCTAATGTAAATTGACATTTTTTTAATTGTCTAACACTCTATGTTCCTAAAATTGTATGTAAATAGACATCTTTTAATAAAATCAAATTGAGAAAATATCATCCCGTGCAAGGCGCGGGTCAAACTCTAGTGTCAAAGTAAATTGGGGGATTTGATATTCTGTTTGGCATTTGACATTCCGTTTTTTTTATTACCATTTCTTCAAAAATAAATTTATATTGTCTTTATATGTTTTTTTCGGTGATATGTTGTCTATTAGTTAGTACACCAAATTTGAATGTATTTTATTATTATTTTTTTTTTTTTTAAATCGAATTCCTTCGATCCTGGTTAACCGATGTGATCACAGTTTGCTTCGATCCTGGTTTGCTTCATGAGATCACTTTGCTTCGATCCTGGTTAACCGACAATGCTTAATTTTAGATTTTTCAGAAACACTGTCGTTTCTTCTGTCTCTCATTCTTGTCTTCCGATCTTCATCTTCAAGGTCCGAAACCAGTTTCTTTTGGTTCTGAGCCCGTGATTCAACAGCTTATAGTTGCTAAATGTCTTCGATTCTCCTCCGCTCTTCTCATACGCCTCCAGAATAGTCGATTTCTACTCGCGACAGCCTTTGGACATCAAACTTTAGCTCAGGTAAATCCCGAATCTCAAGAGATTTCCTTTGCGCACAAATCTCAGCATTTTATCTTCGTTGAGAAATCAAATAGCCATTTCCGTTGATTTGGTGATAACTCAATTGATAGGACAGTGAATTAATAGTAATTGGATTCCTATTGATATTGATTCTTTTTTTTGGTCGTATATTGATAATGATTCTAGTTATGATTCGGAACCCACCAAACATCCATAAGAGGAGCAATCTGTTATAAAATTATCGGACATAAACTGAATTTTTAATTTTAGTCCGTATTGGAGACCATCTATATTAATGTCAAGCATGAAATCAATTTAAGATTTGGTGACACATTTTTTTTTTGTCAAGGAGACATAGGCGCGTTTCCCGTGATCATCGATGCAGAGGATATTGCACGGAAACATTGATCCTCGATTCCATTAAACGTCACTCCAAAATAGTAAGGTAAACATTCTTTGCGTCCCGATAGGGTTCTAGAAAATTTGATTTCAATGTTGGTTTAGACAGCTGGTTGTCAATTGTTTGTGTAATGAATTCTTTGTGTTGATAATGACATAGACTATGAGATAAAAGCGGTATGTCATTAGATAGAAACATAGGTTATATCACAACATAAAGTAAACATTGTGCATTAAACTGAAACATCTTCGGAAATTTTCGTAGACAGTCCACTATGCAGATCACTTTTTATTGTCGCTTTTACAACCGTTAAAGTAATCAAATTCCATTTCTTGTTCTTCCACTTCCTCGCTGTCTTGATCAGAAGAGCACCTGCAGAAACGAATTTACTTGTAGTAGGCTATAATATGAAAGGTTTGATCTACTTAGAATCTACATATTAGATAATGTCATAGGTAGAATTCTTACATTATATCCGTGAAGTAATCAACCTCATCGATTCCAATAGGATTGAATTCAAATAGAGATTCCTTCTTCACTTCCGACATGAACAGGATCTAGACATATAGTTATAACATCAGTCACAATAAATATAAAAAACTTGTATTAGTCAAGGGAGGAAGCTTCTTTTAAAGAAATTTCTATATACTAACCGTCTATCCCAAGAATCCGCCAATCAGTTAAGAGACATACTATGGTCTCCGTTTTACCATAGTAGAGCCAAAATCGTAAAAATTTAGCTGCTAAGGCCGCCCTTTGCACGGCAAAGTATTCGAACCCCACTAAAGAAATGGAAAATTGTTCAAATATATAGAATCATAATTCAGAAACTGTAAATATGTTAAGAAACTTAAGGGTCTTATAGATATACGTACTCGTTATCCTGGAGGGTGAAATCTATCGAGTTAGTGATTTTTGGAGCATCGTTTAGTGTGTTCCTAGGAATAGAGTCATCTTCCGTGAGCTTGGTGATCTTCACTTCATATATAAACCCTAGAAAATCTACAAAAAGAACACATAGATAAAGTTAATATATTGAAACCACATTCCTTACAGGGATCTTTGACTAACTAAACGAAAATGAGAAGTAAGAAAAAGTAACCTCTGGTAAAAGAAGATTGAACATTAGAACTGTAGTCTAAGACATATTCATAAGGCAGAATGTCTAGGTGAACAAAAACATCGAAATCCGCTGCAGGTGTGACTTCGGTGTTGGACGTTAGAGCAATCTTCTTTCTTGCTTCTGTCAATCGGAACTCTGTATCAACCATAATAACTGAAAATCCGGTTAGAATCTTGCATTCCCCTTCATGAAGACATCTCTTAAACCTATTCATCTGATTTGCTTGTTCAACGAATGCTTGCATCTTTGTGCCCTGACATTGGTTATAAACTTCCATTAGGACAAAACTTTTGTGTCAAAAATCTGTTTTATATGAGATTATTTGTAAAGACTGAAAACAAACCTGATTGTCAACAAAAAGAAAACTTAGGCCTTCCCCCTGATCTGCCTCCAACGTATCCCACATCTTGAAACTCTAACCAAAACACTCGAATCATCTTTGTTAGGTGAGAGTCAAGTTTCTTGAAGTTTGCCATTGAAATTCTTTTTTGAGATTTAGAGTACTTTGTTTTCTTCTCTTAACCCTAACTTCGGAGAGGAATCTGCGTATATAAAGGAAAATCAGGGTAGAGAGTAGATCCCGTCGGTTGATATTAAACGACGTGATGGTCAAGCTTTTTTCTTTCTTGTTTTCGTATCTATTGGTAACTATGGCTATTTTCCTTTTCAGTTTAGCGATAAAATCCCGGATTTGACGTTACAGTTAATATTGTTCGTGAATATTCTTTTAACTATTACTTAGTTGGAAAAACAATCTATCCACTATGGTTATTTACGAAACCAACATTCCAATATCATGAGGATCTGACCAGAAGAGTTTATATTTCAGTTACTTCCTCCGTAATTATCTACTGACTTAAATTATTTTGATTACATGTATATTTCCTTTGAGGTTTTGTATTCGTGAATATTCTTTTAAATACTACTTAGTCCGCAAATCTTGAATAAGTAGACAGAAGTTTTATTATTAGATAGATATGCGAGTCTAAAACATGGTGAGTAGATAGTTCATAAAAACTTCTCAAGCAAACATAAACAGAAACAATATTAAGTTGAAAAACAAATGTGGCAACACAAATTTCGATATTAAGGATCATATAGTAGAATTTCATGGAGATAGTACAACCACCTCCTCAACGGAACCATCACTGTCATTGAAGCTGCAAGAAATTTGTTTATCATCATTTGTATTAGTAAATATTGAATGTTTTTGAGAACTAATGTCTGTAAGGATTGAAGATAATAGATATCTAACTTACTATTCAGCGCTGAAGTCAGAACATCCTGATAGTTAGCATTGAACTGAAATCTAGATATTCCTCCAGCGTCCTTAATCTTGAGCTCTCCGGTTCCTATGATTTGTTTCAATTAGTGGTTGAATATAAGAAATAGATACACTCGTAAAATAATTCATTAGACTAAAGTTTCATACTTTGTTCTGGTAAACCATCCAGTCACTCATTGTAATGAATGTTTCTGTTGAACCATGCCTCCACCATTTATCATGTATTTGAACAGCCAAGACTCCATAAGCTTTGCATTCCATTGTTACTCCACTATGATCCCCAACATGAAAATGACGATTACATTAGTCAGATATAAAGAAAAAGTCATAACAGGTTTATATTTTTAAATCCGAAAACAAGCTTGCTTAACTTACTCTAAGCCCTTGATGGTGAACATAACTCTGGATGTCTTCTTGTTATTATCTAGTGTAAAGTTCTGGTCTTTGACAACTTTAAGCTCATCAACTCATCCAGATAGCCTATAAGGTCTAAGGGTTTTGGATAGAGTTGTTAAACTTTTCGTTATTAATTCCACAAACAGAGTACAAATATAAGGAGATCATAAGAGTTGACTTACCAAGAGGATGATGAGAGTTGTACACCCAATTCTTTATGTCTGTGTAGTCCTTGAAATTCATATAGTGCTCTTGATGAATACCACTTGCTGCATGCAGGTGTATTGTCGGTGAAGACGATTGTATGTTGATTCTCGGAGAAAAGTTCCTCAGGTGGTGTTAGCTCGACGACGAATCCGGAGATTAGTTTCCAGTGGCCCTCGTGCACATTCATGTCGAAATGGTCATATAGGCCATCCTCATCACTAACTTTAGCAGGTATTTTTCCATCCTACCATTTTTCAAACACAGAAAAGACTCTGTTAGCTAAGTTACTAAATTAATTGCTAATAACTTTATCTACTATTGTTATGAGATGACTCATGATCGAGAAACTTACATGTTCATCAACTAACTGAAAACGCAATATTTCTCCACCACCATCTATCATCTCGGTCCATTTCTTCAAGACCTTCACTCTTATGATCCAATCGTCCTCTGAGGAGATAGCTCCACAACCCTTGAAATATTTGCCATATCTAGTCGTATACGCTGCTTGTGTTGAATAGGTTAAATTGTGTTTCTTGTATTTATAGGCACAACATCGTCCCGTAGTATATTTATTTTCCTTTTATTACACCTGTTTTATTTGGAATCTATATATTTTTATAAATAAATTGACATTGATTGATTTTTGCAGATTTGTCTTCTCAATGGAAAAAGGAAAAGCTGAGACTCTGATACAGATATCTTCACACGCAAAGGTATGTCAACTTTCACATTTCTTGAAATTTGAGGCATTTACTGAACACTATCTAATCTCATTACAATTGGAAATGATATGTGCATATCAAACCCTAGTAAACTGAATTCGACTTGATGATACAATTAAAATAGATGAAACGGGCTGTTTTATAGTGAGTCCACTAAGGCAAAATGCCAAATTTGTGATTTCATTAATCTCATCGTAATTTTAATTTTACTTAAGGTAAATTTACTTTTCGTGTTTGATCCACATAATTGAGAGTAAGACTCGTATTGCTAGGCCCATAATGCAACAATTGTATTTCATTAACACAACTTATATCTTATTTTGCAATTACCAAATTTTATGATATCAATTGAACTTATAAAAACTAAATATTTTTATATCGTAGTAAGATTGAATATGATCCGTGAATTAAATTATTGTGGAACCAATAGGTTACCATATGACTCAATGTAAATAATGAGTTCAACAATGTCTTAGTAATGGATCTAGAAGATCATATAGAAGTAGAATGATTAGAGGTTCTTGAAAACCTCTTTGAAAACAACATTGGTTGTTCTCCTCTGCGGCTTCCCTTCGCTGTCGACGATCAAGATCTTCAATCCCTTCTTGGAGGTTACCCTGGAAATTGCGACGTAAAGCTGTCCATGAGAGAAAACAGGCCTTGGCAAGAATATCCCAACCTGTGATAAAGACTGACCCTGGCTCTTGTTGATGGTTATTGCGAATGCAACAGCTAAAGGAAGTTGTCTTCTCCTCATCTTGAAAGGAAGTAGGGTGTCCGATGGAGTAATCAAAAGCCTAGGAATAATAACCTTCACACCGACCTTATCTCCTGTTATAACTTTAGCTTCAACCATAAAATCAGCTAATTGAGTTATCTGCAATCTCGTTCCGTTCATTAGACCTCCTATGGGATCAATATTTCTGAGCAACATAACTGGACAGCCAACCTTCAGTCGCAAAGCGTGATTAGGTAAACCAGCTACTCTTATGCTGTTTAGGAATTCCGTGCTTAGAGCCTCGTCGTTAATAGCGGCTGTGTCACAAGGATCTATTGTATCAGAGCTTAGATAGATTCTCTCCTCCCCTGGAAAACGACATTTAAAACGTTCTAATCATATATATTACCTTCATTAGCAAGCAACTCAATTTGTGAATTATCCAAACTGAAAAAAAGAGACTAACCATTCAGCTTATCGAGCATGTATTCATTGATCATGTTGACATCTTCGTTAGTGGGACAGAGAATAGCTCTGCCTTGGAAAAATAAGGGATCTGTATTGTCCTGTAGATCAGAAGCATCTCCATATATTTCTCTGCTTATGGCTTCGATAGGTTCCTCTGCATCAGTTATTAAAAACTCTTCCGGAATATTTATTTCAGCTTCTCCATCGTTAGGTTCTTCTATCTTACCATCCCCAACATCAAGAATCCAATTTAGAAAAATTCTTTAGATCAGTTGCTTCTTCTGCGGTCAGGTTGTCAGATAGTAATCGCATATTTTTGGTTAGCTTGAGAACCTTGCAGTGCTTCCAGAGATAAGATGAGTTCAGAGCAGAGCATACAACCTCTGCTCTACCGGCTCCATGAATCACAGGAAGAACCTGTCGAAAATCATCTCCAAAGACAACCTTTTCACCAAAAGGTTTCCCATCTTCATTACCAACAATATGAGACAGTGAGCGATCCAAAGACACAAAACAATGCTTATGCATCATCGGAGCTTCATCCCATATAATCAGAGAAGCTTCTTTCACCAGATTTGCGAGATCTCCACCTTTTTCCATGTTGCATGTTGATGTTTCATGAGGATTTATTGGTATTCCAAACCTGGAATGAGCCGTTCTCCCTCCCTGTAACAAAAGACTTGCTATACCGCTTGAAGCAACGTTGAGAACTATCTCTCCCCGACATCTTATTGCCGATGACAATATTTTCCATAGAAAAGTTTTTCCTGTTCCACCGAATCCAAATAGAAAAAACACACCTCCAGTTCTCTCTAAAACAGCACCAACAATCTCGTCATACACTTTCTTCTGCTCATCGGTTAGCTTTGGCAAATCTCTGTCGTGATTCTCTTTCTGTTCTTTCTGATTGTAGCTTTTCTCGTCGACGATTAAAACATTTTCCTCTCTTGCAACAGTTCTTCGTGGCTTCGGCATAGTCTTAAAACGTGAGAAATCTCCACCGTTCCTTTTTAATATGTTTTCAATCTCTTGCAAACACAATTCTCTCCGGTCTTCATCACTCAAGATATATTCTGAAACATACATCACCATTAGAGCCTTTATGTAATATAGTTTTCAAAAATAAAAATGCATTTATTATATACCTGGTCTATTGATGCGGAGTCAGGTTTTACCAAACTCCTAGACCTCTGCAAGTGCACAGATCGCGGAAGTATGGGTATCGAACACAAGGACTGGCTATTGAGTACACTTTGAACTATGGATTTTGGATCAAGCTAAAACAAAAGTATGATTGAGGTTGTAATGGTGAACCGAACTAGCAAGTATAACGAGGTTGTAAGCAATAAAGGAAAAGCGCTAGGTCATAGGGGCTATCGCAGAGAAGCAAGCAATGATCAATGAAACAATGATAGATTAATTGATTAGGGATATTGGGATATTAAGAACCATCTAGAACACAGATCACGAATATAAAACCATTCCACTTTCGAGGCTCCGGCTCCTTTGCTAATCTACCTAGTCGCTAAACTTTTGGTATGTCCCTAGGTGATTAGATCAAGCATTAGAATGAATAGGTTCTGATACAGTTCACTAGATATAGATAGATCAACTTTCGCAGTCTAAGAAACCTAGCTTGTCAAAGAATATGTCCGGCGAATGATACAGCACTGTCGAGGCTCAAATCAACCTAAGATCGGATTACTAGATGCGCGGTAAAGCAATCAGCATTAGTTAAGTGCACAAGACGAGACAAAGACTCTAATATAATCCCTAGCTAATCATTGAAATCAAAGATCATGCAAGCAACTCATTGAATAGTAACCCTAGCAACCTAACTAGTGGATTACTCAGACATGATCAAAGCAAACACACATAGAGATGAAGAAAACATGATTGCAATAAAACTTAGAGTAGGAAATCGAAATACAGGGCGGCTCTCTTTCTCAAGAGGCTAAAAATCCATATATATAGTGCTAGGTCTTTCTAGAGGCGGCTTAGGGTTAAGCCGGGCTTGAAAACATAAGTTTGGGCTTCAAAAAGGGCTTCGGGTCGACCGCGGCGTTGGGACGGTCGTGCGGGACGATCGGCCGGACATCGGGTCGTGGCCGAGTCGGAACGGTCGGGGTCGGACGGATTCGTGGTCGGCCGCGTGGTCGGACGGTGAGATTTGGCCGATGAAATCTCGGCCGGACGCGGGACGTGTTTCCCGGCTCGGACGGATGCATCGGCCGTGGTACGCGGAGGTTGCGCGGCCGCGAGGCGTTTCCCGGCTCGCGCGCTTTGGTCGTGCGCGGTGGCGTGGCGTGGCGTGGCCGACCGCGGGACAATGTTTCCCGGGTCGTGATTGCGATCGGCCGACGGTTTTGGACTTTGGCCGAGACTTCAGACGGACGGACGAGATTTGGCCGAGCGCGGAACATTCGTTCCTCGGCCAGCCGGACTGCGCGGTTGGGCGCTGATTCTCGATAGAGCCGTCTGGACAGTCTTCACTCTTTTGGTTGTAACTCCTTTTCTACTCATCCAAATGCCATTCCAGTTGCGTTGGAAAGTTAACTCAATCAGAGCACGCAGGGAACTGGTCTTGATGAAATCCATTGAGTAGATCTTTTTCTGGGCCCTCTTAAAGTTGGTGCTTGTGCATGGAGCTGCTTGAAGTGCAAATCCTATGGTTTTGCTCCAAAATGCATCATTTCACCTGTTTAGACTCTAGACACTATAAACACAGTAAAACTACCTTTTTAGATAGAAAACCTGCCAAAAACCATTAGAAAACAATGCTAAAACAGTATAAAAAGTGGGTAAATTAGAGGTATATCAACTCCCCCAGACTTAGATCTTTGCTTGTCCCCAAGCAAAAAGAATCTAAATCCGTGAAAGAGGTTTGAAAACGTGGAAGCTCCCTTGCTCTTTTGAATATCCTGTGAAAGGTTCCTTTCCTGTATTCCACTATGAACATAGACAACATAAGGTTAGCTTCACATACACCCTGCAAGTTTAGCGAACAATACCAACCCAACTAGTCTCATCCAGCAATCCAAACTCTCTATTGCTAACCTCTTGCATAAATTTAAAGCGTGAATTCTTTATCAAGGGGACATCGATCAATTGAACTTGTTCTTACCCACTTGATCCTCTCCAAGATTGCCTCTTTAAGTGCAATGAGTTCTTTTCCTCTCTCTTTCTCACATCAGAACTTTGAAAGGTCAATTTCTCCCTACTTTTCTAGGGTATCATTTTATTTTTTCTATTGACCCTTCTTTCAACCACAGGATAAGTCTTTAGCTTGTTCCTTGTTTGACTAAGGTATTCCATAAGACATGAAGGTACAGACATATGCATTCCTCATGCTTACTTGTTTTCCTTGTGCTCTTTGAGCTTTTTCTCATATATACTTACCATTTGGGATGGGAGAGAGAGGAGAACTCTTTAAAGATTAGACAAATCTTATTGAAAATCAAGCAAGGAACTGTCGACATGTATGCCAACCCCCTTGACAAGAGTAATTAAGATTGATTAAGGTGAGGTTAACTCTAGATTGCTTGGTTACCTTAGAAATTTTGCTGAGCTAGCATGTCGATCCACTGTAAGAGCTTCTGTTAGGCTTGTGCCTTTAGCTGGTTTCTGCTCTAGGGTCATGGATTGTTAGCATAACACTCTCAATTCTCAAAGCAAGTTCATAACTTCCGGACTGGTTTTTGACTCAATAAAACTTTTTGAAAAACATGAAACAAAGTGAATAAAACATAAGAAAAGAAAGAAAAATGCATTAGTAACACAATAAAACTCCCCCCAGACTTAACTTGCACCGTCCCGGTGAAAGCAAATCACATTAAGGTGAGAGGTAATATTCAAAGTAAAAGAAAAATAAAGAAAAATTCATTAAAATGAGATAGGGATAGAAAATGGAGATTTGTAAGTGTCCATTGCACTAAGTACCACTTGAGATGACTATGTGTGGCAGTGAGAAGAACTCTCTTCCTCATCTATGGGGTCATCGCCTTCTGAACCAAGCTCTGAGTCTAGTGAGAACTCACCAAGGTCAGGCTCATATGGCTCTCTAGCGGTGGAAGAAGGGCGAAAGAGTCTCTCCGGTGCAATGTGGCGAACTACGCGGACTAGGCGTGAGATGAAGCGAGATTGGCATTCCACGATCTTCTCCAGCTTGTTAACACGGTCTAGAGCTTGGTGCGCAGCCATGCCAGTAGTGAGAACATGGCGTTCTTGGAGCGGCGTTGAGTCTTGACTGCATGCTGAAGTGTGCGATAGGTGAGCATGGGGAATGATGGTTTCTCACTTGATGGAACATAGAATCTTCCTCATTGGGCTGGAAAGTGACAACTCCTGAGCGTAGGCTTGGGATGTCTCATGTGGCAGCAAGACAAGGGAAGTGTTGGCTGGACCAATTGGAAACTCATAGCAAAACCGAGTTGGGTCTTTAGTCCAACGGTTTAGGAAGTGGATGTGCTGAAGAGCATGGAGATCCAAAGGGGTTGGCTTGGGTAGTGGCTCATAGTTGGGAATGTCAATCCCCACATGCAGTACTATGGCCGTGATAAGCCTCCCAAAACGAACACAAAGCTTCTTGTTGCCTTCCAAGTCTTTAGCTAGCTTCCTCACATTGATGAATGTCTTGGCAAGTAAAAGCCAAGGTTGGCCTTGTACTCATGCTTGATGAATGGTGTGGTGAGGATGTAGAACTCATCAGTTGTGACCTTGTTGGCTTCTTGTTTGCATTGGAAAGTGGTGGAGATGAGGCGGTGCACATAGCGAATGGCTGGATGAGTGATTCTAGACACCTTTGACCTTGAAGGCAAGAATGGTTCATTGGCAAAGTGTGTCCAATCAGCAAAGGCAGCTTGTTTCCTCTTTGAGTTCTCCTTGAAGTCATGTGCTGTCTCATTGGGAAGTCCAAAGAGTTGGCATAGAGCTGAGATGGAGATGCGCCCATTGGCATCGCCTATCTTGAAGAGTAGGAGTCCATCACCAGCTGGTTGGTCTCCATTGTGGTTGGGAAAGGCAAGAGCTACTGTGGAGAGGAACTCCTTGGTGAGTTGTGAGTACTCACTACATTCTAGCTTGAAGAGCTTGCTCAAGCCTAGCTTCCTTATGTACCATGTGACATCATCTCTTATCTTGAGAAGATCAAGGGTTTGGGTGTCCATCTTCACACATGGCTCGATGTTCACCTTCTCCATTGCCTTCTTACACTTTCTTGGGTCTTGGATTTGTTCTCCAACAAAGTTACAAGTGCCCAATCATCTTCTCCTCTTCTTGGACTCTCCACATGTTCTTGATTGCATCAATGGAATGTGGTGAAGTTGGTATTGCTGCTCTTGCATTGGAGCTACTACTCCCTAGCTTGATTTGCTTCTTTGGTGGTTCCATGAATGGGTTCTTCTTCTTCTTCATACTCTCATTTCCTTTTGTCTTTGCCATGGTTACCATTGGTGTAATTACAAGAGCAAGTAATTTCCAATTTAGAGTTATGAACAGTAAAAGTTTTGAAATCAAAACTCTTAGAGTTCCTCTAATGGAGTTTAGGGTTTTGGAGAAGAAAGAGAGGTTCTTGTGGTTTTCAAGGGAAAGGTGAAGTAAATAAGATCTAAATCCTATCAATTTTCCTTTTCAAATTCGAATTTTGATTGAAAACCGGTTTAAGTTGGTTTAGATTGGTTAAAACCGGTTTGAATTTAATGAAAAGGGAACTTACCTTTGGCCTAGAAAAGTTTTGGGCCGATGGCCGATGGATTTTGTCGCGATCGAGCGATTTGGTCGGCCAAATTCGGTTTTGGCCGAGAGAATTCGGCCGAGGCCGAGCGATTGTTTCCCGGATCGACCGGCACGGTCGGTCCGTTCCGATACGAATTTCGGCCGATCGCGCGTTTCTTTCCCGGTTCGCGTGCGTGGCGCTCGAACGTTTTCTGTCGCGCAAGTAGTAATATCCGGCCGAGCACGGCTTATTCCTTCCCGGCTCGACCTGACGGTCGGCCAGATTGGAATTTGCTCGGCCAAAATTCTCTTTTGCGCGTCCGCGGCCAATGTTTTGGCGCGGATTGTGTTTTCACACCTTTTTCTCCTTCTATCCTATCTTAAAACAAAGAAAACACAAAAGCAAAACAAAAACTAAGAAAATTAAAGAAAGAAAAGTAAAAGTACCTCATGGGTTGCCTCCCATGCAGCGCTTGTTTTAAGTCTTTAGCTTGACTGTAAGGCTTGGCGCTCAGGAGAAGATAGAGACAAGAGGCATCTTTGATCCTCCAAGTCTTTTCTCCTTGCAATGAGTATCTGGTGGGTGATTCACAGCTGGATAGACAATCTCTCCATGAATGTCCCTTGGCACTACTGCCTTAGGAAAAAGCTTTAGAGTTCTTGTCACTTTCTCCTTGAATCCTTCTAGATTCTCATCAATAAGCTCCTTTGGGAATAGAAGCTTCATGTTGCGGCCAGACCTAGGTTTTCTAACCTTCTTTCTTGGCTTGGCCTCATCTTCAATCTTGGTTGATCCCTTGGGCGGTTTTGGTGTAGGGGCCTTAGTCTTACTCCTTGCTTGTTTGGCAAGCTGCTTGGGCTTAGGAATGGGATCTTCCTTGATGTTTCTTCAGTTTCTCCTTCTTGGGGTGGCTTCAAAGTACTTTCTCCTCTTGGACCATGTCAACAAAAGAGTTCTTTGTTGAACACATAGGGAAGAACATACCCTTGTTCACCTTGTTGAAAGAGATTCTTTGATTGGGGAAATCAAATATGGCACCCACAGTAGACAGGAAAGGGGTTCCAAATATGAGAGGTCTATGCTACTCTCTCTCATTTCCACAATCTGGAAATCAGTAGGGATAGAGCAATTTCCAATCTGCACCATCACATTAGGCACAAAGCCATAGGGTGTTTGTGAGAATGAATCAGCATAGTTGATGGAGATGGATGATGGCTCTATCTTGGTGAGGCCTATATTGTCAGCTATCCTCTTAGACATGATGTTCACATTGGCTCCTGTGTCACACAAAGATTGCTCAAGAATGTTACCTTTGATGATACAAGGCACAGCAAACTTTCCTGAGTTATCTGTCTTGGGGATAATCTTTGGGAAGAGTCTTCTCTTTCTAGCTCAATTGGACTCTCTCTCTGGGTAATTCTCTTCAGGCCAAATCATGCAATCAACAGTAGGTTTTGAAAGCATCCATTCTGGAACTTGGTCTTCAAATCTTTCTTCTATGGCAGCTGAGTTGCAAAAGGACTTCTTAGATTCAGCTTCCTGTCTCTTAACAGCTTCCATAGTTTGAGTGACTTGAGTCTCTAGTTTCTTCACATAAGTGGCAACAGCATCATACTTGGTGTTGAGATTGCTGAACAAAGTGTCCATCTTCTCATACATCTCTTT